TTTTTTTTTTTTTTTTTTTTTTTTTTTTTTTTTTTTTTTTTTTTTTTTTTTAATGATCATGTCAAGAAGTGTGCAACCTCAATTAGAATTTCATAATATATGAGCTCTCTCAAACATAATTATAAGTTCCCGTTTAGAGGAATACATTATTTTTTGTTATGCCATAATTGTTTTAAAATATAAGTGTTTGTCAAGTTGCATTCCATACCTTCTATGTTTTTTATATTTTGTGACAGCAGTGTTTCTTTTTAATTATGAATTTTTACATATTTTGTTATACAAATACATAACTTTATTTCAGAAATATTAAAAATAAGCCCTACTAACTCAGAAGCCTGAAATATTTATTTATGGGGGAAAAAAACTATGTATTTAAACAATTGTGATCGGAGTATAAAATAAGGATTATTTGTACATCATATATCTTCTTTCACACTCTTCAAAGTGTTTTTCTAGTCATATTATAACCGCCAACCCAATTTTTGGGTTTACGACTACTAATGTTCAACTCCCTAGCATTGTAGTTTTGAGCAAAATCCAGAAGACAAGGGTACTCCTAGATCAAGTATTGGAAGAAATTTGCCTTTGTGGAGAACTTTTTGAGTGAATTAACCTGCACTTGCACTACATGGAGAGGAAGACAACAAGAACCTCCCACGTTTAGCCTGACGGCAAGGAGACGAACCCATAATCCGTCTACCACTGAGGATAAATTTACGTCATCACCGGGGTCAGCTTAAGGGGAATTTGTATCGACGAACCAAAGCTGAGGTTCAAACACGGTTCACCTCATTGGAAGGCGAACCCTTTATCTCCTGAGTCATCACGGCTCTTTTCTAATCATAGTGAAACGCCAATCAAAATGACATTGTAAGTAGGCATTCAATTCACATTTAGCCTACGCTTACAATTCAATAAAATAATTGGTATGCCTGCTATTAGTAAGTTATAACTATGGAAATGTAGTGTTAGTCTAAACTAAAAAATTTTGAAAACAGGAACTTAGTATGAATGTAAAAATTCTGCATTGTGAAAATAAAATCTTTTGAAAAATGCTTAAGAGTTGTCAGGTATACCATAGCACTGTATTGGTATGGTAATGATAATTTAAGAAATGTAAATAAAATCTTTCACCTCTTTTTTTATAAAATCATATTTTATTTTGTGGTAGCTATTAAGATTTTAGTTGGTTGTTAGCACAATTATAACTGTCATGTTATTATAAGCATTAAAAATTTTCTGGTTTTTGAATTTCATAAAAATTGTTTTTATATTTAATTAGTGCTAATCTTTCATCAAATAAATATATTAGGAATTTGATTTTTATTCCACTTCATCAAAAGCAAATGCATTTATTTCTGTTTTATTCAGCTAACTTTTTATTCAATTGAATTGCATAATGATTTATTATTCAAGGTGATTGAACAAATCAGTATCAAAATCAAAACAACAAATAGTATCGAAATCTGTTCTTCCCCCCCCCCCTTTCTTTTGAGCGTGAATATATGTTTACAGGGTTTATGTTACATTCTGACTGTCTTATTGATGTTTAACTTTTATGCCAAGTTATTTAAATTTAATGTTAATAACGCAAGATTGCCTTTATTTTTGGCAGTGCTATTTCTAAATAAATTGCCAATAATAAATTTCTTCCTATGTTCCTAAGCGTCGGTTAGAGTTCGCTGTGATTCACACCAACAATTAAAATTTAATAATCCAATATGAGTCTCAAAATGTACATTTAATTTGCCTTTTTTTGATGGGCCTGATTCTTGGGATTTTGCTGTAAATGCACTTTTTTTCCTTCTTTAATATTTTTTCAGTTATTGCCAAAAATTTCACCGTTACTAACTTTCCATATTCTTCCCAAAAATTAAAGATGACTGGTGCTCTTGTTAATTTTTTTCATGCCAAGAAGAAACTTTATTTCTCCTAACAATTCCTAATTCAGCATTACAATGGTCTTAGCATATTTTTTTTTCTTCATATATAATATTTCTATGTGGTTATAAATTAAAAAATTTTTTGTTCCAGTCTGATTTGAGTGTTACTGGTTTGAAAAATAAAGAAAATGTCAAGACCTTTCCAAAGCCTTCGCTTAAAAGGCCTAAAGTGAAAAAGACCAAAAAAATGTTGAAGGAATCCTCAATACCTACACCCACTCAACGAAAACCTTTGTCAACAAGTAATCCATCTCTGTTTACCTGAAAGATTGACTGTACAAATTCATTTTCTTATTGTGCAAAGTATCATATTTATATTTCGTGTGTATGTATATTTTTGTAATCTGTTTGTCAAATGTTTGGTAAGGAATGATAACATTGATTGCTTGTATGCCAGCACTAATTGTTGTTAGCTTTCTTTCATTTAGGCGTATTTAGATTCGTTTTATAATCCAAATAAATGTTATTATATTTCAATTATAAAATTAAATTAAAAATACTTAAATGAAAGAAAGTTGTAAATTAAAAAAAATATCAATAATAAATATGTAAAATATAATTATTAGCGTCGTCACAGTTATAATTTCTTAATAAATTTTCCATTTTAATGTTTTTACTTTTTTAAAAATGAAGTAAGGAAGTAATGTTATTTTAACATATTAATATAATAATACCCTTGTGATTGTTTTTTTTTAATCATTACTGTTTTTGAAAATGCTGACTTTTTAAAAACTGCTGAACCATGTATTGTGAAAGCAATTTTATAATAAATTTTACTTTTGGTATGAGTGTTATATCTTTGCTAAATGCTTCCTATGCTACTTTCTTAATATTAATAATATTTTATCATACCTAATCTTATTAGTTTTTTTTTTTTTTTCTTTGTTTCCCCAGAATGCAGCAACATAAAGTTTGGAGCCCACTTTTTTTTACCAATTATTCAAAAGTGTTTTGTTTTTGAAATTTTAAAAATAAAAACTTAAATTTATTAGTACAAATGTAAGTGTTATTGACCATACAATAATGACTTTTTTATGTTGCACAGTGCAGTTTTAGTCAAGCTGTAGGTCCTGCAATTCTTAGTAAAAAATATTTTGTCCTGACATTATTTTTTGTATGAGTTCAGAGCATTCATTTTCCTATAATACAAATGCATATTTTTAACTAGTCAGTTTGAAGAATTTTTATTTTCAATTTAAAACCTTTTTATTTTAAATAATGCTTTTAAAAATATCAAAATTCAATTGTTAAGACTATCTGCTAATTATGAATCCTGGAAAAGTTTTTGTCCTAATTTGAAAGAGAATGCTACAAAATTTTTGAAGTCAAAAATGTTTTTGCTACTTTTTCTCTGTAAAAGAAAAAAAATCGGGATTGTTGTTTTCCGTTTAAACATCTTACATTTTTAAGAAAAATAAAAAGTCAGCTTTTATGTGATTTTATTGCTGCCTTCAATAAGAAAAATGTAGCAGAGCAATTGGTGAAATAGACATCATGATTTGCTTTAAAGTTGTTTACAAATCATGAGTTTCAATTCATAGTAAATGTGTTTTATGAAATACAGTATTTACGACTTTTTCGTTTTAATTTTTTCCAAGTTTATTTTACACTATATTTAACTGGTTTAAAACGTTTAATTTAATCTTGTTTCGCCAGTAACAGACGAGATCTCAGAGAACCTACATCACATTTCATTTACAAATTGCACATTATGATTCGCTGAAATTACCCATTATGATTAAAATTAAAGCAATTTTAAAATCAAATGTGATTTGTATTTACAATTTTATAATACAATATCGTGATTCGTATTCACATGATTTTAGTACATAAAATTTTTTATTTTTGGGTTTTGGAAATTATACCTTACCTTAAAAATATCCTGCTACTGCCATCAGGTGTGTAAAATGAGAAATAAAATGTTTTCCAGGCAAAAGAAATGAATTAGTTTTATTCTTATTGGCGCATTACTACTGAACACTCTAGTCTGTCAATATCACGAGCGAGAAATAGTGGACGAAATCTCACCCAGTCATTTTCACAGGAGCGAGAAGGAAGGGATTAAAACAGTATTTAGACAGACATTTTCATGGTAAAAAATAATTTAAGATTTTCATCAATTCTTGGTTTATTGATAGTATGCATAAGGAGAAATGAAGGTTTTAATTTCAATAACTTAAAAATGTTTCTGTGATTTTCTGACTATTATTCAGTCTTTTTGAAGAATTAAAAATGTAATGGGGGGGGGGGTAAGTGTAGTGGGCATATATTAAAAAAACATCTATTTTCCTCTTTTAAATTTAGGTAATTGGTTTAATATTTTTAGAAACATTTACTGGGATTGGGGCAGGCATTTTTAATTCAGTACTAGAAACTAGTAAAAAGTTTAATGTTTACAAACTATCTGTTTATGATCATCTTATACAGTATATTAGTTTAAGCTGGTGGTGAACTTTCTTCTTACATCATTAAAAATTCGGAAAACCTATTCATTATAGTTCACACTGGTAGAGGTGCATCTAAAGAACAGATCAGCATCGAAATTTAGGAATAAATTTTAAAATCATTTTACTATGAATTGTTTTCTGAGATGGGTATATGGTTAGGCTTAGCTAAATGTAATGTTTTTTTTTCTTTTTTTGTGCTTCTATATTAGCTTTAGTAAGTATCTAATGCTCTATATTTTATAATAAAATATCTAAAAAATTATTTACTTCTTTAATTATAGCCCTACATAGTAATTTTAACACTGAACACAGAATTTCTTTTAAGTTTTACTTTTTAAATAGAACAATGATAAGGGGTAATAACAATGTAACAAACATATTATATAATTTAAAAAAATTACCAAAATACATAGAATAATAGTAAAACTTAGCATATTTAAAGATATAAATGAGTTTTCACACAAGTTTTTGTCTTCATATTTTAGTTTTTCATAGAAAACAAAACAATTACTTTAAAAATAACTAAATTGAATAAACTATACTATTAATAGTAAATAACACTTTTAACTACCTCAATAGATATTAATTTTTATATTTGAAATAAACAAAGAACCATTCCACTTTTCTTGCTTTTTGATGAAATTATGTCAAGTTCTGCAATTTAAACTGCATCCGAAGTGAACCCTAATTTTGATTTAATGTACGGAAATAGAACGTTATTTTTAGCACTTATTCTTTTAAATATATTCAAGATTCATTTATTTTTATTTAAGAGCATTTTCATTTCTAAAACAATATTTACATATGTTTTTTAATAAAATATATATTATAACTCATATGTACTGAATGATTTTAATGAAATTAGAATTATGCTCCCTTTGCCCCACTCTGAAGTAAAGTGGGTATATCAAAACACGTTTTGAATGCATTACTTAACTGTAAGAAAACAATCAAGCAAAATTCATATGTTATGATTCATATTTAATCTATATGAATCCAATGTATATATAAAATGCACTCTTCTTTAAAACAGGCTTGATTTTATACCTAGTTTCCCCCACCTGACCCTATGTGGACAAATAAGGCATACTAAAAATAGAAAAGTAAGTCAACATTTAGATAATAAAATATGCTTTTTTCGTGTTTCTTTTAATACTTTTCTCATTCCTTCTGCCATAAATTTACTGTTAAAATATATATATTCTGTTATGTTAAATATAACGCAACTTTATAAATCAATAAGTTTAAATTCCTTTAGTTTATGAGTGGAACCTTATATTTAGTTTTATAAATTAGTTGAGAAAAATTTCAAACCCAAAAAATAAAAACTGGAAAATGATAAAGTCCAGGAATTTTCTGCAAGAGAGCATATATTCTACGTGCAGAATTCAATATAACCCCTGGGCATTCAATCGGTTTTATTTGAGATTCGAGAAATTGATTTTGTTATTTTGAGAAAAGATGGCTTAGAATTTGTTTTAAAAGAATTTATGGTACTTGGAAGCTAATTTAAAAAATTGGTTCGGCTGTTCAACGACGGTTATATATAAAAATAAGAAAACATACTTAGGATTATGAGCACGTTAGAACATCTTTTTAACAATATTATAGATTATCTTGATATGGAAACCTCTATCTTGGGCATTGACTTTAATGTAATTTTTTGTTTTAAGAGCAAATTCTTTCCTTATAACTTATTATAAATTTTGCATTGAATCTTTTATTTTAAATATGCTCCAATGACAGGTGTTGATATTGATCCGGTTTTTCCAAGGTATCGGAATTTGCTTTTGGATGGAAGACATTCTTTTAAAAATATTAAAAAACATTTGAAGATACAATGCAATTCCAGGGTTCCCACGGTCCTTGAAAGTCCTTGAATTTTTTTGTTGCTAAATTTAGGTCCTTGAAAGTGCTTGAAAAACGTCTTAGGTCCTTGAAAAACTTGATAGGTCCTTGAATTTGTCCAATACTGCCGCGGCTCTTTCTCGTTCTTTCTGTTTTGTTCCCGAGCTCTCTCACGTGGTTTTTAACGCCACCGTTTCTAACCGGGCCTAGCGTCTTGGTGTCTGCCAAGCGCGCGGAGCACAGCAGACAATCAATGCGTTCGGGGCGAGACTCCACTTCATCTTCTGTCGCATATGCTTAGATCTTCTTTTTTCTTATCNATGTACAGGGTGTTCCAAAATTCTCTTTACAACTTCAAAAATTCATAACTTCGAAAATAAACAAGATATTTATATTCTGTCTTTTGCATGTATTACTGCAACTAATAAAGTTTTGTTTAGTACACTTCAACATGTGCACCATTGGTGGCCCTAAGCACTTCCAGTCTGTAATCAATTTCAAGCCAGGTGATGTAAAGATAATTTTGGAACACCCTGTATATTCTGTTATGTTAAATATAACACAGCTTTATAAGTCAATAAATTTGAATTCCTTTAGTTTATGAGTGGAACCTTAATTTAGTTTTGTAAATTAGTTGAGAAAAATTTCAAACCCAAAAAATAAAAACTGGATTCTGGGAAAATGATTAGGTCTAAGAGTTTTCTGCAGCTCTGCAAGAGAGCATATATTCTACCTGCAGAATTCAATATAACATCTGGGCATTCAATCGGTTATTTGAGATTCGAGGAATTGATTTTGTTATTTGGAGAAAAGATGGCTTGGAATTTGTTTTAAAAGAATTCTTGGTACTTGGCAGCTAATTTACTAAAAGTTTAAAAAATTGGGTCGGCAGTTCAATGACGGTTATATTTTAAAAAAACATACTTAGGATTATGAGCATTGGAGAACATCTTTTTAACAATATTATAGATTATCTTGATATGGAAACCTCTATCTTGGGCATTGACTTTAATGTAATTTTTTGTTTTAAGAGCAAATTCTTTCCTTGTAACTTATAAATTTTGCATTGAATCTTTTATTTTAAATATGCTCCAATGACAGGTGTTGATATTGATCCAGTTTTTCCTAGGTATCGGAATTTGCTTTTGGTGGGAAGACATTCGTTTAAAAATATTAAAAAACATTTGATGATACAATGCAATTCTCTTTTGTTCTTAAAGATTAATAAATTTTTATCAGGTATTTATTTACATTTTATTTTATTCATAGATTCTTTTAATTACCACCAGGAGACGATATCGCCCCTCTAACTTTTTTTTTTTTAATTTTATTTTATAACCGTCGTTGAACAACCGACCCAATTTCGGGCTTACAACTAGTAATGTTCAAATCCATAGCCTTGTAATTTTGAACCCAATCAAGAAGACAAGAGAACTCCTGAATCAAGTATTAGGAGAAATTTGGCTTCATGTAGGACTTTTTGATGGAACTAACCTGCATTTGCTTTACAACATGGAGAGGAAAACCTCCTACGGTTAATCTGACGGCAAAAGGAGTATAACACATGATCCGTCTGCTACTGAGGATTTTACGTCACCACTGAGATCGGTGCGAGCCATCACTAGGATTCGAACCTGGTTCCCCTTATTAGTAGGTGGTTGCTCTATCCCCTGAGCCACTATGGCTTTGATATATTTCATTATTAAATTTATAAATACAAGTTATGATTGATAATTTGTTTTCTTAAAAATAGTTAATATAAAATATGGCTCCAAAAATTTCAAATGCCTTATTTTTCACTTTTGACGTTTTCTTTTCTTTTTTTGAAAAAAAAATTTTTAGGGATATTTAGGTTATCAATATCCTACCTCTGGTTTTAATCTTTAAATGAAGTAAACATTGCTTTTACTTTGTAGAAACGGAGATACAACTAGGTTCCAAATTATTTGTTTCAAATTAGTAATCTGAAATAATTTATTAGCCAAAAAAGTATCTAACTATATCTTATTTCATTAACACTAGGATGCTCCGATTCACGTTTTATCTTGGCATTCGTTTCATTTTCTTAAAGTCGATATTTTTTAAAAAAATAAGAGTCATTTTATTAATAAAATATGCAATTATTATATGAGTAAACAATTTTTTTTTAATTATAACAAAACGAATGATCAGTTTAATTTGAAAAATTATCAATTGTACCAGGAAGAAAAATTAAACTTAGGAAAAATAAATGTGACACAATCATAAGAAATTAAAAAAGTAAATTTACTCGTTAAAGATGACTTATGACATTATAATTACATATAATAATATGAAAATTCAGAAAGGAAACCGTTTTTATCGCTCTTGAATTAAGTTTATATTTTAAAAATGTCAAAGCACACACAACTATTAAAACTATGGCAACATCAAATTTGCCTCTTTTTAATTATTTATTTAAGTTTTCTTTTTACTTTTTTTTAATACTTTCTTTTTGTTACTTTTCTCGAGTGCAAGCATATAAAATGAAGATCTCGAGAAAGATAAATAAAATTTCCGATAACATTAGATAAATGTTAAATTTTTTCTCATGCATTATTAGAAGATCTCAAACAAAAGGTAATAAGGAGTGAGTTTTCTAGTTTTACTTTAACTATAATAAATAAAATAAAAACAGAGTAGAAGAATATGGTATTCTTACATATTTTCGATATTTTACTTTTGATAATTATTTGGATTACAACATCATGTACAATAATCGTCTGTAAATTATATAAAATTTGAAAACTTAATTTATTTGAGTTTAAAACTATGTATTGTTTATCGCTATTTTAAACATCAGTCAACAAATATATTTGTAACAATGATGGTTTTTTCACTTTTAAACAAAACGCTTTTTGACTCTACATTATTCAAACCATAGTTAAAGAACTGATTCGGTATCAATTTTTACAATTTAAAAAGAATTCATTAAACCATGAAAAGATCGTTTTCATTTTCTTAATTATTAAATCGTTTGAAAACCAATTGTAAAAATAAAAAAAAAAATTTTTTTTTTCGTTTTAACTGTTAATGTTTGGACGTTTGAAGACCATAATAAATAAAGCTTGTTTAAAAAAATTTTACATCGAAGAGGTAACGAAATATTTTGAATATTAAATAGCTTATTTTATTTGGTAATGTTTTTTATTTTAATTTTAAAATGACTTACTTCGTTGTATTAAATTGTGGCTTTTTCTTTTGCAATTTTTTTCGTTTTCTCTTTAAATTATTAGAACAAAAACAGTTTTCCAAATATAACAACTCACAATATGTCTCTAATCTAAACTTCATTTTTAAGAAACTCATAATTTTAAAGAAAACTTATAATTTTCTCTATGTCTTTCGACTACATCTTTACTTAGTTTAAAAATTCCTTATTCTATATATAGCAAAATTATAATGTTTGTTTTCATTCCTTTCGTGTCTATACTGTTGTACAGTTTTCGTGCTTTTTGGATCGAATCATATTTTTTATTTACTTTAAAGAAATTAATATGATGACTAATTAACTTTATAAAAATCAATATAACTTTTCAGATAAGCTAAGTAAACAGGAAGATCAGTGTAGATATGTCACATGGGAATTCATGTCACATTCAAATACTTCCTCAAAGTGACAACGATGGCATTAAACTGATTCGCTATATGGATCACATATTTAAATTTACGATAAAAATGAACGATGTATCGTACAAGTAAGACTAATATTTATATTCACATTATAATCGAACTAGTTTATAACGATAGTCACGTATTAAACGAAACCCTCATAAAAAGCTTTACTAAATGGTTGGTATATTAATAAAAAAAATCTATTCTAAACATTGTTGTTAATAGCAAATCAAAAATTTAAAGAGACATTTATACGACTGTTCGTACTAATTATGTTTTACCTTTGGTATTGTTTATAAGAGCTTTAGCTAAATTTGTTCAAAAATTATAGATCGATAAACAATGTGACTCATACTTTGCCATGAATCGCAGAATAACAATGTCTGAGTGTGTTTTCCTTACCTATGTTTTTGTTGTCGTAAGCCATTAAGGCTAGGTGCGCGATTGTTGTTTTCCAGTGGCGCCACCTATGGTCAAGAATTCGACTTCCGCCAGACCCGTTTATAGGGCGGACCCATTCATTCATCCACAGATCGTAATTTTGACCTGAACCAGAAAATGATCCATCTCCAATTCAGTACCTCCAGATAGGTATTGATTTGTTATGGGAGCATGGAGGACTTTGTGATTCGACAAATTTAACGTGCACCAGTCACCATTTACTACATTCGGCAGACTAGATTCGAACTCCCGTTCCCACAAACGTGAGTCCAGCGCCCTGCTATCCAGGTTATTCCGACTCCTCCTGACCCGTGAACGAACAATTTAAACACCGAATCCAAAAACATATAATTATCCAAGAAATTGCAAACTTTTTTGAAACCAATCAATGTTAGTGATAACGTATTTCGCTCCATGAACTACGCATCGAAAATTCACCGAGGTTCAATCACAAAATAAACTCAATCATAAGTTCAACTAGAGAATAGAGAAAATACAAAGTTGTAAAAAGTAATCAGTTTTCAAACATTTGAGAATCGTCGTAATGTTGAGGCAGTCGAGGCATTTGTTCAGGGCCCCACATTCCTAGGCCTCTTGTCGTCCCATGCCAGTGATATTTGTAAAGGAATTTGAATAGTTATAACAAACATTTATTTATTTAAAATTAAAAAAAAATTAGTCTTAATATTGAAAATTCAAACACCTAATTTCAACTAGTAGATAAAATAGAACAGACAGTAATCACAATATTTTTCAGGGGCCACACACAAAAAATCTACTTAAATCAAAATTAAGGAATTTAATAATAAAATTTATTTAAATATTTTTTGATGATTATTCAATTATGGCACCTATACTCAAAATTCCTGATATTTGAGGTCCACTAATGTTGTTGTGCATAAAATATAAAAATTAAACGATAGTATAAAATTTAAAGAGAAAAATAATAAAATGTCATTATTCGTTTTAGGAATTAGAATCGAAAAAAAATATTACTTATATAATCAATTTACATTATTAAAGCAAAAATATTTTGTCCTAAAGTGTTTTTTTTTTCTAGTTGTACTGTGGAAAGTGAATGTTTAAGAACCTCGTAAAATGTAAGAGACCCACTTTTGCGATGGAACTGAATCTTCTAGTTCATTTTTGTACAATGAGCAAAAATAAAAATAATAACGAATAATTTAAGTGAGTGCAAATATTTTTCAATTCGCTTTGAAAACTCTCGAGATATGACGAAACACGCAAAAAGTAAAGTTAACCCTTTATTTAAGGGATCGGAAACCGCCGAAAAAAAGGTATATTTATTCAGAGGAAACATGTTTTTGTGCCTGATTACGCAATTTAAAATATCGTCTGCTCTAATAAACTCCTCGAACCCTTAAAATTGTGCCTTAGAACGTGAAGATTCGTTGATTTGGCTAAAAAGATTTTTTTTTCCTTTTGCACACTGTTCATGTTATAACTTTCTTGCTTTCGTTTTTGATAATTTTTCCCATCTCAGGTTTCACGAGCGAATTGTCTCTGTCCCTGCGTTCTCGTTATAAACTTGTTCGATTGTATCAATACTTTTTTCATACATTTTCACATACATCTCTTACATAAATACATTGAATTAGAGTTTCGCTTAATTTTTTTAGACTTTTGCGGGAACATGGTGAACATAAAATTCAGTGGGAGTTCGAGGTATGTAATTTTTCTCATTATAATGTTTTCCCCCTTAGGTTTAAAAATAATTAAAGTTCTGTATTAAACAAGAAAACGAGTGAACAAACTTAGGAATTTTTTTTCTTTTTAATAATTGCAATTGTATACAAAATTTAAGGATACAGTCTTTATTTTTCCTTCTATAAAACGATATTTGTAGCATATTAAAACTCTATTTGAATTCATATTATGATTAACAAGAAAATAATTTCTCCATATATCATAAAACATGATAATGGTCTAAAACCGTTTCTTATTGTTTTCGGCATATTTTTATATTTTATTGGCTTGATAATCTCAGGTTATGATTCCTTCATAAAAAAAGATTCGGATTCCTTTGCTTGTTATCAGAATTAATAAAATCATAAAGATAATTTTCGCCTTATTTAACGGTATATTTACCTTTGATGTTTATCTTTTTTGTCTCTGTCCAAAACTGCTTTTATATAATATTTCAAAACCAAAAGAAATGTTTCTCTATTATTATACTAATCTGATATTACATTATAAAGCATCGCAAGATTCTATGATAAATATATCTAAAAATATTTTAAACTTATTACTCCTTTTGCAATTATTAAACATGGCTTACTTATAAAATAAATGTGAAACTGAATCCAGTCAACATATGCAATTAAGAAAAAGCATACAAAATTGTAAAACTCTATGAGCAATTAACTTTTTGGATGATTATTAAATAATTTCTTCGACGAAAAACATTTAATGAGTTCTTAATGCAACCAAGACACCATAGAATTACAAAAAAAAAAAAATATGTAGTTGATGTTGAAATAGTAACTGATTAAAATACACATAATTTAAACTATATCTGTAAAACTTTATGTTTGTGCAACCCTTTAATTGAACATTTTTGTTTAATTTCGATGTAGCAGTCTATTTGTCTTGAGAAATAAAGTAATACTGTTTAGCAATCGTAGGAGTTGGTGAACGAAGCGAGGAGGGGTGGAGCCTCCTAGTATCAAATAATTTCGGTCAATTTAATGAATAATCTCAAGAAACGGAAGCGTTTAAGACATTACCTAATTAAAAACTTCATTCTTTTTAAAAATGATACAACACAGTAATTATATCCGTTATCAAAAATACGCTAAATCAGCAATTGCTGCACAGTGTTGGAATCTTGGACGTAAATTTAATTTCAAAAAGACCAAAATTATTCCTCTCCCTCCCAGTCACATCAATTCATCTTGACCCCCAGGAATCTTGTTTTACTGATATGAATACTAATTACCTTGTTAACGACATTAGTTCCTCACGATCTCTCCAGTGGAAATGTATTTTACCTTGATTTGCCTCTTTTGGACACTGTGTCTTTTGAACTTGTTCCGTTTTGTCTTTTTTTTTTCCTGGGCAACTGTGGTTTTTCTAGTTTTGTTTCCCATGTTTATTTTTCCATTTTCCGTTGACAACTTTTTGTTCTATATTTCAAATCACTTTTATTTTATCTTTCTCACGTCTGACATAGTCTTGAAAATGAGCTCCTGTTTTTTAGCCGTTGAGTCATGTCAACTGTTATTTCATATTTAAATATTTTTGAAATGAGTGAAGCTTTTAATCAAGTAATTTCGGTCGATGTTAGCTTTGAATTATTCGTACTCTTCTTTTGTTAGTTTCCTAACCTTACTATACAAATAAAGATTTACAAATTTACTATGCGAATTATAACTATACGAATTATTACTATACAAATACATTATAATTTACCAGTAAATTACCATACAAATAAAGTAAAATATTTATATTTTACACGATAACTCTATGTACCTATTTAAGCATTTTACTTTGTGGCATATCCTTTATATAAGGCATTTTTATCAGACATATCTTTAGGAACCTGATAAAATGCTTAGTTTTTATTTTATACATATAAACTTTTTATTGTTATTATTATTATTTGATATTTTTCCCATTGTATTTTAATTCACTATTACTATCAGTTTTTGAAATAATTGAAAAATATATTAATAATTTTTCAAATTTCATCAAATTTCAATTTGTGTTGTATTAAAAAAAATGCTATTTCACTGTATTGTCTTTGCCACAGCAAGCTATTCTTCATGCACTACATAAAGCTACAACAGATCTAAATGAAATTGAAGAAATCATGGTTCATACCGAATCTTTAACTGTAAAATTCAGTATCCTTCAAACAGTGTATTTCCTTACTTTAAATATGCTTCTTTTACAAGCACAAACTTTGCTTCATTATGTATTTGTTACCACTTTACCTTAAAAGCCGTTAATATGCATTAGCAAACCAGTAAATTAACCAGATAAATCCGTTTAAGTGCGGAATCAAGAGTTTCCACAATATATTTGAACACACCAACTGTTTCCGTATCATTAGAATGTAAAAGTTTATTTTTCTTTCTATGAACGAGTTATTTTATTGATTCGTTCTAATTTTTTTATCGAATTTTTGTCTTGATGCTTAAGACATTAAGGAATAAATAAAGGACATGTTAATTTCCTTTATTTAATAATATTTTAAACCCTTTGATTTCTTTTAGATATTATATAAAGTGATTGATGTTTGATTCTATCAACTAATGTGCTGATCTTTTGATTGTAGTAATTTTATTTTTTAGATCCTAGCAGGTAATGCGCATAATATCTAGGTAGTTTGCAAATTACGCAAGAGAATTGAAACAACTTTTTTGATTAATTTAACACAGTAATCTACAACTTTTTTATCACTGCAGTCCGATCAAAGGTTGATAATTTTACAGTGACCAGCTGAGCGGAGAAGTTAAATTTTAACTTTTATCTATTAACTTTTTGAAAGTTATTAGAGATTGTTTACTATATTATCACAGTTTAAGAGAAATAAAGAATAAAAAAAAAAGTAGTTAGAGAGAAGTTACTTGGCCACTGTGTTTACTTAAATCTAGATATAGATAACACACTGTAAAAAATTCCGAATGAAATTGCAGTACAAAGCACAAGCACTTTGGGTGCATCATCCGTAAAATTCACTTATACCGTAATTTTTGCAGTAATATTTATTTAATTAGAGGGATTTTACGGAAATAATTACTGTAAAAACTACGATAAATCAGAATTTTTTTTTTGTTTTGTTCCCCAACATGCTACAGTAAAAATGGATTTTAAGAATACGTTTCAGTAAGAATGGATTATGGTAAAAAGTATCGGCACCCAATATCACAATGTGATCCGGAATTTTTTGCAGTGCATAATACCATAGATACCATCCTCTATATTTACCTTGTTTAATACATACAGAAACAATACATTTTTTAAAATAAACATATCACAATTCGAATTCCGACATGTATGGAGTGCATAGATCACCTAAGAGTATATCTTTCATGTTAATATTTTTATATTAAAAAAATAACTAAGTATAAGTCTTAACTTTTGTAAGATTTACATCCTTGGAAACTTAGCCACAAGATATGCTTTGAAGGAGTTGATAATCTAATATATTGCTGCGGTAAATATCAGTTTCTTGTTTCGTTCCTGGAAAGAAATAAAGGTGAAGTTTTATTCAATTGCTCAAATTTTATTTTTATTTTTATAACTTATAAGCACAATGAAATTGTTTTGTTTATTCAAAATATAAGAGGTTTGAGTGTTTCAATTTATTTTATAATCTGTGTTCAACAGCCAACCAATATTTGGTTTTTGATGATCAATATTCAACTTCCTAGAATTGTAATTTTGGACCCGACCCAGAAGACAAGGGAAGCACGGCTCCCTCTTCCACCTTTTCAACATTCCCAAATTACAATTTAATATTCATTTTAAAATGATTGAATGCATTAAAATTGCTAATTATTGAAATAAGTAATTTTAATTTTTTTAAAATAATACCCTGATTTTGCAAAATACTTGCCAAATAAAGACCCCAAACAGGCTTTGTGCATCGTCGAGCCGCCTGATTAGTAAATCGGCCTTTGCCACTGTTCATTGCAGTACAATCATAATTTGACCTTAAAAAAAGGAAAATTGCTTCTATCGAAGCACTATAGTTTATTTCATACCGGCGTAGAACAGCCGCCCTATTTTTGAGTATACGACTATATTCAACTTCGTAGCATTTAAATTTCTTAGACAACCCAGACAACAAGGGAACTCCTGGATCAAGCATTTGAACAAACTAACCTTCACGGAGGACTTTTTGGTGAAACTTACCAGTATTTGCGTTACATGAAAAGGAAAACATGAAAACTTTTCACGGTTAGCCCGACGGCAAAGAGATTTTTATCCACGATCTTTCTACCGCTAAGAATATTTTACGTCAGCACTATTGTCAGTGCTCTTCGAGGCAGAATTCGTATCGATCATGCTGCCATCACTGGGATACGAACCTGGGTCATTTCATTGGGAACCCTGCTATCTATACCTCTATAGCCTCCCATATTGCCATTTGAGAAAGCATCACAAAATGCTAATATTATATTTTTATTTATTTATTGTATTATTGTTAGTGATATTCTTAGTTACTATTATTAATAAATTACCACCGCCCTGAATCTGTCAAAAATTAGGTCCTTAAACCTGCATTGAGGGGTGGAAAAACAAATCATTATTGAAATGAATCCCAATTAAAGTCAATAAAACTGGTTTTATGTCTGAAGAAACTGAATTTGAGCTATTGACGTCGTTTAACACTGTTATTTGTACTTGCTAATGTTTGAGTTTGTCATCAACTCTACAGTTAATCAAATTTAATCCTCGGCAATGATTCGTTAAATTTTGATAATATTTTGTTTCGCTTTGTTTTTCTTTTTTCCTAAGTATTTACAAAAATTCAGAAAAATAATATTAAGGTTGATGATTACAAAACACTCTGGTAATTTCTGTTTTGTAAGAAAAGTTAAGGAAATCTCACCCTCTGGTGAATTTGGTGTGTCAAGTAAAAAGCACTTGAACGTGTATTTTTTAGATTTTTTTTTAACCGGTGCTTATTTTTCGACCTATTTGTTTCGGTACATTAAAGTAGGTGACTACGGAATATTCTGAAAGAAAATTAGCAGTAATATGAAGATTTTTTTCTCCCTTTTTAGCGTTTTTTTTTACAATGTGACTATAGAATTTGTTAATAATATCACTCAAAAATTTTTAGTTTTTTTTTTTTTTTTTTTTTTTTTTTTTTTTTTTTTTTTTTTTTTTTTAAGAACAACAACGTTTAACCTGAGTCTATGAAAAATTTTATATTCTTGTCATTCCGCAACAAAAAAAAATTCACAATTTTTTTTTTATAAGTATGAGGCATTTATTTCTGATCAAAATAACTACATACTTACTAATATTTTTTCCAGTAGCAAAAGAAATTCCCGCAGCGGAGTATCAGCAAAGAATGACTAACTTCAATGAGGTAAGCTATTTATAAACCATTTCTCCGTCATTTTTTATTTGTCAACTTTTCGTTTTGTGGCTCAGCTAAGTTAACTTTTAATCGAGCTTTAAGCTAAATCGTAAAAATTACTCATGAGAATATTGAAAAAAAAAGAGAAAAAAAGCGGTTCTTAAGTGTGCAAAGAGGCTTTTCCTGTCCACATTACATAAAACAGAGTTCATAACATAATAAAACCGGTTGAGCCTCTTTCCTGGCTTCGGAGATTTCGTGAATATGAGGTAAATATAAACATTGATTAAAAACAATAAAAAATTAAGTGGCTATTCTAGCTATGTATTCTAGTTGTGTACTACATTACTTTTTGAAAATAATAAAAATATTTATTATAAGTATTTGTCAACGATGCCGTAAACTACAATTGGTGATCGAAATGGGATATAGTTGACGTAGAGCAGAACTCTCTACCTATGGCAACACTTCGCATACTTTCACCAATAGCGTGTGGAGAGTCATAGGAGAAGGAAGTACGTCAGTTTCTTAGTTCTTAAAAAATTTTAAGTTAGGAAACTATATGGAACTGAAAACTACATTGAACATAGTTCTAAAAAAAGCTTCGTGGAAATTTTAAAAAGTATTTGTGACAGTTAAATACGAAAAATATTTAAAAAATGGAAAATATCATAAGAGAGGGAGGGAAGGAGAGGGGAAGAGGGTCAAGACATGGAACAGGTCTTCTCCTCAGAGGGCGTATTCGAGCGCTACGATTGCGAGTTACCAAGCAATATAAACGATCCGTCGTTATTATTAAAGACACTATTCATACGAAAAGCAACAGTGATATGTATTAGTGAAGTTATGTTTTATTTTTTCTTTCCCTTAGATCAGAAGTATCGAGGCTGATGAAAATAGTTACAATGCTTCTTCGATCAGAGATGCAATATTTAAGGAAGACGAAGGTAATATACATTTTCTTAATATTCAGCTAACTTCTATGGCTTAATGTAAGAATGGTGAATATTAATTTTAGAAAAGAGTAACTGGGGTTTCTTAGTCCACCGGTATTACTTAATTCATTCTCGAAATAAAAATTTGAGCGGCAACGTCTAAAGTTCACCTTGAATGTTTTATAAATGGGTATGTCAGTAGCAATGTTGGCAAGATTTAGATAGATACATTGGTGTCCAAAAGTTAACATAACATGAAGCTGCATAAAAGTAAACATAATTGATGTTTACGTGAATGTCTATAGGATATCTGAGTCAGAATGGTAGGAAAAGTAATATGCAAGTATAATACGGTTATACCACTGGAAAACAATGAAAAAGAATGGATTTTATTAACTATTCGAACGAAAAAACAGTTCGGAAAAAATAGTGCCAACTAACAGTTTATAGTTTAACGAGAAAAAAAAATTAAAAGGTTATTTGGCAGTTTAATATGGTATCTTGTCAATTGTAGAAGACATGACAGGTTACACAACGTTTTCCCTTATGTTGTGTAAATAAGTTGCCTCCTCCATGAGCCCCAAGCAATTTGTATAGAGCTCTTTCTAATTCTGAAACAAAGTTAGGTTAGTGCGAAAGAGCTGCAATTTGTCTACCGAAATTATTCCACTCATTCTCAATAGAATTAAGATCCAGTGAATGATCAGGCCACTGCAGATGCGCTGAATATTTTCCCTTTCAAGAAAGTCATCGACCAAGATCAAACGGGGATTCATCCATGAATATAAATCTAGGACCAAAAGCGTTCCAGAATAGGCGAGTATAATGATGAAATGCTCGAGTACTTCGTCTGTGTACCTTTTAGCAGTAGCAGAGAGATGGAGATTAGTGTGTCTCTTCAGCAAGAACACATAACCCACCTGATATCTAAATCGACTTTGACTGAAATGTTTTAGCAATGCACACAATTTCATCCTCAAACAGTGATTCTCAACAATTGAATTTGGACAATTTTAACTAAATTTACTCACGAACGGTGGTGGCTTAGGGGATGGAGCATTCTCCACTCAATGAGGTGAATCAAACGGTTTCTGGTTGGTACGAATTCTGCTGTCGCCTAGCACCAACTACGGAGCTGATGTAAAATAGCCTCAGAGGTTGACGATCATGAGATATAATCTCTTTGTCTTTGGGCTAACCATGGAAGGTTTCTCTCCTTTGCATGGTTCTCCGCGTGTAATGCGAATGCGGGTAAGTTCCACCAAAAAGTCCTCCATGAAGGCTGGTTTGTCCCACTGCTTGTTGGTGGAGTTTATTGTCTTCTGAGTTTGGTTCAAAGTTACAAGGTTATTGAGTTGAGCAATGATAGCCTTTTTTTTAAAAAATATAACAATTACTTGCATTTTTCCACACCTTGCAAATAACGAGTTGATAATTTGGGCACGGACCTATCCTTCCTTCCCAGATTTCCAAACTTAATTTTTTACACTAATTTTTTAAAATAATTTCACTTTTTGTTTGCATGTTATTATTCTTGGATAAACGAATTTTATAATTGTGCACAAAAATAAGATTAGCTTTATAAGTTATCGTATCAAGTCTCTATCAGACTCTAACAAATCCACTGATTTCGTTTGTGTCATTATATTTATTCCTTTTAATGAAAGAAATTGAAATCATGAAAATTTTAATTTTCTTATAGTTTTGAAGAGATATGAAAATTATAACAGCGGAGAAGATATGCAGCAAAACAAGGCAGATGATATGGAATTACGAAGCCCACATAAAAAACTGAAAACCTCACATGGGATTTTTTATCGTATTTTCAAGTGAATACAATTGCTTTTTTTATCCTTCGCAATAATTGTTTTATGACAGTCATTAGAAATTATTATATCGCTAGTTACTATAAATTAAGTAGTTAGAATGCATTAAATAGTTAGTTAAATAACGTATACATATTACATATACATATTTAAAAAGAGAGAAAATTATTTTTTTGTATACATATTGTTTTCTTTCAAACTTTATATTGAGATGTCAACTTGCTCCGGACAGCGGATAAATATTTTCGAGTGGTAATCTTTTAATGTATGATTCTTGGTTTAATAAATTCGATTTATAGGGTTTTTACATACCACTACTTCTAAAAAATTGAAAGGTTTAAGTTATGCGTCCCTCTGCTGCAGGCTGCAGTCAGGGAAATAAACCAAAAGTCTGCAAGTTTTAGTTCTCAACCGCTTTTTTAAATATTCTGTCTTGTTCGGAGCAGTTGGTATCTCCACCTTATATAAAACGATTAAACCTCAGAAAACTTCTAAAAGCTTCTTTCTGCAAAAAACTTCTTTTTTAAAAAAAAAAAATAAATTATAAATACCTCAAAAAAATGGTCTAACGAAGAAAAGCAAAAAAATATTTTTTGAATAATGCATTTTTAACCAAAAATTGCTCATATTTGTAAAAAAATTTGTGAGTTTTAAAGCGAAGCTCTAAAACTTAATTCCATCATTTTTTTTAATTNTTTTTTTAACGCTAACATGATATAATTGTTTATTAATATATAAATAAAAAGTTTTGCACTTACGACAATTGCTTTATCAACGCCTTTGCATTTCACAGCTAAAGTTTCCACGCACACTTTTCGACATCCGACGTCCTCGGAAAGTTATTGACATTGGATGAATGAAGCACACTCTAAGCTTGTTTTAAAATTCGAAAAAATGTTTGCAGTAATAGATGAGACTTCTATCTTCAAATTCCACACATTTTTAACGTGAAATAAACATAATACTGAATAGCAGCACTTGAAAAGTGCCAAATTCGAATTTGCACAAAGTAGCCCCCGCTGCACAAAGTAGCCCCGAATGACGGTACCTCAAAAAAATGGTCTAACGAAGAAAGCAAAAAAATATTTTTCGAATAATGCATTTTTAACCAAAAATTGCTAATATTTCTAAAAAAATTTGTGAGTTTTAAAGCGAAGCTCTAAAACTTAATTCCATCATTTTTTTTTAATTAACCACGAAACTTCTTTTTTTTAAATTTTATTTATTAAGTAAGGGTCATTAATAAAAATGTGATTCGTTATATTCATTTTATAGTGAGAAGGAAATAGCGCGTTCATTAAATTTGATTACTCGACTTCCAAAGATAAATACCGGAACCACCAGCCTAAAATATAAAAGTGATCATTTCTCATAGCACCGCTTAAAAAGTCATTTAGATTTGACACAGTATAGTCGTGATTGGTTTTTGTGTCATGAAGCTCCTTATTTGTTTCAATCTAGTGCGGTGGTGCATCATTTGATGAAAAGAATTTGATCCAGCATGAATGCCTTAAAATTCTTTGATGGAAATTCTAAAGACATAAATTGGCCTTGTGACAATTGCCTTTTCCAAGATATAGGAACCATGACCAGAGATTAACCTAGCGATTTTTTCTAAATTTTTGAGTCAGACATAGTTCAAAACTACGTTTAACTTCACAATCGTTTTTCCAGACCGAATATTAGGGTTATTTGGTTTGGAGATTTTGCACCCGACTCCCATAGACAGTTTAATATCATTACCGCTCGTCTATAATGCTGTTTGGCTCACTCTCAATAGCATCACAATAGCATCACAATAGCATCTCAATAGCATCAAAAAAATCATGATGGTTTTCCATTGATGGCCCAATATAAATGTTATGGTTACCATCTTGAATTTCCAGGAAAAAACGATCGTACAGCTTGATGAAAACTTGAACGTTAAAAAGTGTTGGGCTTTCAAGAAACCAATATAAACCATCAAAATATCTTGATGCTCTCACATTTAATCCTAAGGTTGAAGCTTGGATGTCAGTGGCGTAAATAACACCCTTGCAAACATGGTGAGGTAGGTTGCACAAGATTTGAAGGCACAGGCGCCTAAGAAAATACCTCTAAAAGCTGCTACATATGTTTTTTATTAAGACATTTTTTTCAATTCATTTTATAAATAATAACCCTTAACTAAACTTTGAATATAATTATTGTAAGGTAGTTAGTTGTTTTAATATGGTAAGGATATACAAGGCTACAATTCAGTGCTTTTACATTCGAATTACAATTCTCATTATCTTAAATTTGAATGAAAATAATTATTTTAAATACCCGAATGTCTCTTCATCATTGTGTTCCTGTTTCTTATTATAATTTTTAAAAAAATTCTGCTTATTTTAGGATAAGACGCACTTTTAAATCTTGCGGATGGGGTGCGCTAAAGTTTATGTACGCCACTGTCGGATGATTTGCAGGGGTTGAGGCCGAGTTTGAGAATGAGAAAGCAAGTTTGATGTTACTCCATTTCCAGTTTGTGATTATAACACCATTTTTGAATTGAAAAGCAAAAGTAAATTGTAGTTCATTTCTGAAGAATTCAAATCTGCATTAAAAATTGGTGAATTAATTTGAAATTTGGAACTTGCTACATGCTTGACCCACGGGGGAGTGAGGTGGAATATTTAGGTTCATATCTTTGAAATATTTCTCTCGTGTATTTTTAGATTTTCCATATTTTTATTTCAGTTATATATTTTTTGTATGAGTGGCATTTCACGAGACATTTGACCGTCTCACAAAGCTTTCCGGACACCCTGTATTACAATTTCTTTTTTACGTAGCGATTTTCAATTTTATAGTGTCCCGCAGTGATCTGATAGCTAAGGCGCGGTTCACAGCAGATCACCGACGTCAAGCATCACTCGCTGTGGTCAGTGTGCGTATGGGTGACCTCTTGGATCAGTCTGCGCAGGGACCGAGGGTGTGCGGTATTGGTCCTCGTTAAACTGTTCTACCGTAAAGAGCTCGACTTCGCGTGCAGGTCATCGGGCTACCGAAGCGTGGGTGCCATCCTTTCTGCAGAGGATCAAAACTCTGATGGCGTGTCTTCGGATCATCTTCAGGGATGTTTCCCAGACCGTCGCCTTAGCCCATTGTGCAGCTCTAGTGCGACGTAAATGAACTACAACAACAACAATTTTATGGTTACGTAATTTACGTGCTAATTGCTTGCCTTTTGTTTCTTTGTTATAGATTCATCTGGAGATTTTGAATTGAATCCGGCGTTTTGTGAAAAGGAAAAAAAATATGCCTCCTCTATTACTATATTATTTGAATGTTAAGTTAAGTGGCAGGCAAATTGTATGTAAACTCGCATTGGTAATTTTTATATTTGTTATTTTCTTGATCATTAACATTAAAGATGATTAAGATTAAAATTTTTTAGTGTTTTGCATTCATTTTTGCTTTCCTTATTATTTTCCTGGTTATATATATTTCCTGATTTAGCTTATTTTTTAATATTTGACATAAACATTCGATAATGGAAACTTCACACAAAAATAAAATTTATACAATTTTAAAAAAATTAAGCTACTAATTTAATAATTATAACATAGAAAAAAGTTATCAATTTTATCAGTTTATGAAAAATCTTGATTCTCGGTATATACGAAATACACAAAAAATTCGCACAACAGTCCCCTGTGAACTAGAGGGTCATTGAGATTAAGATTCCACATTTTGTGACTAACGGCGTGATGGTGACAATAAAATCAGCATTGCGCACCTACCTCTTTTATTTCCCTGGCAAGCTGGTACCCGTTCTAAAGCTGGGTAGATTCAAAGCCTAGATTCATAGCTTTTTTTTCATCATATCTTTGGAGTGAATTTAAAAACTTTTTGTACACAAAACTCGCTGTATAGTGCGCAAAGCAAGAAACAGACCACCCAGAATAAATTTTGATCTAATGATCTGATCTTCATGTTTTGTGACTCAATCTAAATATTTCGAAGGGATGACCTCAAATATGCTAATTAATTAGTACAGACGATATTTTAACTTACGAAATCAGACGCAAAAATTTACTTTCTCTAAATAAACATACCCTTTTTCAGATGTATTTAGATTTTGAACCCCCAAATTGGGAATATGGTTCACATAGTTTGATCAGGAGAGCGATCCAAAGTTTAGATCTCTTAATTTTGATTTTACTTTTTGCGTATTTCGATATGTATCGATCTTTTTAAACAAGTTGTAAAAATTTTTAACATAATTTTAAAATTCGTTTATCCAAAGATAATTGCATTCAAAAAAATAAATTTTAATAGACATTTATTATTCTTTATAGCTGGAAAATTTTTGAACTGTTAGGCATACAACTTTTTACATAATTTTAATGTATGTAATTGTACTTGGCAAAATACAAAATTGAGTTAAATCGGTCGAATTGTTCCTGCGTATATTTAAAATTCTCAGAAACTATTCAACCGGTTTTGCTCATTTGTATTTTGCCATGCAAAATTACCTATTTTAAAAGGATGTAAGAAAATATATACCTCACAATTAAAATTTTTTCCGACTAATACTTAATAAAATTACTTAATAAATAATATATATTTACTAAAATATACTTTTTGCGTAACATAATCTTTGGATAAACGAATTTCATAATTGTGTGCAAATATTTTGCAATTCGCTTAAAAAGTTCTTGAAACATGGTGAAATACGCAAAAAGTAAAATTAGCATTATGGGGACCAGCCATTGGACCGCTCTCCTGGCCTTACTATTTAGACCATATTTCCCTGATTGCGGCTACCCTCTAGATTTTGGGGGTCAGAAATCCAAATCCGTTGGAGAAAAAAAAAATTATTTAGAGAAAGAACGTTTATGTGTCTGATTTCATAACTTAAAATATCGTCTGCACTAAGTAATTAGCATTTTTGAGGGTATCCCCTCGAAATATTTAGATTCTTTACGTTCTAGAACGTGAAGATCTGATCATAAGATCAAAAGTTATTCAGGGTGGTCCGTTTAATTTTTGCACACTGTATAGAATTTCAATAATATCATATCAATTGCAGTTTTTGCGATCATTGTTATTGGGTTAAATTTTTCAAAGCTATTTCAATTGGTAGAGTTGTGTATCCGTATTAGTGGATGTATCCGTATGCTTATAGATCTTATTTTTTATTCATATAGTGTTTTTATTTTTAGAACTTTATTTAAAATTCACCCTTGTTTAAATTTATTTAAGTATTAAAATTTATTTATTTATAAAATTATTATCACAAATTTATTTTTATTTATGGAAAACAAAACAGCTAATTAAATTGTATTAACATTTTTCTTACGTAATTAATACTTGCAATCGTTTATGATTACTAGTAATTTATTTTTGTTCAATCTTTATTTAGAATGAATTACAATTGTAATCGACACCTATTTCTGGACGGTGACTAGTTGATTTGTATATAACTGATGGTCTGCCCCAGTCTACCAGCGGCGACAAAAAATTACACATCCTGGTGTGTGAGATCCCTTTGACGTCGGGTTGACAGTGAGAGGTTTCATGAACGCAAATGTGGTGTAATTGTATCTAAACAATTTTTCATAAGAGCACAAGATGGTCTTAATACTTGACCAATGTATTCCATTGTCTCCTAGATTGGGTTCAAAATTAAAAGGTTTTAGGCGTGACGAACTGTATTTACTATCATTTATATGAGATGTAAATAAATAATTGTTTGAATGTTTCGTTTTGGTATTATTCAATTACAATCAGGTATTGTAGATAGGTTATTTGTACGTAGAGATTAAACAAATAATTTTAAAATAAATTTGTCATACTAACAATCAAATAATTTGTCACTTCTGTAAAATATTTTCTCTAAAAAGTTTATGAGTTAGCTGGCACGTAAATATTTAACCATTGCTGATAATTTGCATCAGTTTTCTTGAGTGAAGAATTTTTTAATATACATTTTCAACAAAACACTGTAGAAAATAAAAAATTAATATTTAAAAATGTGAAAGGAAGTGATGTAAAGAAAAACACGTTTTTCTAAAAGGGGGGGGGGGACTAAAAGTCAGTTTAATTAAATTTTACTCAAGTCGTTTAAAAATTCTGAAGATATTCTTTTAAATCTCTATTCTTCCTTTTAACGTCTTATTTGCATTAGCTAACAACTATAAAATGGATTATTAAAATGGAAAAGCAATAAATAAAATTTTAAAAAAAGTTCTTTGAAAAACTAAAAAAACTTCTATTAGCCTTACTGTACTGAAACTTTGAGGCAATGCTTAATGTTCAAACTTCAAAATTCTCATTCGATTAAAAATAATAATGAAAATAAACGGAAAGACAAGAAATAATCTCACTAAATTTAACTTAAGAAAATTATTGTAATCCTGATTCCCCTCCCTCCTAAGGCTACTATACTAATTCAGGGGCTCTACTCCCTCCCATAATACTGTCTTAAAAACTGATGCTTACACCATGCGCAACACAGCACTAATATTACTGCTGGTGATCATTTGCACGCTTGCAGATAGCTTGCTCGATTAAAGTTGAAATTGGAGTTTCTGTTTTATTGATATTCTGTTATATTGTTTCCAGTTTGATTGTATCTCATTTTCCTTATTAAGTATTTAATTCACGTATTGTTATTTTTTTTTTTAAATTATCAATTAATATTAACATTTAACTGAGGAATTAAAAAATTAAATTTATGCTCGGGACGACACAACTTAAGGAACATTGCAGGGTTATTATGCTCTCTTCTTAATTTCAATAAATTTCAAGTAAGCACTGAAACAATAATTTACATTTAATTATCATTATTTTAATTTATTATTGCTATTACTATTTTACATTAAATTTTTTTGGATGTACGAGCTGCCTGAAGATTCATGTAAATAGTTCCAAAAACATTGCAAAAAAAAAAAAAAAAAAAAAAAAAAAAAAAAAAAAAAAAAAAAATTAAAAAATAAAAAAGCAAAAACTACATTTTACATAACTATTGAAAAATGAAATTAATACTAACGTTAATTGTACTTGTATTAATATAAAAATATAGCTCAACAAATAAACTAGATCCCGACTATCTAGCTAGAGACTAGCTAATCCCGATTAGCTAGTGCGCGAATTCAGACTAAAGGTCTTATCAGGATGCATACCCTTAAATTAATCAAGTTTATTAAATGGGTATTAAGATTACATAACTAACAATTCAGAAACTTTTTATTTTATTTATTTCTAACTTATTTAATTAAAAAAAACAGTTGAATTTTTAATGTATCAGAAAATTCCCCAGTTATCAAAAAAAAAATCAAATAATTGTTATGTTAACTTATTAAACAGGATTGTTAAATAATTCAATCAGGTTTTCAGCCAATGTACTATTAATTAAGCAAATTAAGCGATGCATTTAAATAAATTAAAATTTTTTTATAGAAACGGTGTAGCTTTTTTGTGCCTTTGCTTATCAAATCAGATTTCAGAAATAGCTTACTAGATGGCGTTACAATGAAATATTCCACTTCTGTTTTTTGTATAGTTTAACTGCAACCATCAGATTATTTTGCTTACAGCTTGTTGAATGATTTGCTGTTTGTAAAATTCCTAACGATACAAAAAGTTGAAACCGACGTAGTTCGTAAATTGTTCGTCAAAAGCCCCTAAATGATTTAGATATACTCAATAATTTGAAAAACTTGAATGGAAAGTATTTACATTGTTTTTTAGAAAACACCGATTTGTTTTCTGTTAGTGGGTTGAACAACTCTTGTTAAGTTGTGATTCCGGTTGTGTTAAATGAAAATTTATTACTAAATATTTATCTGATAAAATATATACTAGTGTGAGTAATGCATATTATTATAGTTTGAATGTCTTTTTTGTTCTTAAATATTGATTTTTTTCTTTGCACTGTAGTTTTTTCTTAGTTTCGAAATCTAAGGAGAAAATGTTAATTAATAATGATTTCGATCAGTTACTGAAATGTGATAACTGTTCTTTGAATAATCAATATGAAATATTGTAATGATGATTTTCTTATTGAATTAATTGAAGTGAACTGTGTATTTTACTTGATTTAACATTAACATGTCTCGTCGAGCAAGAAAAAAAGAAATCAGGTTGTCAACTATATAAGTTAAATGATTTGAGAAAATAATTCATTTAACTCACGATATTAATATTAAATTTTCTTAAAAAAGCAATCAATTAAGTTAAAAGGCATCAAAAAAGAAAATTTGTCATGCTTTTTAAGAAGTTTGGATATTCCTTATCCCACTAGTTAGCAATTTACCTATATACCAGCGCCAGGTAGCACTCATTAATATTCAACGCAACTGTATCAAAATTAGTGTCATTATTTTAGAAAAATTAATTTTTTGTATTCTCCCTACTCAAAATTTAAATCAAATTATCTTCATTGATTTTTATTGTTTTAAATCAATAAATATTTAATTTTTTAGAAAATCAGATTATTTAAATTCCTATTTCTAATTTTTTAATTTAAATAATTGATATTGTGGTATATGTTGAATCTACGTTTCATTTTATTTTAAATTAATCTGTCCGTAATCTTTAAAAGTAATTCAATTTTCACAATGTTATGGTTTTGTTCATTTTTTGGTTTAACAAATATTATTAACATTTTTATTAAACATAAATTATGTTGAATATATATATATATATATATAATTGAACTTAGATTTTTATTTAAATTGGCATGGAAAGTAAGGAAAAAATTGCTTATTGTTTAGTATGAACTTGGAATGAAAAATGATAAGTTTTAAAAACAGTTTTTTACATTTACAGGGTTCACAAGCATTATAAACAGTTTATTTTTTATAAAAATGCTGTTATGTAATTTTATTTATATATTAATAATAATGTATCTTTTAAATAACATTGTATATCATAAATATTAAAAAAAATCTTTTTCCTAGATGTCAGACTTCATTTACCCTAATAATACCCCTGTTATACTATTGAATTGCGAAGAAGCTTTCAAAGAGTTAACAGATGATGAAAAACAATATGCCCACTATTTGTCTAGGGCATCATGGTTTGGAGGGCTTATTGTTTTACTGCAGGTATTTTTTTATTTAAATACTTTATTCATGCAATACTTAATGTAATACAATACTTAATGTACAAGGCAGCTGCTACACTTAAATAAAAGGAAAAATTGTCTACAAACACAAAATTTCAATTAAAAAACTTTTTGGGTATAATTTATTGACTCTTGTAACTAATTTTAATGAAATATCTGTGAAATTAGTAACAGATTTTTTATAAAAGTTTTACAAAACTATATTGAATATTATGCATATCATCATATATCTCTTTAAACAGTGTTTTCATTACAGAAAAAAAATGGGAGAGAATTTCTCGCCCTAAATTAAAATTTTGCTAAAAATTAAAAAAACACGAATAGACTTGGGAAAAAAATATTTCTTTAATTATAATACATTTTTAACATCTTCTAATTTCTAAACCATTGAATATTTTTATTGCATCATCATATGGAAAATGTTCCATATCTACTTTTTCATCAGCTATTCTCATTAGGTTGCTCAAATGCTCATCAGTTAAATCTGTTACGATATTTTGTTTTAATTCGGTTTTGGGTGCTAAATGACAGATGCTGAACTATTCGGAATCACTAATTAAATTTGTAGCATTGTGCACGCACTTTCCTATCCTCTACATCTGCCAGTATAGGCTTTTCAATTATTTCTGTTATAGTATAGTGAAGTTCGTTGAAGTTATTTCCATGTTCATACTTCTTGTTAGGTCTTCCAGCATAGTTTTCACAGACTTCAACTTTTACAAATTGCTGTCAATTGTCGGTGAGGGAGTTCGGTAATTCATTTACAGCTAAAAATATAGCTAACTTTAAACAACTTATTATAAGGGACTAATTTTTTTTCCCTCAACACTTGTCGTAGCTGTTTTCATGTCTTTTTCAAAATGGCGGATTTTATTCAAATTTGCGGACGACGAAATTTTTTCCAAAATTCGAGAGATTCGCGCATTTTGAAATTGATTAATAGAGTGCGCGAAATTCTCGCGTTAATCATTTTTTAATGTGAGAAAAGGAAAAAATATTCAAGATTCTCGCGCTGTAGTAAAAACACTGTTTAAATGTAGAAGTTTTTTGAATATATATATATATATATATATATATCTAGTTATTGATTTACTACCTTGTTTTATGTTATACCTGCATTTTTTATATGACTAAAATAAGTCACACAAAAACATTTCACTAATATTTTTTACCATAATTTTTTATTACATAAATTGCGGAATTTTTCATTTTCAAATCATAAAATGATCTTATAAAATTTCAAAAAATTTGATAATGTGGTAAACAATTTTATAACTTTTTTTTAATATTTAAGTTGAAATTTGTGTAGAAGCTTAAATTTTATTAAAAAAAAATTAAAACATGTACATTTTCAAATATAAATGCTATAGTTTAGGTCTCTTACATTTTGATAGCTTTATTATATTTTGCTTATAATTTATTAATACTAATTTAGGGACTAATTTAATAATGAATTTAGGGAGAAAAACTAGTCATTATTTTACTATTAAATAAATCAGAAAAAAAAATAATCAAAGACAAATATGCTGAGATTACTAAAAAATCTATTGACTTTAAAAAAATTTCAGTTCAAATTTAACCGTTTGCAATAATTTTATCAAAATAATTTTTGAAATAATATTCTTCCAAGTAATACTTTTTTACTGTTTAGAAAATTTCATCTTTAAACAGAATATTTAGTTTACTGTAGAATAAATGATAATTACTCATAATTCAGTAAAATAAATGATATAATTACTCATAATTCAACAATAAAAATACATATTTATTCAATAAAGTAAAGGTAACTTTATTCAAACAAAATCTAAATTCAAACTAATCTAAATTCAAACAAAATTATTATAATAAGTTATACAGACTTTAAAATTCTGTATAAAATTAAAATAAATGATATGAAAGTAGTTTTTTTTTTATTTTAACAAAATTGAATGTAAATTTTTTTTTAATTCTTCTAAACTGTTTAAAATTTAATTTGTTTCAAATCTGAACTAATAGGGGTCTGTTCAGACCAAATTTAGTACCATTTAGCGGTACCCTCACAAATTAAACTTTCGGAAGAACAGTAGTTTCACAAAATACTTCTTCTTAAAAAAATTTTTTACCTGTAAGAAGTGATAAATCGATATTTTTACCACATTTCTGTGTTGATAAAATCTTCAAATTAATAATAAATTAATAAAATCTTTAAATTACCACAAATTATGTCTAAATTTTCACAAAATCTAAATTTTCACAAAATTCACCTCTCAGAAAGACCTAGACAGACTCCTGACTAATCATTTATTAGTTTATCTATAAAAAAAATTGTTTTTTTTGGTAAATTATTCTTTCTTCCTTTCCCCCCCTTTTTCTGTGTTGTGGAATAATCTTCTGCACGAAATGCCAACCCTGATTTGAAATTAAGAAATAACATAACAATTCTTCTATGACTAAAATTCTTGAAAATAGTACAATAATAAGTTTTATTTTTGGCATTATAAACAGTTGTACTAATACACGTTTTTATACTTTTGGTTCTAGACTTCTTTGGAGAGTCCTTTGATCTTTATTTTACTCTACAAACTATTTCGAGAACAATCTCTTGAAGAAATAAAGAAACTTGCTCTAACAGAATGTGATTTCACTGAAGATGAATATATTGTAAGAAATGTTTCTTTTAATATTCATTATTAATTTATATTGCTGAAGAGTGTGTTTGCGTCTTTAATTACTCCTGAACTGTGCTACCGTCTTCAAGTTTGGGCATCAGATGAAAGAGATAATTTTAGCACTTGATCCCAAAAATCATTAAAAAAACTAAATTAGATCACTTTTTTTTATTTATTTTTTATTTTATTTCCAATGAGCTGCACAATCGGGCTTGCCGATGAGCAGACCTAGTGCGTTCTCCAGAGGTGGTATCCACTCTTTCAGGACCACCACAATGGGTGAGATACCGTTGGTCATGTTAATTTTGGACATCTAGTTTCTGCCACACTAGATGGCAGCACCGAGACTCTATTTGGATGCTAAAGTGCACTAGGAATTTAATTTTGCCGGAAATGCCAAGAGCCAATAAGGCACTCCAGGGATCTTTTACATGCCGCATAATCATATGACATGGCCGCTGAGGATTTTCTGCATCCCGAAAATCCGGTGTCTGGGCCAGGGATCGAACCCGCAAACATGGGCTCAGAAGGCCGACAACAAACCTACTGAGCCACCCAGCCACACTTAATTAGATCACTGAGGATAGATGTTTGAAAAATACATTTTTCTCGTTGGTTTCTGTTTTAAATTAAGCTATTTTATTTTATAACCGCCATTGAGCAGCTGACCTAATTTAGGGTTTACAGCTTCTAATGTTCAACTCTGCAGCCTTGTAAGTTTGAACACGATCCAGAAGACAAGGGAACTCCAAGTACTGGGAGAAATTTGCCTTCAGAAGACTTTTTGATGGAACTAATCCTCATTTGCGTTACATTGAGGTGAAAACCACGAAAACCTTCCGCAGTTAGCCTGGCGACAAGAGTACTCTAGTCCATGATACTATGTCAAATGTTATACTGTGTCAAAATTTAATAACAAGTATAACTTTTAATAACAAGTATAACATTTAATAGCAAGTAATTAGAAATGAGAAATTCCATTAATATTTATTTAAACTTCACATTAAATGCATTCTTAATGATTACTAATTAAAGAAAATTTTGAAAACAAGTGTAAATTAATTTGTGTGATGATAGATTGTGCTTATTTTTTTTCAGGTTTCAGTGCTAAGTGTGTTATAAATTAATTTTAAAAATCATCACACAATTTATTTCATACTTTAACTTTATTAGAAAGTATTTAATTATTTTTTTAAAAACTTTTGTACAATGAAAATAAAGTTTCAATTAAGATTTTTAATGCTTTATTTTCGTTTAGATAGTGAATTAAACCTAAATAATTCATAAAATCTTTGTTTTATTTGCAGTTCTTCACAAAATAACTAAAATATTTTGCAGGCTCTTCTAGCTTTTGCTTCAGCTTTTTTTGCCAACACAGGAAATTACAAGAACATGGGGGATACTAAGTTCATTCCAAATTTACCCAAGGTATTTCACCTAATTTTTCATGTAATTTACTTGTACTGTTTAGCTACAGTTTAGTTACTAATGTTATTTTAATGTAACAGGAAAAGTTTGAAAAACTTGTGTTATTGAGTAAGTTTGGTAGCAATCACCAACAAGACGCAATGAGCCTGCTGAACCGATGCTTGGAGTCAATATATTCTTTAAAAGACAAAGAAAGGAGATTGGGTTTCCCATATGAAGTAAGTAAATATTTTAAAATTGTGTGTCCAAGAAATTGTGTGTTTTATCTTTATTTTTTTTGTGCTGGAATGTTGACTAGTCAACAGTTCTTATAGATTTTGTAGGATTAGAGGGTAGCAACAACAAAACTTGTGAATTTATCCACCAGTGATAGGTTTTGTAAATCAGAAGTCGTTGTGGAGAAATCTTCAGAGGAAGGTTTTGGCCCACATGGGGCTGTCTGGCCAACTATGATGATGATGATAGACCCAGTAACAGAACTAGCTTGGCACCATGGCAGATTCTTCAGATTTACTTTGGCGGGCTTGCAGACAAAATAAACAGAATATTAAAAATTTAAAAAAACATTTTCTCTGTATTAATAGATATATTTCGTTTTCATGAAGTTTTCCTCATTATGTGTATAAAGATTAAAGCTAAACTTTGCTAATTAAGTTTCAGTTGAGTAATTTTGAAAACTTTCTTTTAGTAGGGCTGTTAGTTTATCATGTATTGCAGTGTTAGATGCTCTTGCCTTTCAAAAATTGCAAAGCTACCAAGTGCAATATTTGAATGCAAGTATTTTATACATGCCATTCAGATAAATTTTAGAATATTTCTGTGATGTTGCAAGTCAATAGAGATAATTTGCTACTAGGCTGTTGGCTGTCAGTAAAGTTTGAGAGATTAATAAAAATGTGTTATTAAAAACTTTTTTGTCTTTGTTAGCACATGTTGCAGTGTATTAATAGCTTGTTTTTAATTTTCTTAAATTAAGGTATCAACCTTTTAAAAATTGCAAAGTTGCCAAGTGCTACATTTAAATGCTAGAATTTTGCTGCACGCTCTGCAAATAAATTAGATTAAAAAAAATTTTTTAGGGTGTTACAGGTCAATACCTATGTTTTGCTACAAAGGTGTTGGGTATCATTTAAAGTTGTTTGTGAGATTAATAAAACCAGGTTGCTAAAAAAAAGAGTTTCTATGTTTTCACAAGTAACAGTGTCAAAAATATGTTTTTAAATTAAATTTTGTTTATTTTATATCTCAAATAAATTGCTCCATTTTCAATTTATTTCATTTTATATGAGTTATATACATGCAATGAAAACAAAACTCAATCGAAATATTACATTGTCTAACAAACTATTTTGGCAGTGCTCCTGCCTGTTTTATATCACTTTTATATAGTAAATAATTATTCTTTTCACGTTTTTACATGTATACACTTTTTGTAATTTTTATTTTACTTCAGCCTAGTTTTTGTTTTACTTCAGATTAATTTTTGTTTTAGTTCAGCCTAAGTTTTGCTTTATAACTCAAAAGCATATAGATTACTGAGTATAAACCTATCAAAATCTATAAACCTATCTGGAATGAATAGTTGTTAGTGATGTTTTTCGTACTATGAGTATTGTACGTCAAAAAAAAAAAATTAAGCATTCCATTCAGTATAAGTAAAAAAATGAGCAGTTTTTGAGGAATTGAACTAATTTTTATACAATTTTCTTTTTCTTGTACTTCATTATTTTTATTTATGATAATTTTGTTCTTCTGGGACTTGACTTTGTTATGATTAAGTTAAAGTGTACTATAAAGCATCAATTTTACCATTAGTAATATACTGCTTCATAATTTTTGTTTATTTTTACAAATATTATTTGATATATTTTTTTTATTGAACTGCCGCTCTTTTTATTATATAATATAGGCAATAGGGAAGCACATTTTTTGTGAACACAAAAAATTATGAAACAAGTCTTTCAGGTGTCATATAACTTATGAAAAAATCTCCCTAACCCATTCAAACATGTTTATGCTCATTTACAGTTTAATATGCATATTGGTTGATTCTTATTGCTTGGTGCTTCTATGAGACATATAATTTGGGAACATGACAGTAGTTAGAAGATTATATTAAATAATTAAATGTACAAGTTTCTAAGTCAGCAAAAGTTTTTTTTAAATAAATATTTCAAAATACTTTTTTAGTTGTTTAGTATATATATTTATGTTTAAAAATAAGTTATGTTGCATGTTGAAACTTTAAAAAAAATATGTAATTTATTTGTTTTCTTCTAGGCAACTACAACCTATATTTCTAATAATTTTCTGAAAGAGGATGAAGAAATTGTGAAAAATTTCTTCAAAAAACAGGTAAGCGAAATTATATAAATACGGTTAAGATAAATATGGTTAATTATGTAAATACTGTTGGACCCTAATTTAACGAAGCTTTATTTACCAAATTTTTCTTTTCTCCTTGATTAAAATATAGACAAAAATAAGGAAAGTAATAAAAATTATAAACAATTATTATTATTTTTATTTTTGGTTTTCTTATTTCCCCACCACAGTGAAACTTTCAAAACAGACCATGTTTCAATAGTGTCATAAAAAAAAGGCAGAGCTAAGAATGGTTTTTCTTCCTTTGTTCAAACCAAGAGGAAACTTACTTTTTGCTCTAAAAAATTCCCAGATCATTAAATAAAATATCTGGTCATAATTTAATAACTTAAAACATGGTGAGTTGGGATTAAAAATTAAAGGAAGAATATTGCAGCATTTTTAGTTCATGGCAACAACAAAAAAATCTGAAAAAAGATAAGTATTATTAATGACAGCTTAAGAATTTTTCATGCCTAGATTTAAAAATAACTTTTTTGTTATTCAGTGAAGAAACTGTGCTTGCAAGGGCACTTTTACATAAATTTACCTAATGGGCTTGACAGTAAAAGGGTTCAGTTTGATTTAGTTGTGAAATTTTAATCATAATTATAAATTTAAAGCTAAGCTGATAAGTTGTAATTTCTCTATTAGAATATGGATGCATGGAATTCAAGATTGTTTAAAATTGTTGATGAATCTGGCACTGTCACCTATGAAATACGTCTTGCTTCTGTATTGAGTACAGGTATAATGTTTTTCATTTTTTTTTAATGCATTTAATTGTTTTTGTCATACTCTTTGGTTCATTGTACAGTCAACCTAACCCACAACATAGCTTTAAATTTTGTTTTCAGTACGAAAATAATTACAATCTAAGACTGACTAGAAACTCAGACACTGTAGTTCCAATTAAAAAGCTATTGCTAGTTTATTCTTGCTTATGATACAAGGAATTCTGGCCAATTCTAAGTGTTTTTATATTTATGCAAATATATATATATGTTTTAAAAATGAAGAAAGTTACTGTTTTAATAGCAAGGTCCATTTGTACAGAAAAGTAAAAAGGATATGTAAAGTGATGTAAATGTAAAGTCGAGCACAGAAGAATGCACCTAGAACAGAACAATATGGAAAAGTAAATTTTTTTAGTGGCTGATAAAAGGGATGCACATTTCTTTATTCATATCCGACAAATTGTATATAACATGTCGGAAGTTGTAACTCTCCGATTACTTTGAATTATTTCATTAACAGAAGCAACAGCTTTATGGGAACATCAGAACCAAACATCTTCGGTGACCCAAAATTGATATACACTTTTTGTCTCACAATTTGTTTGTAGTTTTAATTTCTATTCCATGTTTGAATAAAGAGCAAACACTGACTCTAAAATTACTGCACACTGTTCTGTTAAGCATGCATCGATCCATGCATGATTTTACATTCACCTTAAATGCTCGCATGCAAACCATCGTTGAAAAATTTTACTCATTCTGTTATCTGCTGCTATCGCCCTTGCACTTGTCTACTTTTCATTTGGGAAGCCTTAATAGTTAAGTAAGATTTTACCAATATCACATTAATATTTAATGCACTAATATTTTTAGTTTCAACACTTAGCAGTTTTACAGTAAGTAAAGTAAAACACTCCAAATAAAATCCAATTATTTTTTTTGTTGTGAATTGAATGAAAGAAACTTTTGAATATTTTATGTCAATAAAGGTATCATAAATTGAAATAGATAATGCAAGTATAATGATGAGTTGACTTGTCACTTTTCAACAATGCTATTCCTAATTATTTATATGGGTATTATTTTTCAGATGATGAGGAAGAGAAAAGCTTAGTAAATTCATTTGCTGTCAATGGACACAAATTTCAAATTACACGAGGAGATTACAGTAAACTTTTGAAACTAGTAAATGAAAATTTAGAGTTGGCAATGGTAATGACTTTGTGAAGTAGTGTTCCATATTGATTTCTTATCAGATTACTTTAAACGTTTTAATTTCTTTTATTTTCATCCATAGAAATTTGCCAGCAATGAATTAGAAGCTAAGATGATTGAGAAGTATATATCTAGTTTTCAAACTGGTTCTATAGATGCACATAAAGATGGCTCAAGGTTTTGGATAAAAAATAAAGGTCCTGTCGTTGAAACGTATGTATTAAAATTTTCTTTTCATTCTTTTGGAACTCATATTACAGTGGAACTCTGATTTAGCGAATTCATCTGGTCCAAAAATTTAATGCATCAGATCACGATTTCTTGGTAATTATCGATAGTCAAAGAAATTTCTGCTCTTACTTAATCAAAAAACCATCAGAAGCTATGCTAAAATATCTTATTTTTATTCAGCTTTTAAAGAGATAGGAATTGCAAATGTACCCGTTAATTCCAGTTGTGTACCTGAAAGTTTTGCTTTTTGAATAGATTTTTTCATTGTGTTTTTAGAAATTTAATCCCAAGATGGTCTCACAAAATAAGTAGAGCATCCAAAACATTGTCTTTTCCTTTTTGCAGATTTTTTGACCAACAGTGATATACTCTTAAGCCTTCTGACACAGCATTTGCTGCTGCAGTTTATCGCAGCATCTTCAGATTTACGAAAAGGGCAACAAGGGTAAAACAATTACTGTGAGAAAGTAAAAAATTAAAATGTAAAGGAAAGGAACTAAATGAAATTATTTATTTTTAGCCTTAGAAGCAACATCACAAAATGTCTTTTATTTTTAATGTTTTTTAAAAGTAATATGTAAAATATAAATTATTGCCCTTGACATGAGCACAATGAATTTTTGAAGGTTAAAAGGCAAAAATTATAAAATAAATTTTTTCAAGTAGCAGACTAAAGAAATACATTTGTTAAATTCCAATTAAGATATATATGTGGCAAAATGTGATACATTTGAGCAATAAATATGGTGTTACATGTCTTTTGCAATGAGCAGCACATTTATTTCTACTTAAATATAGCTTAAACGTGCATATTAATAATTTATTCAATGACCATATTGATAATTATTTGCTCTTTTACAGTTATATTGGATTTATTGAAAGCTACAGAGATCCTGCTGGTGTAAGAGGAGAGTTTGAAGGTATATGTTCATTTTTCTTTTTTCTGTTACTTGTGTTTTTGTGGTATTTCAACTGACTTCTGATTGAAATGATTTTGATAACTAAAATTAGGTGTCTTATTGAAGATTTTAAAGTTGCCCCTCTGCCTGAAGGGGAGATTGGTGTGGTCTAGTCTTTGCTGTCATGAAATGCATCTTTTAAAAATATGTTACATGTGTATTTTTAAATTTTTTTAACCAAAGTGTGATGTTTGATATATTTGACCATTTCCAAATACTTTGGAAACCATGAATCAGGATATATATATCTATATATATATAAGTATTAAAAATTGAATTTATTTTATTTTAATTTTGTAATATTAGTTTTACATAATTTGTGAAAAAGAAGCTAAGTAATTGTTCTATATTTTAAAATAAAAAGATTTTTCTGCATATTAGGATTTGTTGCTATGGTCGATAAACCTCTGAGTGAAAAATTTGCCACTCTTGTTACTGCCGCTGAAGAGTTCATTCATCTTTTGCCCTGGCCAAGTACCTTTGAGAAAGACAAATTTTTGAAGCCTGATTATACATCTTTAGAAGTTTTAACATTTGGTGGCAGCGGTGTTCCTGCAGGAATCTGCATTCCAAACTGTAAGTTTTTTTTCCAAGCATTATACAACTACAAGCTTGAGCAATATTATCCAAAAAATAGTTTTTTAGAGAAAATTTTTACTTTTTTATTAATTTTTAAGAAATGAATTTTTAAATAGAAATTACTGTTTTTAGTTAATATTCCAACATATTTATTTTATTTAATTGATTTTCACTTTAGATACATTCTATTTTTATTTACTGAAAAACACACTTCTATATTTAATTTAAATTTAAAAAACTCCTGTTACTTGTTACTTTTTTCCTGCTTATTCATTTTTTCTTTCAACAGTTAATTCTATCTAATATTTATCCCTAGTTATAATCCAAGCCTTCCATTTTTGATCTATATTTGTCTTTTAAATTCAAACATTTAATACATACGCAAAGCCCTAATTGTAGACAGTAATTTCGTATCACTATTTGGCATCGTTGTAACAAACCTGTTTTCAAGATGAGTGGCAAACATGAAAAACTTATTTTTTGAAAAAAAAAAAGGTTTTTTAAGTTTTGCATAGATTTTTCGATTACAACATATGATTTACAAGGCATTTCAGGAAAGTAAATACAGTTTTGTTCTAACGGAATTTGAAGAACATCACCACAGTGGTAGTATTGCTGTTTCAGGACTACACACATGTGCCTCTGGTTGACTGTCTGTCTGTTTGTTACCATTACAACAAGATGTCTGCCTATTGATACCATTACAGACAATACATAGTGTGTAGCTTTTTTAAAAAATGCTTGAAGGTGCTTATTTTCGATTTTTGTTCTTTAAAAGCCCTTAAAGGTGATTTTTTTTATTGGGTGTTTTTAAAAAGTGCTTAATTTTTCCATCTTGAAGATCAGATTTCTTTTCTTTATAATGTTGATTTGTACCACATAATATGCAAAGCTTATTTTTCACATCGTTCTATTCTCCATTTTCACAATTCATTCAGCAAAAATCTATTTTTGATGTCCCGTAGTCCATAGCATATGAAAGTATCAATTATTTTACATGTTTGATGAAATACTAGCGAGTCCACATGTTCTTCTACTGAGCTGGGTTTGGTAAGATTATTGCACTCTCATGTGCAACTCTGCTGCATTTTGCAAGATATTCTCAATTTCAGGCTTCATTTTCCGCAGTCTGATATCAAACCAAAAAGCCTCTTGATCTTTTTATAATAGCTAATACAATCAAGAAAGGAGTTCTTTGTCAGAAACTGGTTATTTTATCATGATCATGTAAAATCTTTGAAAATAATTTAGCATTTTTTTTTACTATATAGTGCATGAAAATATTTTTTGAGTTCTTAAAAGGTGCTTATTATTTTGTCAAAAGATTTGGTTACACACCCTGCATTAGGACTGGGTAAAGTATCGTAAAAGTTGATTTAACACATATTTGTCCTATTGATATAGTGGCTTTTTTTTCTTAGGATGTACTTTTTTAAGCTGCCTATATAAAAGGATGAACACGATGTATCTATATAATGATTTAACATATCAGGATTCTTGCTGTTATGGTGCTGATAAAGATAATTTTAATTTTCTCATGCTACGAAAACTATCTACGTCATATATAACAAGAGGATGTTACGACATATTGATATAAAGTATCGAGATTCCTGCCGACACTAATGCTGTTACTGTGCTAATGAAGATAGTTTTTATTTTGTCCAGCTAGGACGACAATGTTCGTATTGTGATGTTAAATGCATGGAGCAAATTTAATCAGATGGTGCAAATTCGTGCGTAGATCAGCGTCAGTTGGAATGTAGGCGTTCGTGATTTTAAAATGTTTCTTGAAGGTTATTTTCGGTCGGACTTCTATTATTATGTTTTGCCATTCTGTTCCATTGCTGTTCATTGTTTTGCCATTTTTTACTTTGCTGTTATTGTAAGTTATTTTGTCATTTTTTTTATTTATTCTTCCATTTATTTTGTCATCTTTTGTTGTTTTTACTTTTAAAAAAATTTAAACAAAGCCTAGATTTATTTGATTAACTGCCATTAGAGTAAATCCAACTTTATTAATTTGAATAAAAAAAAAGATTTTGAAGGCAGCTTTTCTGTAATAATTTAATACTTTATTTAAGTGTATTTTGTTCCTTTTTAACCAGTTTTTTAAATTTTAAAAATTTCCCAATACATATAAATTTAATGTTCTTTTTTTGTTTTGTTTTTTCTGTGTTTTTTTTTTTAAAAATTTATTATTAATTTCAATCCTATAGATCTTCAGTTGTATTTAATTTTGAAAAAAATGAAACGGAGATTACAGTAAACTNTTTTTCCCTCTAAAATTTGGCTATTAGATAAATAAAAAAAAAAACCCTAATTTTTTAAATTAAATCTAAAGTTGCACAATGTTTTTAAGTTTTAAACAAAGCTTTTTTTTTATATAATTTAACCTTAGTTCTAATACTTTTATTGTTTTTAAATGTCTTAAAATGCATGAAAATATTTAGACTTTTAAAATATTACAAGTTATTTATTTTAGAAGTTCAGTATCATTTTTAAATTGTACTGTAATTGCATTTCTATGTTATTCATTAAAAATAAAATAAATAATGAAAGACAGCTTTTTAAGACAAAGAATAAACGATTATTAAGTCATTTAAATTCAATGAGAAACACTGAAATTTGTTGAGTTTTTCAAAGAATTGCGCTGGGTGTAAAAAATATAATGATCGGTAAGATGTAAGTAAAATATTTTGATATAATTTTTTTTAAAACCCTTAAATCTTAAGTCATTTAAATTTTTTAGAAGAAATTAAAACAAAGCTTACGTTTATTTTTACTTTAGAATTCTGTCTTAAGTCAGTCCATCTTTATTATTTTAAAAATTAAAAAAATTAAGCTATGTTATTGATGTTATAACAGCACTTACTTATAATTAACATTTTCTTTTACTATAGATTTAATTGTTTTATTTATTTTAAATTGATTTCAGATAGTGTAGTGTATTTTCGATTAAAAAATTTTTTAGATCACGTGTTTCATTATGATTCATTGTTTTATCACAATGTCTAACTGGCGATATATTATAATATAAAATTTGTGACATCGTCCAGTCATAGTTTTTCTGTGTTAGTGAGCATTCAAAGTATTAAAGGAGATTGATGATCTGACAACTATGTAGTACGTTCTGTGTTACAGTCTTTGAATGCAAAAAATTGTTAAAACTACTGCGTGCTATTCAAAATAAAACATGTTCAGTCGAGACAATATATTGCTTTATGATGATGCTCATACCCATTCTGTGTGACAGTTTCACTTTAACAAAACCTTATTCAAAAAATTTAGTTGGGAGCAGTTCCATCACCTATTATACAACCCCAAACTTGCAGCACTTTCTGTCTACCATTTAACTGCAAGTTTGATTTTGGTAGGAGGTGCTTTGTTAAAGATGTCTTCACATAGAAAGGGTGTTTGGCAGTGGCTGTCATCACTGGTGACATCTTTCTTTGTAAAGGGTATAAACAATTTGGTTTCTGGTCATGACAAATGTCTGAACAATAGTAATAATGGTAAAAAATAGTTTTCAAAATGTTCTTTTAAGTAAAAAAAAAAAATTATTATTTTGAAAAATAATTTTAACATTGTTTGAAATGCTTTTTTTTCTGCCCTGTTGAAATATTATTGATATAATACCTCAATCTAAATGTTAATGACAGCATTTTGTGATAAATTTTTGCATTTATTATAATTTGCCGCAGTAATTGGTTATAGCTTGCAGACATGATTTGCTGTAAATTATATTGCTTTAAATTTGATATTTTTACCTGTGAAGTAACATTTGAAAAAATATTGTTAATTATTCTGAAAATTTTAAATTTTTTGTTTTGCAGATGAAGAAATTCGTCAAACAGAAGGCTTCAAGAATGTTTCTCTAAACAACACAATTAATATCAAAACAACTGAAGCACCAAATTTCATAAGCGCAAGCGATCAAGTAAATTTATTTCTTACTTTTTTGTTCATAAATTTTATTACAGCTGACTTTTGTTTTAAACTTATAAAAATATAAGAATTTACTATTTTTCAAAATTAAAAATAGCAAGAATATGATTTGTCAAAAGAATAATGAACACCCCTGTGGCAGAATCGCAGCGACACGGCGACATTGTCGCAGAATGTTACAGAGTTCTTGCAGAATAATTTTTCTTTTGGAAAAAAAAAATTCTTTTCTACGTAATATTTGAATCATGCATTTAGATAATCACTTTTTGACACGCTCAATTTACGACGATATCGTAAATCGATGTAATGTTTTGATTGTTTTATCGCCATTTGTTGATATTGATTTTCACGTAGTTTTTAAATGTCCCGATATATTTCAAACTACAGTCAAACCCCGCTATAGTGAACTTCCGGATATAGTGAACGAAATGTTCGGTCCCGTGCCTTGCTATACCCGTATAATGTTATTTTTTGTGGATATAGTGAACCAAAAAAGTGATGAAGTTGGATATAATGAACTTTTTCCTGTCTTCGATTGATTTTTTTCTTTATTTTCTTGTAATAATTTTGAAATTTTTACTTCAAAATAAGTACATATACCGATTTTTAAAACCTTCCATAGTGGAAAAGGTAGCGATAAGCATTTTTTTCTTGTTTGCTTCTTTTATGGGATCAATATGCATTTTCTGTCAGAGGGAATGAGTAATTATTCCTTATTGGTCAAAGAGTTGAACACTAATACTAATACACATAACGGATATAGTGAACCAAAATTTCTGTCCCTTGAAGGTTCACTATAGCGGGGTTTGACTGTATATGGAAAATTCAAATGGTGCATTTGAGAATAGTCTTTTTAAGACAGTAGTTCTATCGGTTTTTTGGCAGTTATTGCTATTGATTTCTCCATAATTTTAAAATCCGAATTTTTTTTATACGATATTATTTATGACAACCTAATCTCGAAACAAGCATTTGAGGAGCCCGATTTGCGCAGTTTCGTCGTCGATCTTTTTTTCGGCAATTATTAATACCAATTTCATGATTTTCAATTATATTTTTTATTGTGACAATTATTTACAAAATGCGATGAAAGAAATATTTTGCGTGTCCCTCCCCCACATAATGCGAGAATATCACCCATAATATTAGAATAAAAATTTATTACATGTTCAATTTAAAAAAATTATATAGTTTTTTTGTAAACGCAGCACTTTTGCTTTTTTAAATTCGTAAAATAAATGCTTGTTGTTATTATTAAAAGTATCTTGCAGAAAGATATTAGAGCTAGAGTGTTTTGTCGCAGATAGTTCGAAAAAATTCTGCCACAGGGATGAACACAGAGAATTTAGAATTAAATTTATAACAAAAAGTAAAGTTTTTCTCCTAGTTTGCATTAGAGGAAAGTATCATTGTTATCAATCTTGCCCTATCTTATATATTTTTGCTTCCTCTTGGATAAATCTTTACATAATTTTATGATTTTTCTTTATTCGTAATATGAGTTGAAAAATATATTTTTGCCTTTAGCTATATTTATTTTTTATATCATTATTTGTATCAAAAATTTCCCCTTGTTTTTTTTAAAGTTAAGTAAACTGTATTCTTGAAAACTTTAATTATATACAACTTATAATTTATTTTTGATTTCCAAAATTATTATTTGTATTATTTTTTTCTGCAATTAAACAAATATCTTTCAATAGCTAGAAACTATAATTTAAAAAAAAAATTCTTTTCCTTACTTTTCATTCTGTTGTGTGTGATATTTGTATTAGTTCATATTTTGTTTTCCTGATTTCCTCTGCGTTTTTTCTGACATAAATGCATTCACTACTCAAAGTGAAAAAGTTATTAATAATTTTTTGTTATTCTCATATACTTATAGCAAAATATCGAACACTTAGAAAAAGAAAAATCTATCTTACTGATAACTTTAATGTCTGGCATGTTTTGTTGTTTTTTGATGTTTTTTGATGTTTAAAGTCATAAAGCATTGTCTTAATTTCTTTTAAGGAGATAGTGATGCAACTTAGAAATAATGCATTCCAAGTCCAAGTAGCTCTTCACGAACTCTTAGGACACGGAAGTGGAAAATTGTTTCATAGAAAAAAAGACGGCAGTTTTAATTTCGATATTGATCAAGTTATCAACTTTGAAACTAATCAAAAGGTATCATAATTTATTGTTGACTAATGTCATAAATTTTTTTGAAAAATAATTATCAATTATTATCAAGGGGGATTGTATTCTGGGTGTACCCTGGAATTCTGAATTTTTCGTATTATCTTTCCAGGTCTAGAAATTAGGAGCAGGGTATATGATTTTTCTGTGAATTTCTCGGAATTCCGTGTATTTCAAAATCATTGGTTTGCAGACTTACGCAAATCAAAACTTACAACATGGCAAAATTTTCACTGAGTTCTAGAATGTAAACTTTAAACTTTGATACTTTTGCTAAATCGCATTAACAAGAAGTATTTTATACATGGGAGTCTTCCACGAATTTGATTTTTTTTGGTTTGTCAGATTTTCGCTGTTATTAATATTTGAAACTACGTTGGAGTCTGCTAATATCGGGATTCATATTCACCTGATTTAGAAGTTAAATGTTGTCAGTTTTGTTCAGAATTTTTCAATTTTTTAAAAATCATACATTGCGATTCATATTAGTGTAATATAAAAATCTATTATCGCAATTTGCATTTATGAGTTTTAAAAATAAATATCGGAATTCATATTCACACGAGTATAAAATCCAACGTTCCTTCGTATTCAAGTATTTTTAATATCATACATCAAGTTTCGTATTTATATGTTATTTGAAAGTCACACATATTGATTAGTATTTACATACATGATTTAAAAATTCATTTTCAATCTAAATTTCCCATTTGCATTTTTGAGGTCCAATATCTCCATTAATATTCACACGATTTTAAACTTCAGTGCCTCAATTCTTCAATTCTTCAAAATGAAATTAAATAAGTTATTACCTCATTAGAACACTTAGGATCAACACCGCAGGAGAAAGCTGAAAAATATAAACACCAAGTAACTTACCAAATGACATTCTAAATATCACCTTTGTGAGAAGCACTACAGGAAATAACTTAAAAGAAAAGAAATTGAAGTGGATTAACTAATTTTATTTCATATATTCTTCCAGTTGTGTGATATTAGCAGCTTTACACTATCGCAACTTGGAATTTTATACTTTTTCTCCACTATATTCATTATTATTGTTATTGATATTTTTTTGAGTTACTTTAAAATTTTTAGTTTAATAATAGATTAAATTTTATTAATATAAATATAATTGAAATATTATTTATTGATGATGAATCGTTACAGTAAATTTTCAAGCTGTATTGCTGCAAAGATTGTTTTTAGGAACACATAATGCAGGAATTTATAATTAGATAAATCAAAAAATTATTCCAGAGATGAATGTGCTCCGAAAAAAATCTGAACTTCTGGATTTTTTGCTAATTGCAATCCAGAGGTTTCTGGAAATCAAAGGTCCAGAAGTTTCAATAAATCATCAATTGCATTTATATATTAAAATTCTTGTATATTTTATTTCGAAATATTAGAACTAGAATTTATACTTGGCATATTTTTCATCTGTAAATTTTTTTTCGGGTAGAATAATAAATGAGATTTGAGGAAAAAGTAAACTTATACATAATTATTCATTTCAATTATGCTGCATAATTTCATGTTTTGAGAATATCAATGACTTAAATTTATAAAGACATTAATTTTTTGAAACTTTCTGAAAAATTAATGATTTTACTCAAGAAATTTTCAGGATTTTTGAGTTGGATTCATAATCACCCCTGTTAATGTCACAAATTTTTAAAATAGTATTGTCTTAAATAACTTACTTACTCATTAGTAACTTAATTAACATATAATAATAAAAAACTTACTTACTGATAAATTTTAAAAAAAATCACTTTATACAAAAAACCATTTTGAATTTTTCTTTAAACAGCATTTTTATGGCATGTTAAGGTAATTTCTTTTCAATATTGTATGTAATTTAAGATACAAAAAANTTCAATCGGAGTTTGATGCTGCGTCAAGGGAGTTAATTGAAAGTAAAACTGCTTTATCTACTGCTGAATCTCAATTAATTTCTCACAAACAAAGCATAGAGGAAAAGGAACACGAATTCTCAAAACTTAATTTGGAGTTAATTGATATTAAAAACACAAGAGAAGAGTTGACTAAAGATAAAGATTCAGCTATAAATTCTTTGAAAGATAAAGAAGATGTAAGAAAAATTTCATTCAGCATTCTTATTACTACGATTTTAAAGTTTTATGTGTGTGTATTTCAATGACCCTGCAATAGCACAGAGTCGAATCATGGTATTTAAACTTATCTACTATCAAATCTCGATATCACGAACTTCAATAATGCAAATTTTTCAATATAATGAAAAATCGAATTCCTTATGCATTAGCTATGATGCTGCTCATAGAAAAAAAGATTTCTTATAGCAGAATACATTTCTCAGTGGCCCTTAATTTTGCAAATATTTTTAATCAAAGAAGTTTTTTCCCGATGAACTTAAAATGTTTAAATTCCAATTCTTAAAATCTTTTCCTGAGCAATTTTATTAATTATTTCTCGGAATCCTAATAAAAAAGAGATTGCCATGTTTGAAAAGAAATTGCATCAGTCATCTAAAGAAGTAGTCAAGCAAATTTGATATATGCAAGTTATCATGCAAATTTGTTATATTGAGATTAGTATATATATTTATATATATATAATATATATGTTTATGTGTATATATATACTTACATGCATACATATATATACTTACATATATGGTTATTGGTGGTAAACTTCTATGTAGCAAATATTTAGTTTTTCTAAGGAATTGGTTATATTATTAGTTGTATTGTTGTTGAGCTTTTTCAATTTGGCTAAGTGTGTTATTTTTTGGGTTAAAATATCGTGTTTCGCACTTTAATAAAAAATGAAAAAGAAATTGCATAGAAAACTGTAAAAATCTTCCATAAGGATCAGAGATGTTAGATAATGGCGGCATCACTCCCATTGTATGGAGGCACGTTATTAATAATTGTCTTTTTTCTTTATACATACTTTACTATGTTGTAAACATGTAATTTTTTTCCCTATTCTTGATATTTAAATATTGGTGGTTACCTTATTGTGTGGCTTTTCAAGAGGAATTTCCCTTTATTTTACACAATTGCAATGTTCGTGTTAAATGCACTTGCACGCAATGTCAAAAGATTTTTCCAATTCTTCTGTGAAAGGGTCTACCTTACTCATAAACATGGATATTACTTTTCTGCAATTATTTTTATCAAAACAATAATTCTCCCAATGAAAAACTGAACAATAAAATTCTATGCAGAATTTTCTTGAGTTAGACAGCGACTTTCATGCTATCTTTACTTTCTTTTTGCTTGTTGATTATTCTAACCGAATTTAATTGGAATAACGCAACACATCTTCTTGTTTGGTAGGATGATAAATTCTCCGGGTTTACTAGTAATGGGATACTTCAATTTATTCCTAGTTGAAAACCTATTCACGTGACATGAGTCGAGTAGTGAGTCTAACAATGAACTGATTTACTAAACTGAGCGACAGTAGCTGAGGTCAAAAGAGGTCTCTTCAAAAAAGAGAAGACTCTTACCTTTACGCATGTGCTATTTATCTTTATTCTATTGAATCTATGTCTCTTTTTTTTGTTGAAAAAAATAAGATATTTTGTGTTTAACTAATTTTCAATTTTAAAATTTTTTAAATAGAATATTCGGTTATGAAGGCCCTGAAGCAGAGGAAATTATATACACATGCTGGTTGTTGATGGCATTAATGGGCTTACAAGGTCTTCAAATGTATGATCCTAAATCTAAATCATGGCTTCAGGTATGAACAATAGTAAAATAATTTATGTCTCTGTCACTTTTAGAACTCGCATTGCTGTAATAATACATTGTACCTCTTTAATATATTTTTGCCTCAATATATTTTGATCCATAACTTAATCTGAATTCTAACTTAAATAATCAGTGTTTTGTCCATGTTAGTTGAAGTTTTATCAATTTAAATTTAAAAAGAACTATAATAATTGAAAAGTTCATTTCTAATTACTGAAAATCTTGATCTAGAATATTATAATGCTTTTAGGTATAATGTAAAATAAAATGATCAATTTCATTAAAAATAAGAATTTTAAAAGCTAGTATTTACTTTTAATGTTTTCTAATTCATAGTTTCAATTGTTTTACCAATAGAACATGGATAGGGCACTTAATTTTATGTATATATGCTTGTGTACGTAAGATTTTCAAGTACTACTAAGATGCAGTCTTAATAATCCAAGAAATTTTCCTTATTTATACTAAAATATTGATGTATATATTTTAAGATAGCCAGATTGGACACAAAATGTATTTTTTCTCAATTAACATGTTATTTTTTCGTCAGATTTGGATTGTGAGGAATAACCACAATCTGTAAAATAATAATTCAATAGGTTAGGTAGGAGACTGTCTTTCGAATTATTAAGATTGTGAAAATCCAATTAGATTGTGACAATCTATATTAGAATGTGAAAATCCAATCGTTAGATCGAAAGTTAATTAGGTGTTCACATTTTTATTTTGCACACTGTACTGTTTTGATGGTTGTTTATAGTTCTGATGGTTTTAAAACTTAAAATACATATATTATCAATATTATGATTATTATTAATATTTTAAAAATTAGAACAATTTTTGCATTTAAATTAAATAGTTTCAATATTTTACAGTATTTTATCTTGTTATATTTTGTTTTTATAATAAACTATGACTTTGCATAATTTTCCTTAAACGATTTTTAGAAAAAGTATCTTTTTTTCTGTCTAATCAAATAAAAAAATTTTTTAGGCCCATTTACAAGCTCGCTATGTAATCTTACAAGTTATGCTTGAAGCTGGAGAAGATTTTGTAAAGATTGAAAAAGTGAAAGGATCAGATGGAAATCCTGATCTTTTACTGACTTTAGATGCCACTAAAATTAAAACAATTGGAAGAGCTGCAGTTGGAACCTTTTTACGGAGATTACAGGTATGTATGCACAAATGAAGAAAAAGTTATCTATAAGTGAATAAAGCACATGTAATTCCACAAAACAGACAGACTATAATTTTGATTCTATAATCAAGAATTTTCCTCGGGAAGAGTAGGAAACAGAGATACCGAAGAAAAATTATAAACAAATTGCAAGAAGGAAAAAAGGGGTTTAACCAATAAGGGATGGGACAAAAAACTTGAATGAAGTAATTAAATAAAGGATAGGCAATGAGATGGCAGGTATGAAGGATGAGAACTAAAGGTGTGCAATGTGTCAAAACTAAAATAATTCTAGATTTCCAAACATTTAGAAATAAGGCAATATTTCCAAGAATCTTAACTTAATTATTAGAATTTTAGAAATGATTCCCAAAAATCAAGGTCAGCTGCTAAAGCGTAACATTAGATTTTTTTTTAGAAGAAATTCCAAACTTTTATTAGACTTAAAAACTATGTGAAGCAAAAATAGACAATTTTCATTTTGAATTTTTTCCACTTTATTTGGAAGAGCTTTTTAGAAATTCCTAGTTTCTGTATAACTATCGAAAAAAAGATAGTCAATTATTGACAATGACTTTTTTTAATATTATATATATTTTTTCATCTTCTTATATTGAAATATGATTATTAGATTCGTTTAATCTTTTAAATAGGTTATCATATATATGCTTGAAATGGCAGACCAGGTTGTTTCTTTTTTATCTTCCATCTTTTAGTAAAATATCTCTAGACTGAAGTTTGCATCGAAAATAAGTTTGACTTTCCCCTCACGAACTTCACCTAATTTGTAACTGTAGAGACTTTCTCTACTTTCGTTGAAAAATGTGTAATGAATATCGTCAAATAAAATCCTATACAATTTGCTTAAATAATCACAATCTACACTTAATCTCAAATAATCTACTTCTGCTGTATTACACATTCTTCAAGCTAAAAGAAATGCCCAACTAATGTCGGCAAATATAATCTTGTACAATTTGCTTTTAAAGCAGGGAACTTCTAGAGAAGGACTATAACAAGAACTTATATGGTATATTTAATTGATTTAAAAATATAATAATAACCCATACATTTGAAGAAACTGAAATAACAATCAGCAACAACCAATTGTAATATAGACTTATATGAGTTATTAAGGGATAGAACCTGTATAGATCTTTCACCCTTTCGTAATTAGAAGTTTTGTGAACACATGCTTCTGAAATAAAGTATATGTGGTGTCAGATTAAGAAAAAATGATATAACAGGGATGCACAACCATTTTTTGATAATGAGCCATAAAAACTGGAAAATACCTTATAATGTACATATAGATTTTATTTTAAAGTAACATACATGACTTTCACATGTATAGCTTATCTTTACTCAAGTGTCAATAACAAAGTATTTAATAAACCTAATCAAATGTAGTTATATATCTACAAAGCACATTTTTACTGTAAATCTATCAATAAACAGATAAAAACTACTAGAAAAGCTAGCTTTAATTATCATTCAGAAAACGAAGTTTATTGCTAAGTACAGGGCCGGATTAACCTATAGGCACACTAGGCACGTGCCTAGGGCCTACGAAATTCAGGGGCCTACGAAAAACTTGGGAGAAAAAAATTTGTTGACAAAAATAATTTAGCTTTAAAAACAACAAGTGTATTTTGCACAAAATTATGAAGATACAAATAAAAATATAATATTTTTCGGTAATAAATTATTTTGCAGAATCTTATGATCTAATATATTACTTTTTTGCGATTTTTGGATTCAACGAAATCTTGTATTATGCTGTCGAATTCCAAACTACGCAAAATGTCGTATTCAATAGACATAAGTGCGAGCGATGCCAAACGATCTTGATTCATTGTTGAACGCAAATAATTTTTTATCAATTTTAATCTGGAGAAAGATCTTTCTCCTTCTGCATTTGCATTCATAATTCCTTCTGCATTCATAATTTCAATAATAATTTTGCATTCATAATTCCTTCTGCATTCATAATTTCAAAAGATTTACTTTTGACAATGTTAATTTCCTTCACTTAGTTATCATAGTAGTATCATGAAAACTATGAAGCTATTTGTAGTATAAATATTTCTTGTAATTAATCTCACTATCAATTTCACTGTTTTCTTTGCTGATTTGTTGTTGTATTGTTGACGTGAAGTGTTTACATAGTTATCGATCGAACTAATCATAATGGTATTATCGATATCAACTGCAATATCGGCAGTATGTCGGTATTGCAGATAAAGTTTGATAAACAAATTTGTAAATTAAAATCCATATTAATAAAAATGTAAAAAAAATATGCAAGAAAATTTTAGCATATATTTTGAAAAGAGGGGAGGAGTGGGGGAAGGAGGGGAGGGCCCAAAAACGGCTGTGCCTAGGGCCTATGAAAGGTATAATCCGGCTCTGACTAAGTATCACGTTTATGTGATACTGGTTGTTATCCTATTTTTTAGATTTTGAAAATTCTTTTTTTTTTCTATAATAAATTTTATTTATTGGTAAGAAATAAAATTTTACTGTAGAAATTGAACCTATTGTCATAAATCAAACTTGCAAAATTAGTACTTTGAAGTAGACCAAACTAAATCAAGAATAAACTGTTATTGAGCATGATACAAAACATTTTTCTGTTACTTTCTTTCTTTTATACTTTTGTTAATGTGTAAAACAACTTGGTGTTAAAATATTTTATGGGCAACTTTCGACCCATGGGTCAAAGATTGTACCAATCTGTAATATAATTTTATATTAAAAGGTGTATACTCTTTTGGTAAAAAAAAGAAAGCACTGAAGTAATCAATGTTTCATGCAAATTAAAATGGTCTTATGTTTTAAATATCGTCTTTCCTTCCTGTATTCATGATTACTGCAGAAAATTATTGCAGGATATTTGATAAATTAAATGTAGAGAGAGTAAAGTTTTAATTTCATACTTACATACTTTATTGAATCTGTAAAAATTCATGAAGAATCTCTGCATTTTATTGGTCACAAAAGAAATTATATAAAAGTTGAAATTGTTGTCATTGTTTTACTTAATTTTGCTGTAATGCATCAGATATTGTAATATTTTTTTAAACTATTTTAATTTAGTTGTACAAAGCGACTGGAGACATTGAATCAGCTAGAAAAATGTACGATGGTTATTCCTTAGTGAGTTCAGAAACTGCCCATCCTTTCTTGGATTACAGGGAAATCGTCATGGCAAGAAAGAAACCAAGAAGATTGTTCACACAAGTCAACACATTCTTAGAAGGTTTGTAATTTCAATTTGTTTTAAAAAAATTACTATGCATTGCTTGTAAAGTATTAAAATTATGAAGTTGTTAAATTAGGTAGAAAATAATGCAATGAATCAGAAATAAAAATGGCCTGTTTCGATCTAAATTTATCTTCCAAGTTTTGCAAATATCGTATTGAAGTTAGTTGTGTGGTTTCTTCTACTTATTGGCGGAAATCGGAACTCTCAGAATCAAAATTTTGAGATTCCTAATTTATGATTTTTCCAATTTAAGTCTCCCCAAATTATAAATTGTGATTCCTTAAAGCTCTATTCTCACTGTCATGATTTATATAAAAATAATTATAAAGTGCTGATAATAAATGTAAATTACAATCAGTGATTCCTATCAACACAATTTGCTATTTGCTTAGCTCTCATTCATATTTTTAAAATATAAGCCAAATGCTGAAACTCTTTTGAAAATGTATTTCTTTTGTTTGAAAAAAAATTAATAATAGCAATAATTTTTTGAAAATGTGTTTTTTTTATTATTATTTATCCTTTTTAATTTATTCAATGAGGAATGATATTTAATAATTAGCTATAAAAATATTAAGAAGTTCTCTTTAAAATAAAATTCTTTTTCTGTCTAAAACTTGTCATCCAAATAAAATACTATAAACTCTAAGCATATCCAATACTTCATGTCTAGTCCTGCTTTCATTGTTACATATGGACCTAAGAATGAAGAGAGTTGTATTTTGCCTATTTTTGCTGTTAAAGAACAGGGTGTGGGAATACTTTCATCAAATTCTAAATTCTTTAGAAGTTGCAAAAATAATTACATATGGCAAAAAAAGATATTATCATAAAATAAGTTACAAAAATAATGCTCATCTGTATCAAAATCAATAATTTTCCTTCCAATCCGCCGATTATCTCGAAAAATGTTTGCACTAAGTGCAGGCTTAATTTTAATTGTTCACATTGATTAAAGTGTAGTATCCTTAACTTGCCATGCAATATTTAATGAAGAAAATCATGTGCTGCATGATCTTTAATGAAAGAATCATCTGCTACATGATCTTTAATGAAGATAATTATCTGCTAATTGATATTTAATGGAAATGTCACATGCTACATAATCTTTAATTAAAAAAGATGATATATACACTAATGAACAAATCATGTGCTACATTATTTTTAGTTAAAAAATCATGTGCTGTATGATCTTTTATGAAAAAAATTATGTGCTGTATGACCTTTTATGAAAAAAATCATGTGCTACATAATCTTGCTATCAAATGCTACATAATTTTGATTGTAAGTAGCTTATACTATAATTTCATAGATATCTTTTTTATGACATTATGACAATTAATTATTTTAAACAATAAATTTTTTGTGTCTAATTTAAAATCTTTTTATTTTTATTGTAGATGGTAAAGTTGTATTGAAGAATTATGATTCAACATTTGAAGGAATGATACAATCATGGGTGGAACGTTATCCCGATAGTTCTATATGTGATATCTTGGAAGAACTTTGGAAGAAAGATAGTGCCTATTTTGTTTAGACTGTATAAATCTATGTATTTTTTGAGAATTAAATTGAGGCTAATAAACAATTTTTCAATATTGTTCTTTTATTTAATGTCCTTTTTTTATTTGAATTGTTTTAAAACCATTTGTAATTTAGGGTGATAGCATGATTAGTTTGTTAATAGCAACAAATGTGAACCAAATGTAATAATCTATTTTTGGCGAAATAGGTTGCATGTATTAAATCCTGCCTTTTAAATAGATCAATCGATTGCATCACAGATTATACCACATATTAAATTAAAAAATATGTTCCCTTACCAAAATAGTAATAAGCAACTGTTTTTTTTTTTTGTTGCATTTATAACTAATACATTATAAAAAAATAAAAGTAAGAACTCCACTATACACTTTTCACAATAAATTGGTTATTTCTCTCGATACTACCAGAATTAAAGACCTTTCCATAGGTGAAACTAATTATTATACACAGGATTATTCATAATTCCCTCCGGCCAGGAACTGGACTATCGCATTGATGTATGCCGTGTGACCAAGGGTTCACATATAGAACACCTGTAATGTTTGTAAGTAAAACTTGAACAGTTTCGGAATAATTTCATATGTTTCTTTTTTTCATATTCGTCTTCTTTTTTTTTACTGTAACGCTTCGAAATCCCGGAGGGAATTATGAATAACCCTGTATATCTTATGAAAAAGTAAATATAGTATTCTATACTCAATCATAAGAGAAAGTTATTTTTTACAAGATCGAAAAAGTAAATTTTTCAAGCTTGTGTGTAATATTTTGATTGATTTTCCTTTCTATTAATTTTTTTTTGTTTTTTTTTTTGGATATTTACATGCATCTGTATACATCAAAAGGTAAGTAATGGGATATTAATCAGTATATGTAGATTTCAGAGAAGTTAGGAATTTGGAAAAGGAAAAATTTTAATCCTACATCTTTCTAGCATAAAAATATTTGTGGTTTAGAATGCTATACCATAGCATTAAATTTATTTTTTATGTTCTTTATTTCATATTCTGAGAATTTTTCACTGCATTATCAAAGCCTATAGGTTTTGCGGCATCAACAACTGAAAATTTGCTGGATTGATAAAGATTTTATAAATTATCTTGTCAAACACATATTCATAGTTACCCTGATATTCTGTATTTGCTTAATTCAGTCATTTTATGAAAAAGAAATACAATTAACAACTTTACATTATCTCATTTTCATAGTGATGAATTCAGGGATCCTATCTTTCCAATTTATTATTTTCAGCAAATACAGTAACATATCTTGCAGGAGTGAGTTATGTTATTTAACAATTATTGATTCATCTTTTATGTAGTAATCACACCATAGAATTTTCATATGGTGAATTGAGGAATCATTTACCAAATTACTTTTGTACTTTAAATGACTTTTTTATATTTAATCTTAAACAGTATATTCACTGTGTTTTTGTTTCGATATTAGTGGAATCCTAATTTAAAATAATTCGATAATGGAATTTTTGAACTTAGTTAATAAGAGGATATTTTGATTGATGCTGATTTTTCTCATTTATTATTGACACAATATTACGAGAAGATAAAATATATATTGATCTTAAACTATTATGAGTTTGAGTTGCTCGGTGTTAAGCAATTCATTAATAAAATTAGGCTGGAAATTGTGAATTTTTCAATTTTAATGTTCTGAACAAAGTAATTCGGGAATGAAAAATATTCTATTATTCTTTTGCCATACAACTTGCTCCTATTTTACTTAAATGGACCAAATTACAAATTTTTTAAAAATTCTTTTTAAAAGAATTTCGGTACAGTATGCCTTTTTAAAAAGGTCCTATTTTTTTTATTGAAAAATGATGACCTGATTTTTTTATTGGCCTTTACAAGGTTGTGAAATCAGTGATTTATTGTGGAAAGTTATACTTTAATGGTGTGAAGGTGATGTGAAAGGATTTTCGTAGGGGTACGTGTTCTTTTTTTTGTTGGAAAAATTAGACTTTCAAATTAAATTAATAGATTTTTCTTTTTATATGTTTTATTATCTTTAAAAGAGCTATGACAAAATTTTTGATTCATGATCACGTTCCATAAGAAATTAAGACAGGTATACATTTCAATTTTCATGAGTTTACAAAAATATCATTTTACTTGATTTCTAAGCATATTTTTATATTATATTCTACATCCCCATACAATGGAAAGAGGAGTAAAGTAAAGGTGGGAGAGTCAAGACATGGAACCGGTCTTTTTCCTAGATGGCGTATTCGAGCATTGTGAACTCGATTTTAAAAATATATGTAGCATTTATTTCGAAAACTTGAGTTTGATTGGCTAAAAATTTTATGATGTCTTCAAAAATACACTACTTGGCTGATGTAAGGCTCCTATAATATGATTCAGGGGCTTTAGGCTGATGCAGCTTCATTTTTGTAATTTTTCATGTCTAGTAGGAGTGTTACAGCTCAACAATTTACTTAACTTTGCGTTCGTAAAAAATAAACTTTTCGCGCGACGCTTTTCAGTTTTGATTGAGAATTCACATAGAAAATCGTTTGTAGTTCGTAAATATAAAATAAGTATGCAAACTGATTGAGATAATTTTGAATTCGAAGAACTCGTTGAAAGCATTTTGCGTTCAGTCGGTTGAAATTTATTCCATGCGGTGAGCACCTATTAACACTGATACCGGCACTGAAAGCGAAAGTACGGAAGTTTGTTGTCAATAAATGTAAATCCTTTGTTTATTATGCTGTTTTCTTAAAAATATTATTAAATATACAGTGTAATAACTTCATTGAGAGTTATTCACAAATATTTTTCATGTGCGTTTGTTCTTTTATTTAGTTATTCTAATATATTTGGGTTTTTGTATTCAACCAAATATTGTAAAATGACTTGTTCTGGTTTCAGTTTCTTCTTAATTTATTAAAAATGCAATGCTTTATTTCTGAAATAACATTCCCGTGAATTATATTCTATGTAGTAATTATTTTATATGCAGTAATTAGTTAATGAATGGATGGTTACGTTTATATGCACAGAATTTTATTTGACATTTATGTACATTTGCTATGCAAATAAGTTCTATTTCGATTTAGAATAAAATTTTTCTTCTAGTGATAGAAAAATCGTCGTAAAAAATGCTTTTAATGAAAATATCCATTCATTAAAAAAAAATTGTTTTAAAACCATAAAGCCTCTTCAGAAAAGTCTAACAAGACAGATTTTTGCGTCGAAATATGTGCCGAATTTTTTGATAGCAACTGCATTGTGATTGACAAGAGACTTTATTATTTTTTTAAATAATAAAGTCTTTTCAGTAAAGTTCATTGAATTAATATATGTATATATATATTTTTTTTGCTAGTAAAAGTATACCTGTAAGTTGTAGGCAGTGGTACTTTAGTATGGCAGTTAGCTCACTCTAAACCTGTTTTGAAAATATTCTGGAGTTTACAAAATGCCCTTTTGAATGATTTAAGCAGTTATTATGTATAAATGTTTCAGCTGTTAATAGATTAAAGATTTGTTTATGGTAAATTTTAAGGTTCTATGTATGATATGCCACATTTTCTTTGGTTGCTGCTTATTTCTTTATTTTTTGCAATTATTTTAGTGACTAAGTTATTCTTTGTTTGGAAATATACTCAACATTTGAAAACTTGGGAATATTTACGTATCGGTATCAGTTTTCGCGAGCTTCAACCGTCAAAGCGTCAGAGAATTTTAATTTTTTTAGTTTTTTTGCAGGCCACTGCCCTCAAGTCGCCAAAATTTGGTGTAGCTACCGATATGGAGATCTTTCCTAACATATGCCAATTGTAAGCATTGGTTACAAATTGTAGTGGCTATTAAATTAATCCTTTAATTAGAAATAATTAAAAGCCTTCAAATTAACTAAATTTTTTGTCTCTACTTTACATGTTGTGGGAAACAATATCTTCAAGACATGAAAGTATGCTTTATATATTTTTTTACAATATTATTGATTTTGACTATTTAAGGCAAATTATTTACTAAAATATAGAACTTGAATTTTTATTTGCATGCCTGAGCCTGATAATATTTGTGATATTTTGTTATCTTTTTCAGTTGTTTTACATTTTAGCTGATGAGAACTCTATTTTCATGTAAACAGATTAGAAGATATATTCGTTTCTTCCCTTATTTGAGTAATTCTCTTCCTAATAAAAGGATAGTTGTGAGTTCTTTCCACTCATCTGTATATTACCACTGCAATTTAACACTGCTCAAGCCTAAAAAAATAGTGAGTTTTTTTAGATCTATTTTTATACTTCAATTAAGATTTTTATTAATGATGTAATTGTGTATAGCAATACTTTACCTTCAAATTGAATTTGACTGAGATTACCCTTTTCTGTTTGGGGTAAAATAAAAATTAAATAATCTATGAATTGTTAATTATTACCACCAGACTTTTTGTGAGTATGGAATTTTAATTAAAAAAACTTCTGACAAGCACTTCGTTGACTCTTGTAACCAATTTCTTTCCTTTTGTCGACCTAATTTTGCGAGAATTTGTTCAAAAATTACGAATTTTATTAAAGGTTTTTTTAAACATTATTTTGTTTATTATATGTATTAGCCTACATTTCTTTAACAAGAGATTTTTAATTCTTTTTAAACTATTAATATAGTGATTTTATTTCATGTCCGTGTTGCTTGAGCTTTCATGACATAATGGCGAAAAAATTGATTTTTTTTAAAAAATGTGTTATAAAATTAACTTTTAATTAAAAAAAATTAGCTAACAACTCTGATGTTACCTTTTAAAGAAATCTACATCATCAGCTTTTTTTGAAATAGTGCTGAATGAAAATAAATTTTTTTAAAACATTTTCCCTAAGATGCTTATTGAAATTTCGAAATGATTTTTTGGGAGCATAAGCTAAAATTGCCCCTAGCTTTTTCTGTATAAATTTTAGGATCCTAGCACTAACTGTTCTGGAGTTCTAAGAGAGAGACACAGACAAACTTTTGATTTTATTGTTATAGATTTAAAAGTTGCTTGTATATTAGAGTTTGGGGTCACATCATCCCTTCACCCCCCAAAAATATTCATTTTAAACTACATCTTTGTTCGCATCACATCACCCCCTCCTTCCACAAAAATGATATTTTAAAACATGTCGTTTGTTTCACGTCATCCCCCTCTAATTTTTTTATATTTTATAACTAATTTTCGTTTGTATCACATCACCCCCCCCCCTCCGAAAAAAAAAATATTTTATAACACATTTTTGTGTCACATCATTCCCTCCCCTCATAAAAATTATATTTTATAACACATCTTTGTTTATGTATTAATTTAAAAATTTTGTTTGCAGATGTCTGATTTCATTCATCCTAATAACACACCTGTTGTACTGTTAAGCTGTGAAGAAGCTTTCAAAGAACTGGCAGACAATGAAAAACTATATGCTCATTATTTGTCAAGGGCATCATGGTTTGGAGGGCTTATTGTATTATTTCAGGTTTGTTTTAATTTAATGTTTAACATAGAATGACTAATTTGTCTTCACAAAGCTGATTCTTAAAACTTGGAAGCATCTTAAACAGGTTAATAACAGTTTAAATTGGTTATTAAAATCAGCAATTCCAGATATTAGTCAATAGATTTTTTAAAAAATATGATTTAGGAGAGATTTTTAAAAGAACAATAATTAAAAAGAACATTTGACTTGTTTGCCTAGAGATTTTAAGTAATATCAACAAAAGTGTAACATTTGTTAAAAACTAAGTAGCTAAAAACTAAGTGAAACTAATTTGTTAAAAACTAAGTAAACTAAAAGTTATTAAAATTGTTGAAAATTTAACTATTTTTTATTAATATTTATCATATTTATTCCAGTAAATTATTTAAGGTTCAAGGTAATAGATATAAATGAAATAATACAGAATAACTTAAAAATGTATAAATTATTTTAATAGTATTTTTTAAAAAATTTTGCATTTTAGTAGGTCAATAATTTAGAATTTTTAGAAGGTTACAATTTAACAAAAAAGTTGAAGTAAATTTTTTTAGGAACTTTTCCTCTTTCGCAAATTTTTGTTACATTTTTAAGCTTAAATTTTTCTAGCAATAAAAATTGTGGAGAAATATGTGTTTTTTTACTTACATAAAAAACCACTGTAAAAAACCACAATTTGTAAGAAAAGTAAAAAAAAAAAAAAAATAACATATATTTTTCCACAATTTTTATTGCTAGAAAAATGTAAGCTTAAAAATTATGTATTAAACAATATTTCTTAAAAAAATGTAATAAATAAGGAAAATAAACCTATTCAGTAGTTCAATATTGAGTAATTGGACAATTTTAGTATTTTCTTAAAATGATCTAATAAAAGATGTACATTTTAAGAAATATTTGTACATTTTAAGAAATATTTTCAAACATTTAATAATTTATTTTTTACTTTTTTATTTGACAAACGCAGTTTTTAGCACCAATTGTTGCCCTGAGTAGGTAAATATTATAATAATTTTTTTACCTTGAGTTTAGTGCAGCATAGCTACTCCTAATTTTTTTCTATCTGTTAAACTTAAAAATTAGAAAAAAATCTGACATTTTGAAATAAAATAAAAGCATTTTTTCATCCTGATTATTATTATTACAAGCAATTGTTTTAATTTGATAATTAATTTTCTTACTAGACTTCTTTGGAAAGCCCTCTTGTGTTTACTTTATTGTTCAAGTTATTTCGAGAGCAACCTCTTGAGGACATAAAACAACTTGCTTTAACCAAATGTGGTTTTACTGAAGATGAATATATGGTAAGAAATTTCCTTAATTTTATTTACTAGTACTAGTAACATTACATACTTGTCATAATAAGATTATTAAGTTTTTTTTTTTATTGTATAACTGTTTTATTAAAAGTATTGTGTTAATATTTTTTTAATATAAAAAAATTATGAAAATAATAATAAAACAATTCTTAAGAAATGTAGAATGTAGTTTTTTTTATATAGAATTGACTAAATGTTTATAAAAATCTTATATGTATAAGAGTTGTATTACAAAGTTTATTTCAGTGGTTCAAAAATAGGAGCCCATTTTCAAGACTTTCCAGATGTGAATGAGAAAAAACTGATTTGAAATATAAAATTGCCAATGAAAAATGGAAAATAAAGGTGTAAACAAAACTAGAAAAACCTCAGTAGCCAAGGAAAATAAACTTGGAAAGGCAGAACAAAAGAAAACAAGAAAAAACATTGTGCATGAGAGGGTGAAATCCAGCTAAAATGCATATCTATTTGAACTTTTTCGTTGGCAGCTGCACGTTTTGCATTTTAAATCACTTTTGTTTCTTCTCATTCACGCCTCTCAAGTTTTAAAAATGGGCGCCTATTTTTGAATGCTTGAAACATGTCGACTGTTATTTTCAATCTGTATATTTTTGAAGTGAATGAAGTTTTTTGAACAAGTAATTGGGCCGTCTTCTTATTAGAGACTTAAACCTCCTTTTTTTACTTAAATGTATTGAAATTTTCTGTCAATGTGATAATTTCATAAGAGTTCAAAATATGACTTTTGATTTAAAAAAAAAATAACCTATACTGAATTATTAAATTATAAAGAAATAGTTGAAGTTAATAATTTCCCTTCATGTCTAGCTAAGCTTTGTTGCTGGAATCAATATAGTAAATTGTTCAGAAAATAGTTGCATAAAAAGTCAAACTTCCAATTGTAACTTTCATCCAAAATAAAAGAAAACATAAACATTTTGAAAATTAAGATGACAACTATGTTATATGATGAATGTTTTAAATGTTACAGGGTTCCCACGGTCCTTAAAAGTCCTTAAAAACTGCTTAGTTTTTATTTTGAAAATTAAGGACCCTTAAAAGTACTTAATTTTGATTCATGGTTCTTAAAAGTCCTTAATTTTTAGTATCNGTGGGAACCCTGTGTTAGCATTTCAATGAAAATTTGGAGCTTGAAAGATTTTGTTGTAAGGAGACTTTATTTGTTAGTTAACAAGTTAGTGAAGTATTATTTTAAATCATCGAATTAGAATTAAAAACTAATACCTATCAAGTATAATATCTAGTTTCTTATGTTTTAAAAAGGTCTCTTGATTTTTTATGGGTAATTTAGAGACAATTTTTGTTTTAATTTTTTGTTGAGTAATTACTGAATCAATTGCTAACCACAGTTTTTTCTTAATCATTTTTTTTTAAAATTACGTCCATCATTTTCTCTCTCGAGCATGAGAAGTCTTGCAGTCCAATATAGCAAGGAAATATCTCCAGGGGCGGAGAGCATCTTGAAACTAGAAGAATTACGGGCCTCCTGGAGGGCAGAGCAGTTCCATAGATGCCCGCCATTCATATGGGCCCTATTTGCACATAGTGTACAGTTAGGAGAGTCAGAAAGACCAACACGGTGCAAGTGCGCCTGTAAGTAATCGTGTCCCATCAACAATCGGAAAGATGAAACACCGATAGCTCTAGGGAGATTTTTTGGTAGACAGGATGCCAGAAGGCTCTCCCAAGGTTTTTATAATAATTGGAGATGCCTTCATTGTAGGAAAAGACTGCAAGATAAAGACGAAGGCTGTAACAGATTTGGCGTTATCCAGGGTGCACCACGAGGAGGCCTGTTACTCTACACCCCAAGTGTTTCTTAATCATAAAGTATTAATTTTTACATATAATATCTTTAATTTTGAAATATATACTTTAAATATGAACCAGCTTTTGGTAAAAAGGACTGGAAATTTGGAAGTCCGGGTCTAGCAGAATCACAGAATTTTCATTGTCTATCAGAATCACTGTTATTGATTTTCAGGATTGATCTGATAATTAATTTAAGTATCATGTAAAAAGTTTCAGATTGCTCTTCTATTTAGACATTCTGAATGAATGACCTCCTAAAAAATTTGATCCTATAATTACTTTTTCAGTTTGTGAAACAGAAAGCATGCTATAGTGTGACCAAAGAGTAAAGTGAATGATTCATTTTCACAATTTAAGAAAATACAGAAGAGAACTTTAAAAGTTTTTTCTGAAACGTTTACATCCAAATATAATATATCAGGTGGTTACTTTGTAACATGTAGAATGGGTATGCAATTTGCATTATATTTTCTGGAGTTATTAGATCAGTCCTGGAAATCAATAGACACTTCTTTTATTAATCATTTGTTCATTAATCACATTTATTTTTTTCAAATTTTTTATAGGCTCTTCTTGTTTATACTTCAGCTTTGTTTTCCAACATGGGAAATTACAAAGGCTGTGGTGACACTAAGTTCATCCCAGATTTACCCAAGGTATTATTCCTAATTTTTCATGCTATTAAGTAACTTAATAAAGGTAGTTTTTAGTGACTAATAAAATTCTAAATTAACAGGAAAAGTTTGAAAAACTTGTATTGTTAAGTAAGTTTGGTAGCAATCACCAAGAAGAAGCAACGAGACTGATGAAACTATGCTTGGAATCCATGTATTCATTAAAAGATAATGAAAGGAGATTGGGTTTCCCATATGAAGTAAGTAAATATTTTGATTGCAGATCTTAACTATGAAATTATCTTCTGTGCTGGTATTAAGATTTATCTTAGATCTGCATAAAAATTTACACTGTTCAGAAATTTTATCTTATCATTTGGCATACATACAAAATTTCATTTTTTCGCTCTTTTTTTTTTTTTTTGAAAAACACACATGAAATTAGTCAATATTACACATTTATTTAAAAAATTTAAATAGTGATAGAAAAGAAATACATTTGTCAGTTGAATTTGCTGTCTTGGAGATGAAAAAAATTATATCCTATCCGAAAACTTTGTTTATATAGAAAAAGAACTGTTATAAACATTGAAATTGGTAGGGAAACATTTCATTATTAAAGAATTTAGTTATTTTATCTTGATTTGAAAAGAGAAATATGAAATACTGTTGCCTTTTTGTTATAAATGCATGTAATTTTTTTTTTCATAATAGTTTTTTTTAAAAATTATATGTATATTTTTTTAAAAATTTTCATTTCTCTCTAAAATCTTGGCAATCAAAATAATAAGTAAATAATTGATTATAGATTGGATCTTAATAAAATTACAGATTTAAAAAATATTAAAAAAAAAAAAACTCTTAATTCTTGAAACTCCATGGAACCCTAGGGTTTCTTGGAACATCATTTGGGAAACATTGGTCTTAAAAGTATTTTGACTATCAAAAATAAATGTTTTTTTNTTTTTTTTTTTTTTTTTTTTTTGAAAAACACACATGAAATTAGTCAATATTATACATTTATTTAAAAAATTTAAATAGTGATAGAAAAGACATTTGACAGTTGAATTTGCTGTCTTGGAGATGAAAAAAATTATATCTTATCTGAAAAATTGTTTATATAGAAAAAGAACTGTTATAAACATTGAAATTGGTAGGGAAACATTTCATTATTAAAGAATTTAGTTATTTTATCTTGATTTGAAAAGAGAAATATGAAATACTGTTGCCTTTTTGTTATAAATGCATGTATTTTTTTTTTCATAATAGTTTTTTTAAAAAATTATATGTATATTTTTTTAAAAATTTTCATTTCTCTCTTAAATCTTGGCAATCAAAATAATAGATAAATCATGGATTATAGACTGGATCTAAATAAAATTACAGATTTAAAAAATATTAAAAAAAAAAACTCTTAATTCTTGAAACTCCATGGAACCTTAGGGTTTCTTGGAACATCATTTGGGAAACATTGGTCTTAAAAGTATTTTGACTATCAAAAATAAATGTTTTTTTGAGAATAGTATGAATTTTTTTTCTATAGTAATTACATAAGTATATTAAAAAATAATTTACATGTTTAAAGTTCTTAATTTTTGTTTTAAAAAAATGAAGTAGTTGGAGCCCTACTCTAGTATTGAAGATTGTAAAAAAAAAATCGAGTTTTATTTTAGTCACTAAATTAGATTGGAAAAAAAATTCTTTTCTTTATGGTGTTTACCTTTTCTTCAAGGCACGCTTAATAGCAGAATTTGTTAAGCCTTAGGTTTTTATGAGCAATAATATTTTGTTACAAATCATTATATTTTTCATAAATTGCATGTGTATTGTAACAATTTTCTCTTTCTGTTTGTTGCTGGCATAAAGATGTAATTAATGTTAACATTTTAACTAGAAAGTTTTTCTTTAGTAACTTTAATAAAGTAAGTAAAACATGCTACTTAAATTTAGAAAATAGTTGCATCATATTTAAAACCGTGAATTTTATTACATCTCATTTGATGATGCTTGAAGCTACTTATTTTGATTTAATATAATTTTTAACTTAAAGCCTATATTTTAATTTATCTACTTTTTAAATTAACTTTCCACATCATAATATTTATTCGTGCAAAAACCTTTTATTTCGAAAAATTAATCTGTAGTGAATTTTTTTTTTTTTAACCTTAAGTTACAGGTTTTTAATTTCAACAAGCATTAACTATGTATTATTTCGGCATTACAGGATTTTTAAAAGCTGCCACCAGCTCTTAAATAGTAAATCTGATCCTAAAGCAATTGCAGCAAATGTTGTAAACAATCTTATTTGTCTTAATTAATTTTCTGCCAAATCTTCAGTGGCAGAGAAAAAATTTCCAATATTTTCATTCTTCCAAATTTTATTTATTTTTTTTCCCCCATTTATTTGTTTGTTTTATTTATTTGTTTTTTGTGTTTTTTTTTATTAATTTGCTTGTTTCATTTATTGCTTACCTTGAAACCTCATACTAAAATCTTATATTTCGGTAATCTTAGCTGAAATCTTTTTTTTTTAATTTTAAGTTTCAGGATTTTAATTTCAAACAGCTTTAACTTTGTTGCGATTTGGTAATTCAGGTTGATATTTAAAAATTGGCACAAGCTCTTATATTATTTATCTGATCCTAAAGCAATTACAGACAATGCTGTAAACAATCTTATATGTCATAATTAATTTTCTGTCTAATCTTAAATGGCTGAGAAAAATTTAATCTATTCATTCTTTAGAAATTTTTATTCATTTTTTGCTTATTTGTTTTATTTGTTTGTTTATTGTTTGCTGTGAGAGTTTTTTTTTTAAAGCTTGTATTAGTCAGTTGAAAAATTTATTAGTTTAAAATTTGCATGAGAATTTTTTACCTAGACTTTTATTGAGCACTGTATTAGGCATGGTTTTGTGTATTACATTTCACAATTTCTGTTGCACTTACCCATTTTTTAACTTCAGTGCATTTATTAAATTTAAAAATAACTTACCTTAAAATAAATTTAGAAATTCCAAAATTAGAAGCAATTTTTAAATAATCTGTGTGCACAAATACTTCAATTCCATAGTGTTTGTACCTTATATATAGTGATAGATTGTTGGGGCGTTGTAGTCTGTTTAAATTAGATTGTGTCTAGCTTTAAATTTATTTGTTGTATCTTTTAGGCGACTACCACATACATGTCTAAAAATTTTCTCAAAGAGGATGAAAAAATTGTAAAAGATTTTTTCAAAAAACAGGTAATACACTTATTTTTTCAATATACAATTATTATAAAACATTAACTAAAAATATTTATAACTGTTTAATTAAAAAATTAGCGGAATGTTGATATACTGAACTATACATCAACGTTCTACTACTTTTTTAAAGGTTTGAAAGAGTGATAGTTTGTAGTAGTAAATAGACATTTAGATTGCAGTAGCAAATAGGCATTTAGCACTTGCATGAATATTATTAAAAATTAAGAATAAATTATTAAAGCAGTTAAATAAGAGAACAAAATATTTCTTTCATTGAACCAAAAAAAAACTTTTTTTTTCTTCATATTAAAATTTTTTCTATCTAAAAATAACAGATTGTGGGGGGTGAGTAGTTATCGAACATGTCAACCTTTATTTATGAAAAGGTACCTCACCATAGAATTGAGTTTATATGTTTTATATACTGGTGAATTGGGATTATATTTTTGTAGTGGTAGATACACTACACAGATATATTATTTTAATCCTTTTGGATTTTCATATTGTACCATAATTATTGACGCTTGATTTTTCTATTAACACTGTTCTTGATGCCTTCCACATTTTAATTCACAACAAAGGTAATTGTTTTTACTATTAGATGCTTGAAGGAACTCTCTTAAAACGTAAAAATTCTTAATAATTATTAGTTTTAAAATGAAAAATTGTTAAAGAATTAAAAATGTCTTAACAGCATTTTTGAGATCGATTGAAATTTTTTTTTTGACTGGTAATTGGTTATTTTGGCGGAATGCAACTGTTTTAAGGCAAGTCTTAATTTATTAACTGTTTTTCTGTCACTATTTTCAACTATTTTTTGATATTGTTCAAAGCAGAGAGAGTTTTTGTGAATGTTCTTTTATGAACTAGTTTTTAATCAAAACTAATTGCTAAGGCTTTTTAATGTTACTGGATTGTGTTTATTCACTCATTTTAGTTTTGTATTGGACTCAGTTTGATTCTATATTCATTGAACTTTCACTTGAACAAATGTATTTTATTTAATTTTTACTTAGTTTTAGTTATAAAAAGTTTTTTTTTTACCAATACTTAGTTAAAAATTATTGAATGAATATTGTTGTAAAATTGTTTAATGATGCAAAATATTTATTTTACAATAGGATTTTAATTGATGCATTTGTTTTGAAATTAAAACAATTACTTATTAATTTAAATATGACATAATCATGGTTAGATTATCCGCACAATTTCAAAAATTTATTTTGAAAAAAAAAATTTTACATTAAAACTTAACAAATTTCAACTGATTTATACAATTTTTTTTCACATTAGGGCATGGACGCCTACAACTCTAGATTGTTTAAAATTGTTGATGAATCTGGCACTATAACTTATGAAATACGCCTTGCATCTGTGCTGAGTACAGGTAAAATGTTTTTAATTTTTACGGTAAATTCTCGGAAGCATTTGACTCACGTATGATTTGGCTTAAACAATAATTTACAAATAGTGTTACAATGGAAATAAGAGGAAAACATGTGGAGTGTTTTCAAACAAATTCAAAAGAGGTATCACTTGTAACAACAATCTCATCTTCCAACAACAATCTCATCTTCCAAGCCTTTGAGAATTTAAGGCCTCGAAAATTATGTTGTCTAATGTGTTCAGTTTATGTAAAAATTCTCATCAGACATGTAAATGTTTTATCATAAATAGCATAAAGTGCCATTTGAGTGACTTAAAAATAGGATAGTAATAAAACTTTTAATAATAACACTAGAAATAATTCTCTACATTTACATACACCATCTGTATTAGCATAATACATATCTATAGCAAGAATTCTATAGATTAAAATGCTCGTGAGGCACATGAAAAGTTTCACATTTTTTGAACTATGGTCAATGTAGAAATTTCCGATTAATTCAAAAGTTTTTTTTATACAGTTTTGGTGACAATTAAGATTTCTAGAGCAGTGTCTCAGAGAATTCAGTTTTCGTCTCCCAAGGAGGTGCCCCAGGTGCAAATTGCAGTGGCGGTTGGTTGATATGAATTTCTGCTTAGGTCTCACATTGATTATAGTGCTGGCGTAAAATATCCTCAGTGGTAGACAGATTATGGGGTTAGAATCCCCTTGCTGTCTTGATAACAATGTGAGTCTTTTGTGTTTTTTTCTCTCCATGTAATGCAAATGCAGCTTAGTTCCATCAAAAAGTTCTGCACAAAGTCTAATTTATTCTAATGCTTGATTCAGGAGTTCCCTTGTATTCTGGGTTGGGTTCAAAATTACAAGGCTATTGAGTTGAACATTGATAGTTGTAAACTCAGAATTGGACCAGGCCGTTTTAATATAAAATAAAATATTTTCTAGGAGGATCTAGTCTTTCACATTAAATTAGAAAAGAGTCCACAGTATTAAACTTTGTACACCTTTCTTAATCATTAATTTTCGATTTTGTTAAAACAATTGCTTTTCATTTTATGCGCTAATTTAATTGTTTATGTATGTACTATAATGAATGATGATGTAATGAATTTTATAAGTAATCTAAAATTATTTTCCAGAGGATGATGAAGAGAAAAATGTAGTAAAGTCAGTTGCTCTCAATGGTCACAAATTTCTAATTACCCGTGGAGATTACAGTAAACTTTTGAGTTTAGTGAATAAGAACTTAGAGTGTGCTAAGGTATTAATTTTGTACACTATTACTATGTATAAAATTATATTTATTAGATTATTTGTAAGATTTTTTAATTTTGTTTATATTTCTTCCCATAGAAATTTGCCAGTAATGAACTGGAGGTTAAGATGATTGAAAAATATATATATAGTTTCCAGACTGGCTCTTTGAATGCCCATAAAGATGGCTCAAGGTTTTGGATAAAAAATAAAGGCCCTATTGTAGAAAGGTATTAAAATCTTTTTTAGATACTTTTGGAAATTTCAATATTGATTTCAGAGATTATTATTGATTTCTGTTATAGGAAAATTCAGAGAATTAAAAATATTTGAACTGTGGGGAAAACTCTAATGTGGGGAATATCTTTTTTTAGTTTATTATGCAAATTGAGAAATTTGAGGAAAAAAGTGAAAGTTGTTTTTTAAAATTACAAAAAAAGAATAAAACCAACTATTAAAGGTGATTTTTGACAAATATGGAATTTAAATAACGGCAGCCCAGATAGTGACAGCTTTGGGATTTGTAGTATACAGGGAAGAGATTTTTAACGCTTTTTAACTCTTTTCACTTTGACCTCTCGAATTTAAGTCTTTTTTATTGAAAACTACGATTTTCTAAAAACTTCATTTTTAAAATAAATATTCTGCTTTTTCAGAAAATTCAGCTGTTGAAATAAAATACAGTGGAAAGTCGTGTATCCGGAATCGGCGGGACTTTCTGAAGTCCGTTTATTTGATTTTACCGTATAATTTACCTCCAAGGTAAACAAAGCTTAAAATGATCTGAATCTAAGAAGCAGAAAATAAATAAACATTATTTTTCGGGCAATAATGTTTTAGTATTAGAATGATATCTAATCAATCATAAACAAAATATTAGGAAAAAAAATAATTATTGCTATTCTAAAAATAAATATAGAAAACGAAAAAAATTCACAGTTATGAAAACATTAATTGCTCTCTCCGCCATTTTGAACTAGAACGATTCAAGCAAGAAGGAAAAATTCCTGTCATTCAATAAGGTGGGTAGGTGGAGAAGAAAAATTCATTTCCTCCTTACTTGTCATTCAAGTTGAGGGCGGGGTAGTGACAAATTCTTATTTTCTCTCCCATCATTGGCTATCAATCAAGCATAAAGGCGTGGCATGCTGATTGGGTTCTCTTTATTCTTTCTTGTGTGACTAAAGGGAATTCCCCATCCACTTTAACATTTGTTGTGTTTACCCTTTTTCACAGTACTTCTTCTTCCCCTGACACTCAAATAAAAAGGTTCCAGGAAGTGCCTCTTTTACTAGCCAGCTGCATAGGAAAGAAGGGGGAGGGAGGGGACTCAGTTGTGCTCTTTTGAAAACAAATCCCCCCCTTTCCTGCATTCCAGAGGAGGAACGTCATGGTCTTAGTAGATCTTCTGTTTCTTTTCTGTTGATTTATGGGTTCAATGCATAGATCTCTAGAAGCTGAGAAGGGGAAAAACCTGTCTAAAGACTTCTTTTTTTTTAAAGGAGAGGGGAAGATGAAGAAATGTTTGTTTATTTTGATTGTTAAAAAGTGTCCGGGAAATCGACCCTTCCGGAAAAGGGACGTCCGGATATGGGACGTTACACTGTAATTATATTTATTACTGATTTTAAAAATAAACAGAAAATTCGTACTAAATAGCTGCCAACTATTCCGCATTTTTATTTATTTTAACTATTTTCTCTGCTTTTACATTCAGAAAATAACTTTTCCGCATTTTTACCCAAGCCCCCAGACGGCTCGTATTTCCGTAATTCAGATGTCGCTGCTTCAAACAAGCCTTTCAGAAGTCCCTAGCCTGGAATCTGCTAATATTTCAATTCTATTCACACAATTTGATTATTGTGCATTGCGATTTGTATTTAAGAGCTTTAAAAATCCAACATCATGACTTATATGTACGCGTTTTTAAAAACCGATATTTAGCAATTCGTATTCACACTAGTTTAAAATCCAATGTCGTGATTTGTTCGTGCGATTAGAATATCAAATATCAATTTTCATATTTATGCATGATTAAAAAATTCACATTCACAGGATCTAAAAATTATGCATCATGATTCGTATTTACAGATCTATAAATTACGCATTGTGATTTGTATTTACCTGATCTAAAAATTATGAATCTTGATTTGTATTTTCGCGATTTAAAAATTCCATATCGCAGTTTGTATTTTATATACGAATATCGTGATTCATATTCATGAGATTTTAAAATCCAAGATCACTATTTGTATTCACGTAATACCGTGTTTCTTTTGAGAAGTAAATTTTTCCTTGAATTAGTTACTATAAAGGTGACTGTTTCTCTATCGACGACTATTAATATATATAGGCATTACAACATCAGTGAAACTGGAAAAGAATGTATTCAAAACTTACATTCTGTTCATGCAAAGAAGAATGTCACACAGAAGAATGTGAACGAAAGAAAAAAGTAGGATTTGTCAAATGATGTTTGAGGATGGGCTAACGACTAAATTAATCACCAATCTGTTTATGTCAGTTTTGCTATTACTACAAGAATATATAAAAATTTTGCACACTGGAGCAACCCTCATTCACAAGCTGCATTGCGAACAATTTGACCTTGTTATGGGATTTTTTGCTTGTTTTGCGAAACATGAAGCATTTACAGCAATTGAAAATTGAGCAAAAATTAAAAAAAAATGTAGCAAACAGAAGCAAAGTAATTTTTTTTTTGTAAAAGGAGTTACTTAACTCAACACCAATATCCAAAATTTAAAAAATGTTGCTGTTATTTATGCTATAAAATGCAAAATTCTTATCAGATGAAAAAATTAAAAGAAAAATGTAACAAACAGAAGCAAAGTGATTTTTTTGTAAAAGGAGTTATTTAACTCAACACCAATATCCAAAATTCAAAAAATGTTGCTGTTATTTATGCTATAAAATGCAAAATTCTTATCAGATGAAAAAAAATTATTTAAATAGTTGCTGATTATCATGTACTTTTTCAAACTAAAATATAAATTTTTTGTATGTTAAGGAGTTACTATATGTTTCGACTTCACACTCTTTGATGTTTCACAGGGATATAATATGGATTAGATTATAATTATAATATGATAGACAGCTAGATTAGATTATAATATGAATATAGTGATTCCAATTGTGAAAGTTTATTTTCTTTTCTAAATAATTAAAGAAGTCATGTTACTGGTATATTTGCTATAACAGGGCTGATTGTGCTCCGGAAAAAATTCGGATTTCCGGACTTTTCGCTTACAGTGATCCAGAAGTTTCCGGAGATCAAAGGCCTAGACCAGTGTTTCCCAAACTTATGACTTTTGTGTACCCTTTCTAAATTTTTCGTANAAACCTTGTTTAAATTTTTTTCTAATTTTTCAATTTAAACTTTTTTTTTTAACTCAAGAAATTTTCCGGAATTTTGACTTGGGCTCACAATCACCCCTGTGTAACACAGTATTTATTAAAAGAAAGGAAATGTTAATGTACGCTCTCAGTAGTTTTAATTTGCTAAACCAGGCAGTTTCTCAAGTAATAATTGTCTTTATGTGAACTGAAGAAAAATATAATTTCTTGCTTTGTTATTCAATTGGTAATTTTACTTTTTACTAAATGTTAAGTATCGATGTAATCATTCATCTATAAATAAATTAGTACACAATTTTAAGTCAACACATAGTTATTTATGTTCTTAAATTGGCTGGAATTCATTATTAAATGATTGCACGTGCTTAAAATTTGCTCGCGTGGAAATTCCAGCTTTTTTGCCTTTTGGCCAATCTTATCCCTGTTTTTAATCAACTTATGATGTAGTGATTTTACTTACCGGATACAGGACAAACTATGTGCGTTGAAACGGCAAAAAAATAAACGGATCACCCTCGATAGCTTTTGATTTAATGATCAAATTTTCAGGTTCTAGGATTTAATGGTTTGATGGATTGACTTCAAATATGCTAATTTGAGCTCACACTGCCTCGGAATTGTTTTTGGTTGGTTTTCGGGCTAACAAGGCTAGATAGAATTTGATACCAGTTTGTTACAAATTAAGGTTGCTGAAATTGTATTCAAAATTATATTAAAATACTATAGTTTTTCTAATTTTTTGTGGTTTTAAAATAGTGTTTGAACTCGTGTTCAAATTTGTCTTGATTTGTGTCTTAAATGTTCAATTAAATAGTTAATTAATAAATTAATTGTTAATTATGTACTTTTATAGTTATATTGGATTCATTGAAAGTTATAGAGATCCATCTGGTATTAGAGGAGAATTTGAAGGTACATATTAAATTTATTTGCACAATAATTGTAAAATTAGCACACACATTTTCATTTTTGTTAATTATTTTAAAAATGAAATGTAAATTTTTTGTTAAACTCAAAATGAAAATTTCTTGTATACTAGGTTTTGTCGCTATGGTTGATAAGCCTCTGAGTAAGAAATTTTCCACCCTTGTTGCTGCAGCTGAAGAATTCATTCATCTTTTGCCTTGGCCAAGTACTTTTGAGAAAGACACATTTTTGAAACCTGATTTTACATCTTTAGAAGTTTTAACTTATTCTGGCAGTAATATCCCTTATGGAATATGCATTCCCAACTGTAAGTTTAAGAATTAAATTTTAATTGTATTTTATTTTATTTCTATCAATTATTTTGCTACCCTTTAAAAATTGTGGATTCTTGAGACTCAGAACTTATATACTTCTGGGTCACATTCATAATTCTATTTATTGATGGACAAAACAAGGAATTTCAAAGCAACAAAAGTTATACTTGAATAATCAAGGCATTTAATTAGGGTTAATCAAAAACCTTTCCTACAAATAAAGTAATAATAGTGAACTAATTATCTCAAAGAATGTGATGGTGTGTTTTTAGTAGGTTGGGAAATTGATCAGTCCCACAATAGTAAGACCTATTAATATTTAAGTATATTGTCCAGAAGATATAAAAACCTTCTTTCCAAGGTCAATCTCTTTCTTCTCTATGTAACGCTTTCGTTTTTGGTCCTCCGGCACTTATTTTAATAAAATTTTATTATTTCTTCATGTTCCTGAATCTTTTTTAATCAGCACCGACCACACTACGAATTTACAACGTTGATGCTTTTAAAGTGTTACAAATATATATATATACGCACACACACCATTTTTCAAGTTTCTTTATCATATATATGCCAAGATAGACAGAAGCCCACTTCAAATTGATTATTATTGATTCATCTATCCGAACTCTTTGAATTTCATCAAACCATTTGTGTGATGGTTAAAAGCATTTTACAAAAATAAATTGGAAACAAAATCCTGGGTTATTTTTATGAACTAAAACTAAAGATCTCTTTACATAAGGCAAATTGTAAGTCTCTTTCATATTTTAGTATTGTATTGCATATTGTCTTTATATGTCATTGTATTTAAAAGTGTTCTTTTTTTTATACAGTCAGTATTTGTTAAAATGGTCACTAAAGCCACCTTTTTGTTAGAAAAATTGGCTGCTACTTCTGTAGAAACATTTTTATTTTCAATGTAGTATAATGGTGAAGATCCAATCTGGTTTAGAACATTTAGATTTCTGTAATCTTGCATGCAATGTTGTAGTGCTAAGATATTTTTTTCCAATTGTAAGTTACTAAACATTTTTAACATATTATTCTACTGCTCCATAGCTTTTATGCAGTTTGCATTTTTATTATAAATGCAGTATAATGTTGAAAATTCTATCAGGTTTGGAAGTCTAAGGTTTCTGATATGTTACCTAACCCATTCTGGATTTTAGATATCATACTTAGTGCAAAAATACTTAAAATGCATTGGTGTTGTGCAAAAATATTTTTTCCTGGAACACAGTTTTCCGGAAATGGGTGAGATGTAGATGTAGCTTCTGCTGATGTAGAGGATTCTATTTTTTTCAACGCATCTAAAAAATTTTATAAATTCTTTTGCAGATGAAGAAATACGCCAGACAGAAGGCTTCAAGAATGTTTCCTTAAATAATACAATTAATGTAAAGACAACTGAAAAGCCGAATTTTCTGAGCCCAAATGATCAAGTAATTACTTCTCTTGCTTCTTTATTATTATTATTTTTAAAGTTTTTGCCATGAAAAATATTTTCAGAGTTTATCATTGTCCTAATATTTCTACAACTTTTTAAACTCTCTATCATTAATCAGATGCCACAATAACACAGAAAGTATTTGAATTTAAAAATTATTTTAAGCATAACATAATTGATGAAGAAAATCAAAAATCAAGGAAGTTTGCCTGCATATGTGAACTGGGTGTATGAGTTTTAGAACAGAATGACAGAAGAAATGGGTGATTATGAGAGTGGAGTCAGGGATGAAAGACTTTTGCGAAAAAGCGGAAATCCGCTTTTTTCTCCCAATTTTTAAAATTTCCGACCATGCTCCAAAATGGAAAATTTTTGGGGAGTCCAATTAGAGAAACCCAAGCCGCTCGAACGATAGTCGGACTTGGAATGAATTTTTTCCCCCTGTTTGGCTGATTTTTTAGAATTTTAAATATTAAGAACTGCGGTGGAATCTTGTAAAATCGCGATTCTTAGGCAGACGATTTTAGTATCAATCATCGATTTTCGTATTTAACTGATTTAAAAGTTACGTGTTGCGATTTTTTACTCGATTTAAAAATCGTACTAGCAATTCCCATTCACTCATTTTAAAAATCCAATATCGCGATTTGTGTTTAAGCGTTTTTTAAACCCAATATCGTGATTTGTGTTTAAGCGTTTTTTAAACCCAATATCGCGATTTGTATTCCTCGAGTTAAAAATCCAACGTCGCGATTCATATTCACGCATTTTTAAATCCAATATTGCGATTCGTTATCATGTAGTTGTAATATCAGATATTGTTTTTCGTATTTGTATGCTATTTAAAAATTACTCATTGCAATTCGTAATGAGGTGATCTAAAAATTATGCATCGTGATTCTTATTTACGCGATTTAAAAAGTCAACATCGCAATTTCTATTTTCGTGTTTTTAAAATCCAACAAGGCGATTCATATTCAGGCGATTTTAAAATCCAACCACACGATACATATTCACGCTATTTTAAAATCCAATATCGCGCTTCATATTCACGCGATTCTTGAAAGAAGTAGAAGTAAATTTTCTCTTGAATTAGTTACTGTAAAGATGTGATATTTTTTCATTAGTAAGTAATCCCCCCTTCCTCCCTGTGACCTGCGTTGTAAAAGTTCAGTTTTTTTTTATTTTTGTCCACTTTCATGCCTGGAGTGGAGTTGGAACATGCAATTAAAAAATTTTGCCAGATTCTGTACATTAATTCCAATTCTGTACAGTAAATATGCTCAATAGCGAATTTCTGCTCTGTGTAAAAAATTATAATTGGCATCACCTTTTAATGGATTTATCTGGATTATTATTAATTTGTTATCTTGTTTAATTGAGTTGTGTTCAATCATTAAATCCAATTCTTACAGTTAATATTGATTTGTTTCAGATATTTAGTGTTTAAAATAAGTTTATGTTAATTTAATCAATATAATTCAAAATTATGTATAATACAAAGTTTCATATTTCAACAATTGCCTTTACTTCTTTTTTTAGGATCTATTGTTGCAGCTAAAGAATTCTGCATTTACAGTTATTGTAGCTCTTCATGAACTCTTAGGACACGGAAGTGGGAAAGTATTTCATCGAAACAAAGATGGCAGCTTTAATTTTGATGTCGATCAAGTCATTAATTTTGAAACTAATCAAAAGGTAGCACAATTGATAATTTTGTAGTAAAATTTTTTGTTCTGTAGCTAATTCACTTGCTTACTAAAGTTATTACAAGATAGCTTATTTAAGGAGCTGTTTATTTGACAAGGTGAAAAGATAATTCTTTCTGAAATCAATATTGCAAATGTTAGTTATACCTGCAATGTTAGTGAAGTTAGTTGTTTAACTTCAACTATACAAATTAATTGCAACCAAACGTTTTTATAGAAATACTGGGTAATAAATTACTCAGTTTAATGGAAATATTTGGATTACAGAGTTAATAGCATTTTCTATTCTTCTGTTAACCCTGTAATATCTGTTAATAGTTTTTTGATAATAGTGCTATTGATAGAATTTATTGATGATCGAATTTATAACACAGTGAAAAATGCTAAGTAAGTAAAATTGAAAAGTTATAGAATTTATAAAAACATTTTGTAAGCACAAAATAATATTGAAACAACCCATTTTGACGTCTGGAAATCTCTTCTAAGCTGAGAGAGATTGAGATTTCCTCATATTTGGTGACATGGGGAGATATGAACATTGCTTACGTGGGATATCAAAATTTCTTTATTTTTAAAGAGCAAAATAAAAAATGTTACAAAAAAATTTCACATGTAAAAATTTTACATGTGGAATAAAAGTTGAATTTAGGGGAAAAAGAATTTCATTTCAGAGTTTTAGAGGTCAAGATCACAAAAGATTCCTAAAGAATATTCTACTCGAAATTTTATAAGATTATTTAAATCTTTAACTTTGTTTAATGCACAGTTGTATCTTTTTAGTTGAATCTAGTCCTAAAACTGTATAACTATAGTTGAAGTCAAAGTTGAAGCAAAAACCAATGGGGTGTTGCTATTTTCTTATGTATGCATGGGAGGGAGGTGTAGTCCAAAATTATCAAAAATATGCTCACGTAATATTTGAATGGTCCCCATATTTGAACCAAAAACTATTCAATATTTATAATTTTAAATATTAATCTTTCATAGATTACAAAATGGTATGAAGATGGAGAAAACTTTGAATCTGTGTTTGGAGGCTTCCACTCTAGCTATGAAGAATGTAGAGCTGATAGTGTTGCATTGTATCTCTGCATGGTTCCTGAAATTTTAAAGTATATATTTTATTTCTAAATGTAAAATTCTAAATAGTTTTAAAATATTTTTATAACTATTAGTAGTTTTATAAGAAAGTTAAAATCATTTTTGTTAAATGCTTATAAAATTTTATACCAAATTCTGCATGAAAGAAAAATTAATACAGTGAACCTCAACGAAAGACCACCTCTATGTAACAGCCTCCTCTATTTATGACTGCTTTTGGGGGGAACAAAATTTTTTCTATATACTTTGTGTTGAAGAAAACCTTCAAGAGGGACCATCAAAATTGAAAAACTTTAACATACTTTTAGAACATATTTTATTGTAATGTGTTTCAATCTTTTCGCTAAGAATAAAATATTTTTACCAAAATTTATAGAGCAAATGAGACTGATGAAATGAAAAATATCCATGTTTAATTATTATAGGACCTTGGGCAAATTTAATGTTGGTGTTAACAGCTTTGGGCGATTTCTCCCTGCAAATGAGTAAGTCCAGTGGGATTCCACGAAAATATGAAATAAAAAAGTATTTTATTAAAATAACGCTTGAACTTTCTATTTATGTAAAGAAGGAAAATAAATCAAAATTGATTTTCCTCCTTATTTTGGAAACTAAATTTTCTATTTTAAATCATTTTTTTTTTATTCATGTGAAGTGAGTCTTGAGAATGTGCACCTGTTTTTAAACGCTCAAAATACAATTACTTACGATTACTTTCATAAATTTTTAAAGCAAATGGTGTTCTTTTATTATCAAGAATATCTTTCTGCTACAGTTTTTTGAATTATTAATTTAAAGTATTCTTGAATTTGCACCAGTTTAGTTTGCCTCTTCTCTGAAAACAAAGAAAGCTAAAGTAATCTTTTTTTCTTAGTGAGTCTTCCTAATGTATCAGTTATTTACAATTAAAATTTCTTTTTAAAATCTTGTTCCATTAATTTTTTTAAGTCGTATAGTGCAGTAATGCATTTGAAATTTTCTAATTGCTTGACAACAAATTCTCAGACTATGAGGTAGTGTCATTACTATGTGTTCTAAAATTTTTTTTTAAATGACTGGAGACTAGTTTCAAATAATTCCACTTTAATTACCTTCAGGTTAAAGTTGTACTAGCTTTAATTAAAATAAAATATTATTAATGCTTTAACATTTTATTTCTATTTTAGAATTTTCAATTATGAAGGTCCTGAAGCAGATGATATTACTTACACAATTTGGTTGATGATGGCATGGATGGGTTTAGAAGGTCTTCAAACATATGATCCTCCATCTAAAACATGGCTACAGGTGAAAATAATATTAATTTTGATTTATAAATATTGTTTATGTTTAAATTTATTATAATATATATGTTATAGTTATAATAAAATTTTGAAATTCATAATAAATACTATACATTATTGAATGTAAGCAGAGAATTTTTGGAAAATTTTCGAAGGTTAAAGTGGGAGGTTATCTTACAATCTCATTCTTTAACTTTTGAAAAATCTATGCTGACACTTAGAAAGAAAAAAACTCTGCTAAATTTTGCAAAATGTAAAATGAAAGTTAACAATCAAATGTCTAAAATTATTATCAAAACTTAAGTGTCTTAAAAATAACAATTGAAAGAGGACAATAGGAAAGAAATACAGTAGAGAACCATTTATCCGGTATGCAGATAACCGGGAAACCAGAAAACCGGGAAAAATTTTGGCATGCTGATTTCGTTTTCTGTTTAATTTACGAGGGGGTGGGGAAAATGTATTGCATGCATATCAGTGAACAGAAGATGAAAGAGAAAAATATATTTATCTATTTGACATCGATTAATAAAAATAAAATCTTTTTCTTCTGAATAAATTCAAGTGCGGTATCATTTGCAAGTTTTTATTGATGTGGAATCACATTTGCTGTAATTAAATATCGTGTTTTTATCAACAAAAAAAAAATAATAAAAGGAGAATTGTTTTTTAATTTAAACATGGGATTATTTTATGAAGCAGATTGCAGTTTTGTTTTTCTGATTCCACTACGTTTGATTTTTTTTTCTTTTCTCGATAAATTTCGCACTCAATAAATTAATTCTTTTTATTCATAAATATCATAATATTCATAAATGAATATTATGATATGCAAGTTCATAATATTCATATTCATATATATTGTTATTAGGTTTTTTTTTAAAAATTCCGTTGATCTAGCCTTGTTCCGGGTTTCAATATTTATGCTAGTGCCTTTTTTAACTATCGTTTCGGTTCGATAATTTCCAAGTGTTTTTATTTAGATTAATAAGTTTTCCTTTTATTTTATCGTTTCCCCCGTATAATTAGGTATGAAATATATTGCGTTATTTAATCATTGGTTTTGTTTATATTATTTAATTTAGGAATTGTAATTATTTTTAAAAAATAAATATGAGAATTTTGTATTTTTTAAACTTGATTTTCTTGTCTAAACTTGCAAATTTTTTTATTCTTTTAAATGTTATATTTCTACCATTTTTTTTTCTTTTTAAAGTTAGGAGTACCTTTCTTTTTTCTCTTACTTTATGCATTACACTTTTTCCTTGTACTCCGGGTTCGATAAAACATCGATTAACGACACTTTTTGGTCGATCCAGAAAACCGGGAAATTCAGACATCCGGGATAGCGATGGTCCCGAGAATCCCGGATAATTGGTTCTCTACTGTATTATTTTTTTTATAACTCATTTTATTTTCATAGAAGAGCAAAAGATAAGAAAAGCAAATAAACTGAAAGAGTTGAAAGTGCTAATATCAGAATGCAGATAGCTTCTGTTGTTAGCACCTGATTTACTGTGACTTTTTGCCAGGTTCAACAACTGATGTTGTCAATCCAGTTTGGTAAATTAAAAGACTTGAGAAGAAGAGAGGGGTGAACAAAAGTAAAAAAGGAAGAATTAGTGAGACTTTCCTTAAATTATTCTTTCTAAACAAAAGTAAGCAAATTAAGTCGAAAAAAGAAGTTGAAAATTATTCAGATAAAAAATAGCATGTCTCTTTTCTGTATGGCTTTTGAATTTTGGGTATACTTTCAAAGAAAAAAAAATGTGCCCTCAGTTAATGCACAGATGGTTTTAATTTCAGAAATATTCAGCGAAATATGTGTTTATATTCTGAGTGCTGTTTTTAGATTTCGACTATCTTTAAAATGTATATATTTCATTTTAAACAAAATATTTCATTCAAGTCTTATTTTTTAATAAAATTTTTTTTATATCGTGATGTAATGATTCAGAAAAAAAGAATGGCTGTCAAAGAAGTTATTTAAATCATTTAATTCTGATTTATGGGTTTTTATACTACTCACAGAGTTTTTATCAAAATGTGGGCGGGGAGTTTAACATGTTTTTTGTCAGCTGAGTGCAAGTGGTTATAACTATATCTTTCATTGAAAAATGATAATCTATAATGATAAAGTCAAATTTAAATTTTCTTATTTAAGCAACTATTTTAATTTTTAAATTTTGCAATAAGGCTGTTTTAATAAACAATATATTGTCATAAGAAAACATATTTTCTGTAAAAATAGTTGGATGATAATATGCATCTAGCTACCATTTAGTCAGCTTTATTGACATAATCTGTAAGAAAGATTTTCACCACGTTATCTGAATTTTAGTTTTTTTAATATTTCTATAGTCTCTTTTGCTCGGATTTATTTGTGATTTATAACTGTCATTGAACAGCCAACCCAGTTTTTTGGGTTGACAATTACTAATGCTTAACGCCTTGTAATTTTGAACTCAATCCAGAAGATAAGGGAACTCCTGGATTAAGTATTGGGAGAAATTCATCTTCCTGGAGGACTTTTTGATGGAACTAATCCAAATTTGTTTTACATGGAAGAGAAAACCTCCAACGGTTAGCCTAACGGCAAGGGGACTCTAACCCATGATCCGTCTACCACTGAGGATATTTTACATTAGCAATGTGGTCAGTGCAAGCTGGATGCGGAATTCGTATTTACCAGCCATTGTTGGGATTCGAACCCTGTTCTCCTCATTGGAAGGCGAACCCTCTATCCCCTGAACCACTCTTGTTTTTTAAGATTATCTGGATTTAATATAATTCTAATTAGTCATGCAACGTATTAATGTAGTTTGCTTGTAATTGATATATAAGCGCAATTTTTTTGCTGAATTAGTGATTTTATCGTATTTTCCAAGGTGGTGAATGCTTAACATGGGCCCTGCTAATACTTGGATTCGTAGATCCCCCAATTTGCTCTTTATGTAATTCTAACAACCTGTGCAAAACTCATTTGTATTCTTGTTGTGGACTTGGGGACTTAGCAACAGCTAACATTGTTAAAAATCATTGTACTGAACTGTTGAAAAAAAGATAGATTAACTTATATTTCTAAATCTCAATTAATATTAATTCCCCTTCAGAATTTATGTTTAAGAAAAAATAGTTATTAATATTTTCTAAAAAAATTAAGGTCTTACCATTTACTTTTAAATATAATTTAATATTTTATCTCAAACGTTTTCAGGCTCATCGTCAAGCACGTTACGTAATGCTGCAAGTCATGCTTGAAGCCGGTGAGGATTTTGTGAAGATAGAGAAAGTGAAAGGGTCTGATGGAAATCCTGATCTTTTATTAACTTTAGATGCCTCTAAGATCAAAACAGTTGGAAAAGCAGCATTAGGGAATTTCTTGCGGAGATTACAGGTACATTCACCATCCTACAATAATGAAAAATCCACGCGATAAGTAATATTATAAAGCAGCGAATCCCAAATGGTGTTCCCCAAAACCCTAGAGTTCTGTGGGTTTGTCACCTGGGTTCTGATAGTTAGGATTTTTTTTTTCCTTCAAAAAAATTGGAAATGATTTTTGAAACCTGTAATTACCTTTTTAATTACTTGTAAGACCTGTAACCATTCATTTCATATTTCGGTTAATTTTGTGAAATTAAAGCAAAGTATTACTTAGAAATTATTATTATTTTTTTAAAAAAGCAACAATAGTTGCAATAATATTTTCCATCAAACTTTTCAATTAAAAAAAAAATTTCAAATAGAAATGTGTTTTTCTGATGACAATTCTTTATAGTTTTCATTGGATGCTTAAAATCAAATTGAGAAATTGACTAGAAGCCACTTCTGACCTGTGAATTAAACTGTCACTTAATTTTAAGATTTATATTGATGAAACAATGAAAAATTCATTAATTTTTTCATATTAATTATTTTCATGATGATTAGCAGTGTTTCTTTGGTTAATATTGCTAATGAACATTATTTACTAACTCTGTGTTTCCGTCTTTCATTTAGGGTTCCATAGCAGGAAACAATTGGGAACTGCTATTAAAGAGGGATAAAAAACATACTTTAGCAGTAGGATTGACTACTTTGTAGTTACCCTACTAATCCTTTTAGCCATATTTTTAACAGAATTTTGGTCATGGAAGGCAAGTTTCTTTCGCAGTAGGAAAGAAGAAAAAAAAGCCATGGAAAAAACTATTTATAAGAAATGTTTCTTACAACCCAAGGAGAAATTGAAAAATTTAAATTTTTAAATACAGTAGGGAATTGATTATCCGGAACGATCGGGACCATCGCTATTCCGGATAACTGATTTTTTTCCGGATTTCTGAATCGCTACAAAAAGTCGTTTTTTTTAATTGTTTAATCCAACTAAAAAAAAAAATATTTGGAAATAATCTTAAAAAGAAGAAAAGACGACGAAGTAATACACTAATGATTATTTCCAAAATGATGGTAAGGTAAACATCTTTCAAAAAANATTCATTAATTTTTTCATATTAATTATTTTCATGATGATTAGCAGTGTTTCTTTGGTTAATATTGCTAATGAACATTATTTACTAACTCTGTGTTTCCGTCTTTCATTTAGGGTTCCATAGCAGGAAACAATTGGGAACTGCTATTAAAGAGGGATAAAAAACATACTTTAGCAGTAGGATTGACTACTTTGTAGTTACCCTACTAATCCTTTTAGCCATATTTTTAACAGAATTTTGGTCATGGAAGGCAAGTTTCTTTCGCAGTAGGAAAGAAGAAAAAAAAGCCATGGAAAAAACTATTTATAAGAAATGTTTCTTACAACCCAAGGAGAAATTGAAAAATTTAAATTTTGAAATACAGTAGAGAACCGATTATCCGGAACGATCGGGACCATCGCTATTCTGGATAACTGATTTTTCCGGATTTCTGAATCGCTACAAAAAGTCGTTTTTTTTATTGTTAAATTCAACTAAAAAAAATATTTGAAAATAATCTTAAAAGAAGAAAAGACGACGAAGTAATACACTAATGATTATTTCCAAAATGATGGTAAGGTAAACATCTTTCAAAAAAGAAAGAAAAATCCTAAAATCTTATGAGGAAGAAAAAAAAATTTAAAAATGGAGGATAATTTATCGAAGTTCGTTCTGGTTTTTTGGTTTTCAGATTTCCGGATAACGGGTTCTGTACTGTACTTTCATTGCAATCTAGGTTAATTGGTAATATTGATGGCCTTACAGTTTCTGCTAAGGATTTATTTATAACTTAAGGATAAAAATTAGTTCGTGTTATTTTAATTTAAACAGGAAAAATTATTTTACTGTGAGAATTATATTTAAAACAAAATTTAATGTCTGATATTATTAAAAAATATGTTGATATTAAGAAAAAGTCATTATGAAAATTTTAATCAGTTAATGACAAAATTAGAGTTATATCTGTTAACACAAATTATTCTATTTTTTAACTTGCATTAAGTTTTTTGAGAACAGAATATGCATCAAACTAAATGTATCGAGTACTATAAGTTTATTTAATTGAAAGAGTGCATATTAATTTAGAAAAATAGTAAAACGAATCACATTTAAAAGTAAATTATTATAATTGGTTGTTATAAAGATTTTAAAATTCTGTGTGAAATTTTAGAATATTTCTAATCAAACTAAATGATCAAGTACTATAAGTATATTTAGTTGAACAAAGAGTACATATTTATTTAGAAAAATAAAACAATAAATTGAATTGAATTTAAAAATAAATTGTAATGGTTGCTGTATAGATATTAAAATTATGTATAAAATTTAAATAAACATGAAATTAGAATATTTTTCTTTAAAAATACTTTCAAAATCTTATAACTTTTTTTTTACAATAATAAATTCTATGTATTTAAATTTAAAATATAAAATATATTTAAATATAATACTTACTGCTGAACACCAATTGTTTTAATCATTTATAGTTACGACCATTTTGCCGAGTTTTTTTACCTTCTCATTTCTAAGTGTCTTAGAAAAAATATGTTTTGTTCTAACAATATTTCAAATTTAGATTTTAATGATGTTGAGTATTGTTCTAATTCATCCCGCAAATGTTCTATAGGGTATAAGTAGGAATTTGGAGTAAGCAGTAAAAATATATGGTTAGTTTTTACCACTCTTTGACAGAGGCTACAATATTTATTGGATCTTTTTTGTTTTGGAAGTACCTCTTGATAATGCTGTGAAAATAGATTCTTTGAATAATTCTACCCATTGACTTACAAAACTATCACACTAAATTATCCTTGGCAGAAATTAATTTGTTGTAATTATAATGTGGTAAATGTATCAAACATTCCTATATTTATTATTTTATTAATTTAGCTGTACAAAGCGACTGCAGACATTGAATCAGCTAGAAAAATGTACGATGGTTATTCCTTAGTGAGTTCAGAAGCTGCTCATCCTTTCTTGGATTACAGAAATATTGTCATGGCAAGAAAGAAACCTAGAATTATGTTCGTACAAGTCAACACATTTGAAGAAGGTTTGAAATTTTTAGCTTCTCTTAACCACTAAAATTAATTTTCTTCCTTTTAACTATGTTCTTTTTAATATTCTAAAGTTGCCCGCAAATCATGTGCCTAAAAGAATGAATAAATAATTGTACAAAAAAATATTCAGTACACTAAGGTTTGCTTATTTGTATCATACAACTCAGTTGTATAAACTCATAGTAGGGGCCAGGATACTTGGTAGAGCACTGAGCCCGTGTCCAAGAATGTTTGAAATATATATATGAATTATATGGGTTTGATCCCTGTAATCGTGACTGATGCACATTAAATCTGTCGAATCACTGAGTCCTCCATGTTCCCATAACAAATCATACCTCTGGCGATACTGATCCAGGAGTTTCCTTGTCTTCTGGATTGGTTTAAAATTACAAGGCTGCGGAGTTGAACATTAGTAGTCGTAAACCCAAAATTAGGTCTGCTCTTCAACAATGGTTATTTTTTTTAAAAAAAGAGCTCATAGTGGAAGTTATTTAATAAACCAATATTATAGTCGTGGAAACATACTAATGAAACTTTCAAAAATATATTTAATTTACTTGTAAGAAAGAATTCCTCTCAATATATGTTTTGTACTACTATTTATTATTTTTGTTGATTCATTTTATGATTTGTAATTTATTGAGTTGCTCTAATATGAGTTAAATTTTTAATGAATTAATTTTCATACATGTGAGGAAAAATATTTAATAAAAATATCCTTGATCTAAAATTTAAAGATTTTTTTTATATATTAATAATTACCTTTAAAATAAATGATGTAAAAAATGTTATATTTAATTCTTTAATTTCTTTTTATAACTCTTCAAATGCACCTCTAGTGATAACCTTGCTCCCTGGTCTTTGAATTGTACCTGTTAACGGGGGTCCTTCTGCCTGTAGTATCTCTGGTGCTTCATACTTGTGCTAAAAATCTATTTTCAATAGACCATGTTCCGTAACTTATTCAGTGGTGCACCCTCTTCTAGAAAATTATTTAAAGGGCCATTCCATGAACCCATTTGCCCTAGACGCATATGCGAATGTTCAGAAACTACATGCAATGACAGTGCTAACACTTCAGAACACCACCTATTTTTCTTCCCAGACTATCAACAGATAAACTCAAGGATCACAGATCAGGGAGAGAGGTAGAATGTGCTTTGACCCCCTCACATTTCATAAACAAAGGGACACATACCCTTCTAATATTACAGTTTTTCACTCAATATTTGTGTAATTTAATTAACAATTAAAGATAATTTTTTGTCTTGCATTCTTAAAAAAAAAAACATGCCTCTATTTCAAGCACATTTTAACAGTTCCTTAGTAAAAACTGCTACCAAATCATCCCCCCCCCGCAGAGGAAATGTACATCCCTATTGCTAAACATTGGGCAGAATTCTTAGTTTAAAATGTTACAGCGAACAAAAAAAAAAAAGCAGTGAAACAGAATGAAAAAAGACATCGTTAAATGAATAATTTACCGGCAAACAATTTCTAATACTAATTGTACTTTAATTCATAAAGTTAATTCAAATCTTAAAATTGCAGGTTCGAATTCTTGACTGCCATTTTGTGTGGTTCAGATAATTCGGATCCGGTTGGTATATATGTAGAGAGAGGGGGGGGGAGGAGGGAGCCCACTTTTAAGATAAATCCGTGGTCACTTGGATTAACCTGATGTTGATGGTCTAATTAACAGGTAAAGACTGTAGCCTTGTAATTTTGAACGTATTCAGAAAAGAAGGAAACTCCCGCATCAGTACCCCCAGAGGCATTGATTTGTTATAGGAACATTTGCGACTCGGCAGATTTAACGTGCATCAGTCACCATTTACTTCACGGGGAGTCTTCGACCGGCGGGGATCAAACCCACGAACTCTTGGACATGGGTAAATTTACAGTACTGAAATTAATGCATAACAATTTAAAATATATGAAAAAAATATTTGAAGTTGAGAATTTTTATATAACAGGCATAAAATTTTTCTTTGACTCTGTAATATTTCCTATTTTTAATTTCTTTAGCATTTTCTGATTTTTTGTTACATTTCTGCTCTTTGTGAAAAATAATCATGCTGCCAAAAATTTTCTATCATACATTTTCTAAAGTGTATAAAATCTATTTAAATCCATGGATTGGTAAAGATTAAAGCCCTGAAAATAGTCTTTTATTAAAAGAATCCTTCATTATTCTGTTTTTGAAAAGTTAGCTATCACTAATTTGTATTATTACTCTATTTAAATTAAATGAATAAACTTAGCCAAACTATGACAAAGTTTTTAATAAGCTAGATATTGTTAGTAATATAATTGAATAGAAATTGCAGTTTCTGTATTATAATGTTTATTAATTTATTTAATTTAAATAATTGTATTTTTTAGATGGTAAAGTTGTATTAAAGAACTATGATTCAACTGTTGAAGGGATGATAAAATCATGGATAGATCGTTTTCCTGATAGTTCTATATGTGATATTTTGGAAGAACTATGGAAGAAAGACAGTGCCTATTTTGTTTAAAACAAATAAAACTTATTTTTGTTACATTAACTTAATAAACACATTTTTTAATATTGTTATTTAGCTTAAGATTTTTTTAATAGCTTCATTTTTAAAATGGAAATCTAGAGCACAAACATCTAAACCACGTGTTATTTACTTGTTCAATTCAATACAGATCAGTAATTCTGCTACACATTTCTCCCAAAATGGGAAAATCTAAAACGACAATATTGTGCTTTATTTTTCCTTGTTAAAGTATTTTACCAAATTCTATTAAAAAAAAAATTAAAAAAAACTTGAATTAGGAAGGAAAAAAAAAAACAGTTTTATGTTGCAAAAATTAAACTAGTAAATTTAAAAGTTTTTTTTTTTATCTTCATTGTTGATAGCTGGAGAAGAAAGTAATTGTTTAATTGATACAAGAATTTCGCTTTTAATTAGTTGTAAAATTATTATTACTCAATCAATTACTTATTGCTTTTTTCCGTAAATATCTTTGAGATTTTCGTTATTTTAAATAGGGATCCACTTCAGAAAAAGGACTGAAAAAATCTAGCAAAATTACAGTTTTTGTCAGGTCTTTCCAATATTCTGTGCTCTTAAATAATTTTAATTATTAAAATATTTATGGGACTGTTATTATGATTCCAATTAACAGTGTTTTATAGATTCTCCTATTTTTCTTTACATGTACTTTAGTGTAAATTTAATGTTAAAAATTCAGCTTTTGTCAGTAACTCCAGCCATTCAAACACACACGTATATGTAACACCAAAACTTTTAATAAAATATTAACCATAACCCTCTACTAAAAATTTTCTAATTTTATCTTTTAGAAATGCTTAGTGAAATGCATATTACCATGTTTTTTCATTAGACCTAGACTCTTGTTATGAAAAAAATATTTATGATAACATTTTACAATAACCACAATACATACACATACAAGGGATACGGCTGCTCAAAAAAGAACATCTTCTTTCAAACAAAAGTCTTTGCTGGATTTCTTTTGCAATGGAAAATAAAGAAAAATGTGGTTAAATCAGTAATTGACTAAAAAATTTAAAAAGCTGAAAATTGGTTAAAAAAATTCAAAATGAAAAAAAAGTTTGAAAGAAATAAATAAAAAATATTTAAAAATTGAAATTTTTTTTTTTAAACAGAGCTATTTTAGATAGTACTGCCAGTTCTAACCCTTGAAAAAGTAAAGAAGAGAAGGTAGTGCATAAATAATAATCATTTAAACTAGATTTCACACAACTTTCCAACTATTCGAACCACGTTCGGTCCCGAGCAGTTCAGATAATCGGCGCTCTGCTGTATTTTAATTTAGTAAATAAAATTTTAAAAAATTCCTTAACTTCACACAATTGTTTTTATACATATAGGTTAAGTTTATTAGAAATTAGCTTATATATTTAATAATTATGGGTGGAATTGTTATTACTATCAAAAATGTAATTTTTCTCCAAGTAACATGAAAGTTAAATGGCAGAAGTTCTAACGTGACAATTCAGTTAACTAATTCCATAATGGAAGCGCAGTTTCATCAGTCATTATCTTTCTACATCTATGCTATATAAATCCTTATAACCGCCTGTTTGGATGCCAGTAAATAAAATAAAAAAACACATAGAAAATACTTTTACATTTATTGATCTTCAAAATTAAAGCCCATGAACCAAAAAATATATCACACAGATAAATACAACAATTATACACAAATCCATAGGTAAAAATCCATTCTTTCCATGAAGGAACAGAAGACACTAACATAATTTTATTAAAATTAAATTTTTTTATAGCTTTTGTTTAAAAAAGTCATATGTAAAAAGCTTTTATAGAACACCTCCGAAATTTATCATTGTGTCTATTTAATCTGTTAAACTTTTTTTTAAAAAAAAATTAATATAAAACACGACTTTTATGCTTTGCAAACTTATTTCAAAGAGTGGTGGAAGAAAATTATCTTTGATGCACAATAGCAAGTACTAAATAACATAACTATGCAGCTAGTACTGTGTCTACATAACGACTAAGTTTTCCTTGATGGCTTGACATTTTTTACATAAATATTTAAGATTGAGAAGAAATTTGATTTAATGAAATAAAATTTTATAAATACACATTTAACTTGAGTATCATTCAGTAATTGGGCATATAATATTCAAGTGATAATCAAATTATAGTCAGAAACAGCTTCAATGTGTCCTTTTAATTGCAATTCTGTCTTTAGTAGACTGGAAATATGGTTATTAGATTTGTGCTCCAACATCATAAAAGCTTAAATTAGCAAAGAAAATTTTATTTTTTGAACTTACCATACATCCCAGTGTATAAGTCAAACCCTATTTTTTATTATGAGTAAATTTCTGACAAGTCAGTTGTACGAGTCGACCACTGAAAATATTTCTGAAAGACTCGTGAATAAATTAAATTAACTTTTCTTAATCTCAATTTTTTAAACGTAATTTAAAGTAGTGTTTCTAAAAAAAAAACTTTATATGTATAGAAAATGCAAAATAAATTGTATATATATTAAAATAATTTTTGAAAGGGATAAATTAATCCATATCTATCTCATTTATAATTTATCAATATTTCACTATCAACGAATGTGCAACTTTATTACTGGTGTACGTCGACCCCAGAATTTTCATAAGATTTAAGGGATTGTGAAGTCGATTTAGATACCGCTGATACATGTTAATATAATGTAAAAAAAAGAAAAGAAAAAGCTCTTAATTAGGGAGACAATAAAAAAATGCAAAACTATTATTGATACCAGTAATGCTTAATTAAATAATGACTGCTGGAAATTTGCACCTAATATAAATACAGTGGTAATAGTTCTTTTTCTTCACCTGAAGAGTATGTTAAAGTTACGCTGCTTAAATAAGATTATCCATATATTGATTAAATTGATTTCATATCTAGGTTAAGATTTTAAAACAGAACATGCTCTCAAACCATGTAATAATTAAATGGCAGAAATCTGCCTAAAATGAAAACCACAACTGAGTAATGATAATTATTTGAAAAATACGAGATTCTTTGGAGGATAGAACTTTTGGGGATAGTTATAGCCACACAGCACTTATTTATTGATGTTAAATTTTGGAGAATTCAGGTGGCACTTATTGAATATTTTTAGAGCGGTAAAAGGTTCCTCTAACATTTAGCATCAAGAAGTTTACGACAACCTTAGAAAGCCTCTCTTCCATCGATACCTACATTAAAACACCAAACGTACAAATGGTTCAAATTTGTGTAGATTGTTTTTAGATTTCTCTAATTTAAAGCCTTTTGACAAAAAAGAATAAATTCTAATTGCAATCTTCATTTCCTCATGCACAAAAAAGTGCAATGAATTTTCACACATAAACTTTTAAACCTAATTTATTTTGTATCACTAAAATTTAATTTAGAATCTTCAAGATAATAATATATATTTATGCACAAAGGGCTTTAGGTATAAGGCTTGGAAAAGCAGTTTAAATGTTTTCAAAACTTAAGAATTTTCACTTTTATAAGATCTGAATTGAAAAAGCTGATAGATGAAAATACAAACAAAAAAGGAAAAGATTTTTAAGTAATTTTTATCACAAAATAAAAAGCAACAATTTTGAGTTTAATTTTCCTTTGTTTTAGTAAGAATGACAGTAATAAATTGATTAAAATTTAAAGCTTTCCTGAAATATAATTTAGCAGCAAGCTTAAAAAAATATCATAATTTACAACATTTAAGCTCCATAAATAGTTGTCACTTGCCTAGTTTATGGCTTCAAGGGATGTTTTCCCCACCAATGAACACATGATTGCTTGTGATCGAAACTCTAACTTCACAAAAAAAGAAAGAAACTTATTTTCTATCACAGGCTCTAGCTTGCAAATGAGTTCAACATTTATTACTTTATTTAAAATCTCCCTTTTATTTTCTTAGTAAAAAACATTGTATAAAAAAAAAGTTCAATGCAAGGTTTTAATTTTCCTTTATTTCAATTATTTTTTTCAAAAAATTTATGATTAAATCAATTTTCACAAATTAACTTCAAAAATACATTTGAATTGCATGATCTGAAATGTAACAAAAATCTTTACAATAATTTTGAACAGATAATTTTTTTAGCACTTTCGGTTAGCCTAATGAAAGGAAATTCAACTTTTTTTTTAAAAAATTTTATTTTTTAAAAACAAAACAAAATGACCCTCACCCAAGATAAATAAATAAAAGATAGTTGAATTTACTTATGCTTAGCTAACCGATAAGTATCTTTTTTTTCTTCTTTCCTTCATTAAATTCAGATAAATGCGAAACACAAAAATTAAAATTCTCTATTTTTATAAACATTGTTTTCAAATCCATCTTTTTAAGACTTCCTTTCAAAAAATAAATAATTTATTATGCTAAATATTTTACCAAGCGGACTTTAAGAGATAATTAAGAGAACTGCTCATCCTTAAATAACAAACTATAATTTAACTATTCTTGCAAACCAGCATGTTTAACTCTTAAAAGTACAGGAACGGAAGTACATGGTATTAAACCTTTTTCTGTTATGACTACAGAAATGAAATCTGATGGTGTTACATCATACAAAAGGTTATATATTTGCAGAGAAGACAAGTCGCGCCACTTTAGAAGGCTATCTTTTTTATCGAGGCTCATCGTTACCAGATCATCGGGATTTCCGAGCTCATTGTGCACAATAGAATCTGTAAGTGTTCTTTCCCAAAATTTGTAAGTTTCACAACATACTAGAACAGGAACGCTATTTGTAGAACCAACTAGTGACAATATTTTACACCCTAAGCGTGACATAACAAATCCATTGGCTAATAAAGCATGGGCTCCTATTATGACTTTATTAACCTTTTTAATAACGTAAGAAACAGCATTGATAGATATGTACGAGCACTGCAACCCATGCTTGACGAGCCGGCGAAGCATTTCCAAACCTTCCAACTTGGCTCTGGAGTCAACAACAATGACATGAAACTTTTTATTTTGGTCATGGGCTTTACAAAGCACATCTTTTACGAGTGAAGAGTAGGCAAAGACTAAGATGGTGTCGTTGTTGACGATTTTTGCCGATGCTGAAATAGTAATTGCTTCTTTAGCTAGCAGAATTTCTTCCCTTACATAATCATTAATAGACTGGCAAAGGCTTTCCTTGGCTCTTGCATCATCCATTCCTTCTGGTATATGGTTAATTTGGTGCTTTAAAAACTTCATGGCATTTCCTATATTAACTGACAGAGGTCGACAACTATTAAGATAGTCAAAGTAGTTTTGAAGTTTAGATTCCAAATCTTTAGAAAGAGTTTTAGTTTGAGGTGTTTGATAGTCCACTATAACTTGCCTAACAGCACCTAAAAAGCCAACACATCGTGCATTTGAACCAAACAATATGCCTTTAGCATAGTGAGAACCCAATTCTAATATGGGTGGGGGTATTTTTGAATTATTAAATGTTATCTTTTTTGACAGTAAATCTTTACGCTGAGGCAAATGAGAAAAAATCTGTACTTTTCTGTGTATTTCTTGCTCAACAGGTGGTTTAGAAATACTTTTATTGGGAGAGACATCTTTGATAACAACGACTTGTTTAGATACAGGTTGTTCATTGGATTTCGTTGTCACTTTAGTTTGTTCAGAATTTTGTGCTTTAATGTCTTTTTCAGTACCTTTTGCTAATTTAGCAGCTCTTTGTGCTTCTTGTTTGGCACGCCTTTCTGCTTTTAACTGTGCTTTTGTGGGCTTATTTTCTTCTCCATCTTCAGTCACAGTGCTGTTAACCTCAGCATTATCACCATTTTTAGATACTGAGTTTTCTTCCTTGTTCTTAATCATGTTGCTTATTTTATTAAGGCTCGAATCAACATTGAAATCAGTTTTTTTCTTTTCTTCATTGTTTGAATCAGAGTACACAGGAAATATACTGACTGAAGAGCTGTTTTCATTTTGAGCAGCTGCGTGAGCGAATGGTACGTTACTTTCAGTTTTGTTAAGTTCAGGATTTTTCAATACAACCATTGGCACATTATTTTTAGAATTTCCAGATGCATTATTATCGGGCACTTGTCTACTTGCACTTGAAAAGCTGTCGTGGCTAACTAAAAGCACACAATTACCACCGTCGGCAGGCAATTTCACATAAGTAGGAGTTGAGTCATCATTTGCTGGAACTGGAGCAGAAGGAGCTGGGGCGGATTCACTTTCAGAGTTCTTTTTCTTTTTTTTCTTCTTCTTCTTTTTCATAGAATTCGAACTTGGAGCTTCAGATGCTTCTTTTTTATCACTAACAGAATTAGTCTTATCTTCAGATGTAGTTTCCTTCAAAGGGACGACAGGGGAATTAGAAATTGTAACACTTATTTCAGGATGGTTTACGAGCTCTATGTGATTTTCTTTGAAATTCAATAAACTTTGGTTATCTTCTTCATTAGGTAAAGATTCACCAGCATTTTCAGCTGATTGCTGCTGTTTCTTTTTCTTCTTCTTCTTTTTTTTAGTTGTACCATTAGTTACTTCGGTTTCATTTTTCATCATGGTTACTTCAACATCATTGAATGTAGTCGTTACGCCAACCTTTTGTGGCAATGCTGCAGCAAGGGCTATGTTAGACTTCTGAGCATCATTTTCTTTGAGATTTTCTTCCGGACTTTTCAATTCATGTTGGTTTCCATTTAATTTGTTTGCTTTCTTTTTCTTTTTGTTCTTCTTCTGACTTTGTTGAGGTTCAGACATTCTTTACTAAAGAGAAAAATTTCAAATTACATTTTATAAAATAATAGTTTTTAAACAAAAATATTTGTAATGAATTTAATGCTACTATTAGGACTGGGTGATGTATTGATACAACACAAAATATCGATTTAAAACATACATTGTCATGCCGATATAGTGGCTTTCGTTTCTCGCAATGCATTATTACTCTGATTTAAGCTACTGTTATAACAAGACACATATCATTTAACATCAAAGAATCTTTAATCAAACGCTGTTAATGAGCGTAACAAACATGATTTTGATTACTACTGCAAAGCTACTTCAGCTACAAAACAAAGATGTTCGCTTCGCGAAGTTGAATGGGAAAGAAAATTTAATCGTGTTGGGATCTTATGTGTGGATCAGTGTCAAAATGTAGAACACAATGCAGTTTTTTTCCAAGATCTTTTTTTTCTTCAAGGTTTTACGTTCCTGGAATATTATTTTTAATGGGATTTCTGTTACTGTGCATTATTTTGCTGGGATTTAAAATTTTTTTCAAAATTATTTTCAGTGGGACTTCTGTTGTTTTACGATTTCCATGCAGAACTTTTTTTTGTCAGGATTTAACAATGTTTCTTTTAGATCACTTTTAGTGGGACTACTGTGACTTTGCGACTGCTGGATATTATTTCATTTTTAACTCAAGCTATTTATAAAAAAAAAATTTCCTTGTTTTTATCTTAAAACATTTTTTTTCATTTTAAGCAGTACAATTTAATAGGCGTATTTTGCATTTTAATAATTTATACTTTGTTAAAAAGCATTTTTTGCCTTTACTCCTTTTTTTCATTTTTTAATTATTTAAATGCACACAAGTGTAATAATTAAGTAGATTTTTTTTAAAACAATAAATTAGTCATTTTTGTTTTTAAAAAAAATTAAAACAAAGCTGACATTTATTTGATATTTGGTCATTAGTCAATCAAACTTTAATTTACGTAAAAAAAATTCAATTTTTTTCTTTTCAAAGCTGTTTTTTTTAATCAAAATCATTTATACTTAATATAAGTATATTTTGTTAAATCTCAAGCTATTTTTATTGAAAAAATAGCTTGAATTCAGAGAGAAAATTTTTCTTTCAATTTTAAATTAACCATTAGTTGAGTATAATAAATTCAGCTTTGCACCCTCGGTTATAAAATGAACAAAAAATCAACTTCTTTACCGACCTCTGTGGTTAGTAAAACTCCAAACCACTTTCAAATAAGAAGCTAACATTTCTGAGTACCACCACCGAGACAAAATTTTACCTGGCCTTCTGCGCTAAACCTCACAAGCACTAATATCAATCCACAAGATAATTTTAATAGTAGTAGTATTTAAAATTAACCAATTTATAACAATATAAGTATTTTCGGTTTAAAAAAAAAGTCTACACACATCGAGGGAAGCAGCATAATCTTCTTAATTTTATAACTTAGGTCTAAATTTTTAAAGGTAGAAGTTTTTCAACTAAAAATTAGTCTAACACTTGTTCTTCAACCCTTATTTCTCTACAAAACATTGAGTTCAAAAGTATATCAAAATTTTGCATCCCCAAAAGAAAGATCTTTCTACAAGAAGTTCCTGTAACGCCATGATTCTGCCACTGGACACACCACCTATTCTTATTCTCAGACTATAGCCAGATGATCATAACGCTTTTAGCCTGCTTTATAGAAAATGTCTCGGCATGACTCTTTGGCAATATATTATGTGAGCAGACTGAGTATTTCCATAATACTGTTACAATTAAAGTAGTTAAAATATTCAGTACAAATAGTAATGTTTCTTCAATAGTAAATTGAGCATAAGTCGGGTTTAAGTATATGACTACTTTGCAACCTCTGCCCCAGACTATTTAAGGGAAAAAAAAAAAAGATAAATTTTTCAAGGGAAACAAAGGACTATTATTCGTTACAATTTATTTATCACGTTTTAAGCAAGTGTTAGGGGTGTAACCATATTCCCAAATGTTCGGACCATATAAACTACTAATTTCAAGGCTCCCCAATGTGTTCTTTTACTGTCAAACTCTTCAAGTTAGTCTTCTTCTGGATTTTTTTCCTTCAGTTTGTCCCCTAAGAGATGTTGGAGCTTGGGGATTATTTAGGTACAAGCTACAGTTATCAAGAAATTCCTCCTAAGTTATGGTTTGCCCATTAAAGTGAAAGCATTTGGGTCACAGAAGTCTTAAAAATAGAAATTCCTTTGGTGGCATCTTAATTATGTGAAAGAGACTTTTTAACTATGGTGGCATTAAAAAATAAATACAGGAATCGTTTGTTATCGATTGAACAGAATCGCTTAGATTTGTTTCGAACATGGAGCCATATGTAAACAAGCTTTTAATGGGAAAACTAAATCATTTTATTAATTATATAGATGACACAATAAAATATGCTCAATAATACTATAACTTAGGGTGTAATTTTAAAAATAGTTTGATTTATCAGTCTGTGGAAATGGGTAGTAAGTTACTTTTAATTTTGTAGGAAAATTCCTGTATTATGATCTTAAACATAATAATCGCTTAAATTTTGGAAACTTCCGGGCAGAGGCCTGCAAGACACTAAATGTAACATCACAAAAGGGGACCAACTCTAAAGGTGTAACTCATAGTCACCCCGGGGCAAACCTTAATGTTTTTTTTATTTTAAAATTGCAAGTTTAAAATATACTAGGCGCATGGGTAGTAGCAGTTAGCATGACAAATCATGATAGGGAAATATACCCAATTTTGCAACCCTTCAGACAATGCAATTTATTATTGTCTCTGCTACGTTATTAATAAACAAAATTACAACTAAGTGCCCCACATTTCTCTTATTTGTGGAAAGAGAAAATAAACCAAAAACTGACCGCATAACAACGAACAAAAATTGCAGTGACCTGAAGGTGACTTTAATGAAAACTAAGAATTATCATGTTAACCAAATATGAAGTTTCAGTAATATTGGCCAAACCATGAGGAATCTGAATTGACACTCTAAACAATTTAATTTAATATGCTTAATGTTCAACAAATTTAACTACTTCCAATTGAAGTACGAAGAGTAACAACTTTGTTAACTTGATCGGTGGCATTGGTATTCCAGTGTCATGTTCTAGCAATTACTATGCAAACATTAATATATTGTTTAAAAAAAACACACGAAACAAATTCGAAATATGAATGTCACAAATATGCCATTGGGGAGATTTCCGTATCGTGATCTGTGGCAGAATAATCGCCAAGTCTTGGAAACTTCCGGGCAGTGGCGTGCGAAAAACTAAAAAAAACATCACAGAAAGGTATACATCGTAGCCACCCACAGGCGAACATCCTCATATTTTTTTTTAAAAAATTGCAATAAAATCTACAGGGGTCTGTATAGGTTTTTCTGAGAGGTACCTATTTTGTGAAAATTTAGACATAATTTGTGAAAAATTAAAAATTATATTAAAAGATCACACAAAAATATGGATTTATCGTTTCTTAAGGGATACGAAAATAAAATTTTAAGAAAAAATTATTTTGTTTCCTAAAGTTGAATTTGTGAAGATACCGCTATACAGTACCTGGACAGACCCCTGATCTATTTGGCGATTGTAATTGGTGCGACAGATCACGATACGGAAATATCCATGTCATTCTATCAAAAGTAAAAATAATAATTGTCAAATTTTAGGACACGAGAGCATTTAAACAAAAATAATTCCTTTCTTACATTGTCAATAATTTTAAATAAGTACAGAGCCAATTTTCGGCAAGGCAATAAATAAAATTATAGTCCATGAGGACATTTAAATGAAAATAATTCCTTTCTTAAATTGACAATGACTTTAAATAAGTACAGAGCCAATTCTTGGCAAAGCAATATATAAAAATATAAGACACGAGGGCATTTAAATAAAAATAATTCATTTCTTACATTGACAATAACTTTAAAGAATTACAGAGCCAATTTTTTTATATCGTTACTAATGGATCATCTTCAATAACCAATATCAATTTTCAAGACTGCTGTTTTTTTCAATAATCAATAAATTTTTTGGGAAGTCGAAGTTTTTGAAAATTTACTTGTTTGTTTTGTTTCATCATTCATCATTGTTCTCATGTTTTCACTTTACTTTTTATAATTATTAAAATAATATAAATTTATTAAAATATTGTTTCAAAAATTTAGCAAAATGGAAAAATGTACCATAAAAATTTTTGAAATCCAAATTTGCCTAATTCAAAAACTTAAATGAGTAATTAAAGCTTATTTAAAAACATTACTGATATGTTAGGTGTCAAGCCATGTTTCCTTTATTAATTAATTATTAGACTTTTGGCAACATTTGCGCAACACCGCAGAAGAGAAAATACCAAATTTTGAATGAAAGTGCAACTAGTTTGATAAACTTTATTATATCTTATCTTTCTTTTCATTCTATATGTACTAAAACCTTATTGATATAGTTTAAGAATTTCAATAATATACCATATACAATATTAAGGCATCTGCTTCAATCATCTTTAATCATGGTTTGTAAAAAGTGTTTTGTTATTTACTAAAATAAAATTTACAAAAAACTTCTTTTGTTTACAATTACTCTTAGTTGTGTATTTATTGATTATATCTAAATTTTTTAAGTTACGGAGCAATCTTCCTTCATTATATTGTTTACGTTATTAAATTATATTATTTTAAATTAATATATTATAGGAAAATATATTATAGGATTAATATTTTATAGAAAAATAGATACTCACAGATATTATTCATTTTTATTATTTTACAGAATTTCAGGAATGGTCATTAAGATTTTATGGTATTTATGGGGAGATATTTATTTTATTTTCTATTATGTTGATAATAACATGTTTATTGTATTTGTTATCATTGCACACATTATTGATACTCTAATATTATTTTAATATTAAAAGTCTTTTTTGTTACAATAGTTTAAAAGTTGTTGTAGTTTTCATTATGTTATTTTTAATAAAAAAAATTTTATTTTTATAAAAATGTGTTATTTAATTATTAGATAATTAAGAATGAATTAATAAAAAGCTTTTTTTATTTATTTCTTGCATTATGTAGGTTATAATAATACTCTTCGATAATTGTTTTTTTTGAAAAGCAAAACTGACAAAATTCTTTTAAATTAATGTTGTTCTAAAAAAGTTTTCTTGATCTTAAATATTTTGGTGTTCATAGCATTTACAAGATGTTTTATAAATCTTTGATGTGCTATTTGGTATCAAATATTAAAAGTCTGATTAGTGTCTTAAAAATATGTTTTTAACATAGTGGTAGTTTATCTTTATTTTAACCCTTAATAGCTCTCCCTCAAATATTTATATGTTTTTAACGTAGTGGTAGTAAATCTTTATTTAAACCCTTAATATCTCTCCTTCAAATAATTATATTATATACTCGGGTCATTGAACCTTGAGTCGCTTATAACTGTGGCGTAGTTTTGGGGTCAAAACCCCCTTCGAAATTAAACATTACGTGATTAATAAACTATTGTACAGTAAGTGAGCTGCAGATATAAAAAAAAGTTTTCCTTTTTTATAATTTAAACGTTTAATATACATGAAGGAAATCGGTGATAGTATTGGTAAAATGGATTGAAGATTGCATCATCCAAAGGCTCCGTTACATCATCCGGAGATGAATTACACAATCCCGAATTAATTAGAGGCGCTGCAGTAAAATGTGAACTGAAACTTAAATTTATATTATATTTTATTCATCAATTATTTATATTCAGCTTTGAGCAATGTAGATGCCAGTTAGTTGATTTTCTGGTTGCACCTCGAGCAGAAAGTATATTTGTTATTTGTTCATAATGATTTAATCATGTCCCCCGCCCCTTATGTATATACAGTATAGGATCCAAAATCCGGCACTCACGGGATCGACGAAATTCCGTATTTCGGAATTTGCCGAATTTGGGATCTCTTTCGGAAATCCCAATATGGCACCCATGTATTGCGATAATTCAATTATTCTGTTAATTTCAGAAAAACCCATACATTTAGCTAAGTTTCGATTGTAGATTATGATGGGGTGAATTTAAAACTGTCCCATCTTAAGAAATTTCATTAATTAAAATAATAATCTATATAATATAATATAATCAAGATGAAATAATCCGAGTCATCTGAAGAAGAAATAATCATTTCTTCTTCGACACGAGATCATTGTCCTCATTTTTTCNAGCTAAGTTTCGATTGTAGATTATGATGGGGTGAATTTAAAACTGTCCCATCTTAAGAAATTTCATTAATTAAAATAATAATCTATATAATATAATATAATCAAGAAGAAATAATTCAAGATGAAATAATCTGAATCATCTGAAGAAGAAATAATCATTTCTTCTTCGACTCGATATCATTGTCCTCATTTTTTCTTTTGCATAACATTTTGTTTTAGCAAAAAACGCTCACCTCACAAAAAAAAAAGCTGACAAGGAACTACAAAAAAAATAACAATTAATGCTAAGAAACTAACAATGAATAACTACAAAAAAACAAGCAAGCAACTAATAATGACAAAAAAATAATAATAACAGTTAATAACTAATAAAAAAAGCCACAAGATTAATAAATCAAATAAAAAAAAGTAGCAAAAGGGACAGAATTAATTTTGTACACCATGTGGTAGTTTCAATGTCAACAGGTCATTGTTCTTTGAACAGGGTGTGGCCAATTAATTTATGGTCAAACAGGAGAGGGAACTGTGGGGACAAACCAGTAAAGCACTTACACAGCTGTCAAGATTGATTGATCAGTTTCTCCCTATTTGCATTTCTTTATTTTGTTCAATGGAAATGATGGTGTTTTCAATTTCACTTTAATTTAAACTGCTTTAGGAACAGGTGTTTTGTTTGACACAATTTTTTTTTCCATGCTTTTTTTTTTTTTAAAGATAAAATATAGTTACTTACTTCAAGAGAATAAAGCTTCAAATAAAAAGAGAATATGACTGATTTTTTTTCTCTTATCAATAAAAATTTCTTTAAAAAAAAGGTCGGATTAAGTGCCGAATTTCGGGTCTTGCCGGATTTCGGGATGCCAAATTAGGGGCCCCATACTTTATATATGTATATAAGAGATAACTGATAACCCCTCTCGAACATACATTAAAACTACGCCACTGGCTACTAATGCTGAAGATCAATTTATCCTGTTGTTACAATTACTATTTGCTATTTCAAGTACCAAGTCTGTGTTTTTTCTGTTATTTTACTCATTTTTATTTTATTACAGAAACCAGAAGCCATTGAGTTTGTGTTTGATTGTTATACGAGAGGACTGCAGCAATCTGTTACTGATGGTAAGAAGCCAGTCACTTATAATTTGTCGCTATGTTAAGTCTAGTCAATTGTTTCGATTGGCTTATAAAAATTGATAATGATTAGGATTTATTATTAAATCTGTGCTTGTTGTTATAACATTATTATGAAATGAATAAAACTTTTACTGCATATATTTTTTCTCCATCAAATTCATATTAAAATTAGTTAAAATATGTATGTCAATACCTAGGTATGCAAAATATATTAGCACACCTATTCAGCAAGGAAATGATTTTTGAAATTAAACTGTTCTTAAATTTTTCAATATGAAAATTCCTAGCAACTTTTAGAAATTTAAATTTGTTTGCAAGTTAAAAACTGGTAGTAACAGTACATACATGACTTCTAGTTTTTAATTTTTTGAAAATTTTCACGCTAAAGAAAGTTGCTGAAAACTAGAGTAAGTGTAAGTGACACCAAAAGTTAGTTGAAAAATTTATTAGAACTCTTTATTTTTCAACTGAGTTATATGCGTTTAAAGTCTGCAAACATAACAATTCGTAAATGGTGGATTTGCCAAATAGTTAATTTTTCTTAACACTAAATAAATAAAATCACTTATTCTCACCTTCATGAATTTTGACACCCTGGCAAGTAATTTACTTAGAAGTATGTGAATTATTTTCAGTAGACATCCTTAAAATAATTTACAACTCTGGGAAAAACTAGTCTCTCTTAATTATTGATACATTTAAAACTTTATCTCGGGGCCGGCCAAGGTTCACTCACCCTTTCATCCCTTCAGTGGGTCAATAAAATGATTACCACGCATGCTTGGGGCTAAACACTGGAGGTTATGCTTTAGCTGGACAACCAACTGAAACTTTTGCTGCAGCACACCATAGCCCTAGGTCATGAAAATTGAGATTGCCCTCTGTGGACTGTCTCTATTACTTCACTGAGTTTACTTTAATTATATATTTTATATTCTATAGCTCTAGTTAACTATATATTTAATAAGTTTTAAAAGCACTTGTATTTGACCTTCATTAGTCCCAGCTTTTACTGAACTCTTAGATTTAGGTTTTCCTGTATCAAAGAAGTGATTTCTCCTTATCATATGATGGATAATTAGTGGGTTGCACAAAAATTTCTGTACACTTTTCCTAGGGGCTCAATGCTTGGAAGGTTAAGGAAAGATAAAACTAAAGGGACATACTAACTGAAATATGTTTATTAAACAGCAAGTTATTTTATATGCAGCTAATTGAAAATTATTATTTAAAAGTTTCATGCCACTCTTATCTGCTTATAATCTTTTTTTTATTATTTTATTTTGAAGTATAATAATTTACATGCATTTCCTTTTTTTTTTCTTTTTTTTTTTGGTAAAAATACTTTTTTGTTGGAGATATTAGACTTTAAAAAATATATATATATATTTTAATAATTATGTTGTATAAAAAATATTTAAAGTGATTTAAATTTTTATTTTAATTATGCTTTAATTCATGACAACTGTGTGTGCCAGTAAAGCTCATAATATCAAAGAATTTTCAGGGTTTTTGTTTAAAACATTGCATTGTATGAGATTTTAATTTGTGTTTATTTTCAGATGTAGATGGAGTCTCATATACCCGAAGACAGAAAGTAACGGGTTCTATGTCAGGTAATTAGGGTCATTAACATAGAATTAGCATGTCTGGATAAATTACCATAATATACTGAAATAGCTTCCGTGACAAATAATCAGAACCGAATAAGCCCTCATCCAACATCCAGGGTTAGATAATACAGAAGTGTCCACACGTTTCAAAACTGTCAACTATTGCAATTTAAAAATTATACATACAATGCAAATACAAGTGATTTAAAAATCAAACATCGTGATTCATATTCACACCTTCAACTAAATATCACGATTTGTATTCATAGAATGTGAAAATCTAATCTCATAGTTTTTATTCATGCATTTTTAAAATCATGTGATTTATACTCTCATAATTTTATTATGAAGTATCCATTTGCCTGTTAAAAAAAGTAAACATTGATATTGAGCACACAATTTAATTAAGTATTGGAATCCATGTTCAGGCATAATTCAATATCCAGATTCATATTCATGCAATTTTAAAATTAAACATCATGATTTGTATTCAGGTGATTTCAAAACCAAACATTGCAATTTCAAATGCATTATTTAGACTTTTTTTATTCCAATTTTAAAATAATATATAAACATAATACTGTACAGAACCTGTTATCCGGAAATCAGGAAACCGGAAAACCAAAAAACCGGAACGAAATTCAATACATTTTCTCGCCATTTTTTTAAAAAAGTGGTTTTTTTTTCATAAGATTTTAGGATTTTTCTTTCTTTTTTGAAAGATGTTTACCTTACCATCATTTTGGAAATAATCATTAGTGTATTACTTCATCGTTTTTTCTTCTTTTTAAGATTATTTCCAAATATTCTTTCTTTTTTTTTTTAGTTGAGTTTAACAATAAAAAACGGCTTTTTGTAGTGATTCAGAAAACCGTAAAAATCAGTTATCTGGAATAACGATGGTTCCGATCGTTCCGGATAATTGGTTCCCTACTATTTATATATGTATACATATTATTGTATAATGAGATATATATATATATATATATTATTATATAAACTGATAAATTAATATATTAAATTAAATTTTGTGTTCTTAGTGTTAATTCTTTATAAAACAATTTTTACTTTCTTACTATTTACTTTGCAACTGTAATAATTTAAAAAGCGAAAATAAAAGGTGAAAAGTAAGTTATTTGAAATACAATTTATGTATTTTAATTACTTAATTTTACTTTAATTTCTTCTATACTTTATTAAATTGACAAAAATTTCTGCTTTAGTAAAAATACTCATTTTCTTAACAAATTGGTCTTTTTGCATTGCTATCTTCCCTAACTGCTAACTTTACAGCGATTTTCATCAAAATTTGGGGTTGGGCTTAATCTGTATTTTACAGTATTTTACTTTGACTGCTTATTTAAATTTTAACACTTTGTTGTAGTACTTTTTTTAGTTTTAATATGTAGTCTTTTTGTGAAATGTCAGTCCTTTTCTGTGGTTTATTTTCTATTTAAAACATGTGCTCTCTACAGTTATCTGGATGTATGTTATTTAGCCAAAAATGGTAGCCTAAACTAGTGCATTATTTTTAATGCATTTTTCTTCTATGATGTACCTATTATTTTATAGGGTACTGTTACTTATTCAATGATATTGGAAAAAAATTTTTTTGTTAGTACTAATTTCTCTGTTAACTGTCAAACTCTTATTAAAGTAGAGCTTTGTGTTGTTGAGTATTACTTTTTTAGCTATACTTTAATGATTACAGCATTTTGTTCATGATGTTAGGATCGCACTGTGTAGGTGGTTATATAAACTGTATAAAAAAAATCAGAAAACTCTCAATAGTTTTAAAAAATCACTTAATTGAAATTAGTATCCCTTTGTTCCATGATTCCTCCCACACCATGCAGTTATCCTTGTAGTAGACTTTATTTTGGGCTTTCTGTGATAAACATCCACAGCACTAATATTTTGCTTTAAGATACTTTTAATTACAACAATTACTTTTTTAAATTAACCGAAACATTGTGATTACAAATGCATAAAAGTATAAAAATTTTCAATTGTAAAAGTAATATTTTTTTAATTTAAAAATGTTTGGCTATATTCTTGCATTTTGCAGGCGGAAAAACGCCCTAATTATTTCCTCTTTCAAATTTTGTAAATCATTACACAAATTAAAATTCGTAAATAAATTCAATGTCAATAAATTGAAATTCGTACATAAATTAAAAATCATAAAATCCGTGCAATAACTCCCAAAATAAAGATCACAAATCATCCCTGTTTAGACTGTTTTCTACTAAAAAAATAATAATAATAATGTTATTAAGCATATTGAAATTTATAAAGTTTTTTATTCATTATTTTTTCTTTATTAGGAGATCCTGGATTTGCAAACAATGGAGTACTGAGTCGTATGTATTTAACTAAAATGTATTTCATTTATATGTGCATTTATTTATGTATTTTATTTATAAATGTAACATTAAATAAACTTAACAGTGCAATTTAAATAATTAGGTGTATATTTTTTAAGCATATTTGAAAAGTTTTGCCAATGAAAAAATATTTCATGTGTTTTCTAGTTTTTAAATTTTTTTATTAAACGGAATTAATTAAAATTAGCAGAAATCAAGCAGACTTTTTGTTTTAAAGTCATTAACTGTTGAACAGCGATTTTTCTTTTTGCAATAAAATGGAGCAACATTCTAAAAAAAATTTTCAGAGTTCATAGTTGTCCTGATATTCCTTATTTTTTGTGTGTGCAGAACATCTCATTTTCTAACAATACAAATGCAGATTTTTTAAAAACAGAAAAAGTTTTAAAGAAATCAAAAGTTTGGATGGATTTTGGATCAAAGATCTTTATTTAATAATATTAGTAGAAATTGCAAAACTCGATAATTCTAATTAAGTAATGCCGTCATCTAGTAAGCCATATGAAGATATAAGTAGATCGTATCAGTTAAATAGAGAGGTGTGTAGTAGTGTTACCAAGTCAGATTCCGTTATCAAAGAGAAACAAGCTTCTAAAATCTGAAGATTGAATGTAGATTCTGTACTTGTTTATTACCAATCAGAAGTTTGTGAAAGGTATGTGGCAACAGTGAAGGACCGAACCTCAATGGCTAGTATGCTGAGTAGTATGTTATGTATGTTTCTTGGTTGTAGGTGATTATCATTCCTCAAATGATAAATGAGGCATTATTATTGAACAATGATTATGAAGCTTATTATTGAACATTTTTTTTATACCTTAGTTGTTTAAGCTGCTTAGTTTTTGAGCTGCTGTGGCAGGAGATAGAGAATTCGCCATCCCAATGCGATGACCCAGATTCGAATCCCAGCAATGGCTGGTTGAGACAAATTCTTCTCCTGGTTTTTTCTGTCCACAGTGCTGAGGTAAAACGTCTTCAGTGCTAGGCATGTCACAGGTTAAAATTCCCTTGCTGTTGGGCTAACCTTTCTTCTTTGTGTAACACAAATGCTGGTTAGTTACATCAAGAGGTCCTCTAACAAGACTAGTTTGTCTTAATGTTTGATCAAGGAGTACCCTTATCTTCTGAGTTAAGTTCAGAATTACAAAGCCACAGAGTTTAACATTGTTAGTCATAAACTCTGAATTGGGTCGACTGTTCAATGCGGGTTATAAAATAAAATGAAATATCTCATTTAGACGTGGCTTGCTAACTTCTTTAGATGTCTTTATACTTTTTTTTTTAATATTGTTCCCCTAGTCAAATATTTATGCCAACAAGCATATGATCACTCAAGCTTTGAAGGAGAGATTAGATATCCCATCATTGAGTGTCAACCACAATTGTGTAAAATCATAACTGAAAATTTCCTGAAATGACCTCACATTAAAATTGAGGAGGTGATGTGCTAGATATATTGCTCTATACATAATTGAACTAAATGTACTTTATGATTTAACTGCAATTACAGTGTTTAGTTTTAGAAAAAGTCAAAAGTTCAGATGTATAACGATTATCTTGTTGGGAAACTATGTATGAAGACCTTGTTTGATTAGTGGACAAATGCCTTTTATCAAAGAAGTAGGGTTAGTTTCAGTTTCATATTTTCCAGGTTGTTTCTTCTGTCAAACCAGTGGCATGTAAAGCTGTTTAGTTGCCCGCACTAACTCCTCTAAGAAAAGTATAATGAGTAGGGGAGGAAGAAATGATTATAATGCGAGATTTTATTGATTTATAACCCAATGTGTTAAAGGAAGAAAAAAAGAATTTAAATGAAAATCTAAATAAATATTTTAAATAATTTTTTATTTAATGTAGGTGGAGATTATTCTAAAGAAAAATATCAGTTCTAACTTAGTAGTTTTTTTTTAGTAATAATTTTTGCAATTTAATATTAATCGTTGAATTCGTTTGGAAATCTTATTCTTTATGAAATATTTTTAATTAGCCAAAGTTTAATTTTGTTTACAAATAATTGATTTAAAGTTACAGTGTTCTTAGTAGTCCATTGTCTAGATGCCTAGGGTCATCTCCCTCCTTCTCTATCCTTTCTGCATGCCACTGTGCCAAACAAAGGACACAAACCAAACAAAATTATAATAACTATTCTCCCATTAGACTTTAAGACTCAGTATCTCAAAATGAAGAAAACAGAGTTAGCCCACTATTCAAATAAAGCTTTTAATGTATTGTAATTTTTAATCTTGTGTGAGAATAAGAGTCTGCTTAACTAAATTTTCTTGCAGAAGCTTGAAATTGGGCAACTATTATATTTCATCTTTATTTAATAAACTGATTACTAACAAGATAAATGTCATTTATTTAATTTAAATTTTTGCTACTCAGTGTATTCTAAAAACCTTTTGATTCAAAAATTGGACGGTATTTTCCAGCTCTTGGCTGAGAAAAAAATTAACTCAATAAATTTAAAGGAGAAAATATGAAAGTTTCATACAGCAATTACATCGCATGAATTTTTTTAAAAAAAAAACAAACTAGTGTATAAAAATGTATAACCACAACTGCTTATAAGAAAGTGACAAAATTAAGTGAATTTAACAATGAAATTGTTACCAATCGAACTTCTCAAAAAGTGATTGCCAAATTCTCAACTCAAAATTCAATTACCAATTTGAAGTACTATTTTATATTTATTATAAATATTGTAATTTTAAAAGCTGCACGGAAATCAGTATTAATAAATACCGAAAAAGAAATGAACAAAACCGCATGGATTTGAAACCCCAAAACCAAGTGGATTAAATTGTCATGAAACAGACCCATGGAAGAGAGATTACTTAAATGTGCATTTGAATAACCTCTAAGTTTATTGTACCATTAAAAATGCTGAGATTTTATCCATAGTGATTGCTTCCAAAAAGACTGCAAAAATTTATTATAAAGTTGTTGTGAGTGCACTTACTTGTTAAAAAGTAATTTTTAAAATTTGCAATTCGATATTCCCTTTTGTTAAAATGTCATTTAAAAAGTACCAGGTTTTAAAAACTAATTGTAAATTTGTAACGGTGAGAATTTATGATGAAATAAGTATCAAAAAAGTAATTTCTCGAATGAGAGATAGGAAATTTGTTATAATATCATATTAAAAACATCAAGATTTAAGAAACTATCTGAAAATCCCTCATTGACAAGAGAAAAAGGCATTGACATCAAAAAGATTTTAAGATTTGAAATTCGTTTTTTGTTTTATTCATTCTGAAAAATAACTGCCCTAAAATTACTGTTTTATGTCTATTCTTTGTATATTTATTATTTTTCCTTTCAATTTTCAGAGATGGATTTTGCTGAACCTCAAGCATGTGTACCACAAGAGCCTTTTCATGGTATTACTCTTTTATTTTAATATTTTGAACCAAATTAGTGGTAGCATATTGAACTCAATTTATATATACAGTCTGCACATTTTTAATCCATCCTTTTGAAAAACATTCCTTATAAATGAACCTTAATTTCAAAGCTTTTAAAGTAGACATTTTTCAATATCCTACATGGATAATTTTATTTAATTTTTGTTTTGTTTTTTGTGTTAATTAAAATCAGTACTCAGTAAACCAGTAACTTTTATACAGATGAGAAACATGGTTCAATTTGAAAGCAAATGCAAATAAATTACAGGGTTTTTTTTATTTTTTTTTTTTTAGTTGTTGCTACAACTTTACAAGTATACTGGAAATACAAGTCAAGTAAATTCAGAAAATATTAAGTCAAGAGAAAAACTGCAAAATGAGCAGAATTATTTAATTTGTAAAATCTTAAAAAGGTTTTTTTCAGTTTATATTTTTTCTTTATGCTCATAAGAGATATAGATTTTGATGATTCATGTACAATCTATGCATAATCAGAAGAGCTTCAGACAGTTGACATATTACATAAGTGGTGCATGTAGAAACAGGATTTTTCACTTTATTGTAAGTGTGACAAAAGCTGTTGGTTTTTTTAGCAAACAGAGAATGATAAAGAACTAAACACCAAAGTTAGTTTTTGAAGTCAAACTATAACTGAAACTATAGTTCGAAAATCACATTGCACATGAAGTTTTTTTTTACTGTGTATTTAAAGCATTCACTTGATTTATAAATAAATTTAATATGCTAATACATTAAATAATAATTATGTTAAAGTAAAAATTACAGCCTTGAGTGGGGGGGGAATATATATATTTCTTTCTATCAAAAAAATAAAAATTAAATAATCCCTGATTTTTTTTTTCAGATTAATTTTATTGAATTTCCTTAATATTTGAAACCAATGGCATGAACTTGATTATTTATTATTCAATTTTGTATTATTTTTATACATAAAATGCATTTTAAACTTGCCGTTAGATTTAAAACTAAACAATTTAAAAAACAAATTATGAACCTTAATTTTCTGACTTTTTTTTACCATGCAGTAGTCTATATTCAAAGTACATATGCTTTTATGTAATCCCTATTTTACCCCTAGACATTGGCAACCACAAATTGAGACATTATTGTCCACGGTATCTATTTCTTGATGAATATTAGCGTTTTTGAATTCCTTAAATTACCAGGTTCTTTCCTGTTTTATGAACACCTATTCTTACCTGTACGCTCATCTTGCTGTTCTACCTCTTTGGGAATTTAGAATCGGAAAAAGTTAGGTGGGGCATAGCAATTTCTTTTTAAACATGGTCATCTCTTTCTTTTTAGGATTTCAAGAAATGATTCATTAAATTGTTCAAGAAAAATTTTTAAGAATTCATATTCAGAAAAGTTTTAAATTCTTTAGAAATTAGAAATAAAAAAATATTGAAGATCGAAAAATACTTCATGAACTCTAGGTTTCCTGGCGAAGACGATATAATACTGAACTGTATGAAATCTACAGAGAGCCAGATATTGTGAAATTCATAAAAATAAATCGAATGAACTGGGCAGCTCACATTTTCAGAAGGAATGATGACTCAAATTTAAAGAAAATCCTATTACACAAACCCCTAACGAGCAGGAAAAGAGGTAGACCCAGGCTGAGATGGCTGGATTTAGTTGAGACTGATTTCCTTACTCTAAAGAAGAAAAACTGGCGAACAAGTGTCAAAAGTAGAGAGAAGTGGATTCGAATTCAAAGGAAGACACTGGCCCACCCTGGGCTATCTAGCCAGATATGATGATGATGATGAACTCAAGGTTTATTGATTAATGTATTGGGATAGAAAAAAATTTTCTTTTTATCAGTAACATATCAAATACATAGGGGTGTCAGATTTTTTTTAGCATCAAAAACTCGTGTTATCAAGTTTCGTGATATCAGGATTTGACTGTAATATATTAAAAAAACATATGAAATTTATAAAAGTAAGCTTATAAAGTTTTGAGCTTTTATTTTTTCGTTTAATCTTGCTTTAATATAGGGTAAACTAACCAGTAAAGGCACACTTAAGCTTCACTTGCCTTTTAAAAGATTATAATAATTTCAAAATTTTAGTTAAATGACAGTGTCAACATATTTGTTACTAATTGCAAAATATGTAAAAAAATTGTAGATAACTTACATAATATTGTTTTAAAGTTTTGGAGGTTTAAATAGCAAGTAGTAAGAAGACCAAGTGAAGGAACAGTTCATATCAGTGAATGAACACAAAATTTCCCAGTAAAGGAACACTTAATTTTGGTTATTTTTTAATACTCTTTATGAATTTATAAGCCATACAAATATTTGAAAACAAGCCTATTCTTGAAATTATAACATATAAATACTTGGAAAATGTTAACTTTTCTTTGTATTCATGAATTGAAAATTAAAGTGTCAACATATTAACACATACTGTTCATTCACTGGGAAATCTATGCCCAGTAAAGGAACATGCCTGTTCCCTCACAGGTTAGGAGTTGTTTTTCGTATTTTTAACATACTTTTGATGCGGAACATCACTAAAGGTGCAAGAAAATTAAAGTTTATCTTTTATTTTCATTAACTTAGGAAGAAACCCAGTAAAGGAGCACTTGTTCCTTCAACTGGTTTTTCATCGTTTGGTAATCCAGTAAATAAGCACCCCCTTATCTCAGTACTTGCTTATGCTATGAAGCTTAAAATAAATAAAACGTAACTTGAATAACTATATTTTGAATTCCCTTTTTCACAGTGAGGAAAATAAAACTATTACATGCAATTAATTCCACTTCAAACATATAAATATAAACACTCACCTTATAATTTTATCAAAGAAACAAGTCACAGATAATAACAAATTCAAAATTTTTTCCAAGGAACACTATGTAACCAGATAATCCAATACATTGTTAGATGACTTCTTATTATTTGGCAGTAAGCTATTGTTACCAATCAATCTAAAGAAAAATTTTCAAAATCTTATTTTTAATCAATATATATGAAATGTTCCTTCACTGGTTGGTTTACCCTACCTATATTAAAAATTTAGCATTTAATAGTTTAATTACTGATGCATTTTAATAAATAAATTTAATTTTTATTCTTAAAATTTGTATTAATATTTTGACTGCTTTTTTTTATTTCTACGTTTTAGCAATTTTTTTAATATTATTTTCTATTTAAAGAAAATTGTTTGTCAATATATTAAGTGTAAATTTTATTGAGTGTAAATTTTATTTTTAGCTCCATTAGAACCACAAGAAGAAGTATTAGCCAGAAACTTGGGTCGGCAATTGAGTGATATGTCAGATGATTTTGAGATGTCTGGTAATAGACGTGCATCGATTTCCGATGGTGTGTTTAAATAAAACATTATTCTTATCATTAAGAGGTCTCTTTCCTACTGACCAAAATGGTTCTGCAAATTTATGGAGAGAAATTATAAGTCTTCTTCATTTAATTTTCACAAATAAACTGAAAGAGCGCCTTGGTTGGTCAGGGGATAAAATGTTACCCTCAAAAGTGTCAAAAATTGAATGCAGTAGAGCAGATTTCCAAAGTAGACTCTAGTAGAAATAGGCTGTCCAGCCAATTATGAGGATGATGATGGTTAAAAATTAACTTTTTTTGAGATTGAAACTCAGCAATTATTTAAAGTGCAACATGCATAACTAGAAATATATTATAACTAAAATCTATTGTTAGTAAAAAGGAGTGCTTTCGTTTTTTTTTTTTCCTTTTCTCATTGTCAGTTGCAAATATTTGCCCAAGAACATATGTGGAGGCTCAACTAGCTTTATCTATTGTTGTTATATAAGAAAAAATTTATATGAAGAAATGTTTAATATTTTTAAACCCTTTCATCGAGAATAAGTACCATGTATCGTCCTATAATTTTTCTAACAGCTACAATAATATATTTTCTAGGAGTAAAACAATAACTCTTTCTGGTAATCCAAATTATTCTCACAATAATTTCATTTTATGCAGCCCTTTTAAATCAGGGCATGTAATGAATGAATTGAACTGTTTTTACCTTAAGGTATGTAGGTTTTTTTCCTTTTTTTTTTTTTTTTTTTTTTTTTTTTTTTTTNTTTTTTTTTTTTTTTTTTTTTTTTTTTTTTTTTTTTTTTTGTTTGTTTGTTTAGTAAGCAAAATTATGCTAAATAATTTTTGATTTGAAGATCAAATTTTTCTGCATAAGTTCTATCTTTATGGTTTGAAGGGGGCCTCAAATATGATAATTAGTTAGTATGGCTGATATTTTAAGTTACAAAATAGATGCAAAAACCTTACTTACTTAACTTACTTTCTCTGAATAAACATATCTTTTTTGCAGTCTTATTATTTCTGACCCTCAAAATAGAGGTGGTAGTCGTAGTCAATGAAATATGGTACCAATAATTTAGTCAGGAGAGCGGTTTAGAATTTAAACCCCTTAATGTTCATTTTACTTCTTGTGTATTTTCCCTTGTCTTGAGAACTTTAAAGCGAATTTAAAAATTTTTGCACACAATTATTAAATTCCTTTATACAAAGATTAATTCCACGCAAAAAATAATTTGAGTAATTATTTTTTATTGTTTTATTTAATAACTGCCAAAAGTTGGTAAAAAGTTCTCGAGATTTGGCAAAACATGCAAAAATTAATATTAAGGGATCCAAACTTTCAACTGCTTTCCAGACCAAACTTTTGGAACCATGTTTTCCAGAATGCAACTACTTCTTGGAATCCAAATTCGTAGTAAAACTCTATATTTATTCCAATCATATATGTGTTTAGGTCTGATTTCGTAAATTAAAATATTATTTAGGCTAATTTGTTGGTGTAGAAGTCATCCCTCGAACCATTAAGATTACTCCTTAGTACATGAAAATATGATCACTTGATCAGAAGTTATTCGAGAGGATTCTTTTTTTTCACACTGTACATACATATTTTTACAAAAAGTGTGCTAGTAGGTAATATATTTTTAGTTGTATCTTTAGTATTTTGAAAATTTTGATTGTGTGAAATTTTAGGCAAGAGATCACATAAAAAATTTCTGTTTGAAAACTATGTCCTGAGTAGAAAAAGTTTAAGCGGCTTTGATTTATAATTAAAAAAAAGAAGAAGAAATGCTAAATGTTATGATATTAAGGTTTATGCCTCTAACTATAACATTTTATTGTGCTGTATTATTATTATTGACCAATTATTTTTTATTAATTGAAATATTCTTAAGCATTACTTTTTTTGGTCTACTTACAGATCAACCTCTTGTCCAATTTGAGAGGCGTTGCAAGTTTGTAAAATCAACAGATGGTCATGCAGAAATTACAATTGTTCGTTCTGGGAATTCAGCATCAGAGCTGACTGTCGCTTGGAGAACTAGAGGTAACACTGCAAGAGCTGACCTGCATTATGTGAAGGCTGAAGGAACCATTTCATTTCTGCCTAATGAAACGCAAAAAGTTATTAAAGTTCAGCTTCTTAGTGGCCATGAAGATAATTATATTAACTTTAAGATAGATCTTTATGATTCAAGGCTTATACGTCCTTATGAAACAATAAATGTTAACATAAACGACTATGAAAGTAAGTTAGATTTTTCTTTGTTTAAAAAATTTTGTTGTTTGTCTCTATATAGATACACTGAATCACTTAAATTGGTTGTTGACTTCCACTGGTGAATGTTGACAATCACATAGTCATCATCATCAGTAGCTTGACAGTCCTCGGTGGACCCTGGCTTTCTCAAGAAGACTGCACCAGTCCTTTCTTCTGCATGCCACGGCTTTCCAGTCTCTGACCTTGATTGTAGTATCACATAGTCGCTTTGGTAAATTATCAATATATATATACTATGTCTAGTTAAGTGCCACTGCCTGGTATACTCTACGCTGATGATTTTTTTAAGGTTCAGTGCCACTGCCTGGTACTCCAAACACTGATGTTTCTCCTAATCTATCCTCAGCAGTTATTAAAATATTGAATAAATATAATAATATAAACGAATAAATTAATATCAAATCGGATATAACAAATATTTCGGACATTCACCTAAGCAACTATGTGATTGTTGACATTCATCGGTGAAAGTCAACATTCTCTTGATTTTGATCCTTTACTGTAACATACATATATATGTATAAAATAATGAAATTTTATAATTAAAATCCAGCCTTATTAATTATAAATTTCGNTTTTATGCTACTATTAGAATAATGTTTATATCTGTATTAAGAAAGCGGTTGTGATGCAGTGTGAGAAATAAAATCTTTGTTGTGCTTTTTTCCATCAATTTTTGCTTTATTATCTGTTAATTAGTTAATAATTTTTTAAATAACTTATGCAAAATTGCAAAGCCAATTTTCAATCATTCAACTGTCTTATGCAAAAAATATTCTTCAAAAAATTTGGATATAGTGAACCATCGGTTATAGTGGACACATTACTGAGTCCGCAGACGGTTCACTATAGCGAGGTTCGACTGTATTACCTTGCACACATCCAGATTCGGGCCAATTCACAATAACTAACAAATCTAACATGTTTCTGTACTTCAGTAAGAACGCCCCATAAGTTGATTTCATCATCCTCCATTTACACTTCTATTTTCATATTTTGTAACAAGCAAACTTGTTGCGAAAACATTTTAAATCATTTTTCAAAAAAAAAAATAATAATAATTTTTAAGTGCATTTGAATTCGCTGTTCAATTTATGTATTACGTTTTTAGTTTTATTCTGTATTTCCTTGATTTTTTTTCTATTTTTTGCTTGATTTTTGAAAATTTCATTGCAATCTAATATCAGATACCATTGATTATGGTTATCAAGTACTAAAAGAAGCTGTTACTTAACTTAATAAATGAATGTTGTGAAACTAATTCTTTGAAAAAAATTTTATTGAACGATTTATTTTTCATATCAATGAGCTAATTTTATAAAAATTTCATCAGAGTTCATGTTTTTCTTTTGCACGTTAAAGTATTTTTTTTCCTCTTTTATAAATGCAGCTTTTTTTATTAATTTTTTTTTTCGAACTCTATGTTTCAGTTTGTAATAATAGTGCATCTGAAGGATTCCTACTAGAAATATTCTGGACACTTTTAAATAAATTTTCATGGTATTCAAGTAGTTATGTTTATGGAAAAATTTAATAAACACAACACTCTCGTGATCAGAATAAAAACTGAAAGAAAATTTTAGAACACTTTATCTTTATATTTTAACATTACTAATTTACATTAAAGCAAATTGGCAGATGTAGATAAAATGAAAAACTTTCTGCATACACAAAATTTCAACTAAAAGTCTTTTTCCAGGCATTGATTAACTCTTGTTACTAGTTTCAAGCCTTTCAACGCCTCCTCCTTTTGGCAAAATTCATTTCAAAATAGCGTATTGTTTTAAATATGTTTAATTTTTATAGAATTCTATATTGATTCATATCACAAAGATGAGTTTGATAAAAAATCATGTAAGCTGAAATTAGATATCCAAATATTTTATGCACAATTATATTATTATTTAAGCATTTAAAAAGTGTATATAGGAATCATTCATCCAAAAAAGGTTATCAATGTTTAAATAAAAATCTTGATGCGAGATTTTATTTATTTATTTAAATTGAGCAAATAGGAATGTCAATGGGAAATTTTTAAACCATGCAAATTCGAATCTCGACATTTAATTTTAAAAAAACGTGAATCGTGCATTTGTGAAAATTATGCAGGTCTGCAAATTGGTATATTATGAAACAATTAAGTATAAGTAGTTGGATAATGTTTTATTAGGGAAGACTTTTATTATTCTCATTCACTTTATGCTGCTTTATGAAAACAAATGACTTTTTTCATGTAAAACTTTAAACAATATATTTATTATTTTTTTGAAATATTTCAGATTTATCACGTGAAGAGCAATTAACTATTAAACACATCATTGGAGCGAGAATTCCCTCTGTAAGTGGTATATTTTATTTAATATATTATAAATATTATTTAATACATAATGTTCAGATTTTAATTTATTACCTTATATTTTTCTCCGGGGGAATTTTTTAATTCAAATCATGTTTATTTTTATTTTATAATCTTGATATTATTGTAAAATTTGTTTTATTTAAAATATAATTTATAATTGATTTTGAATATACTCTTTCATTATTGTATTTTTTCTAGATCCCTCATGTGATTAATAAACTATCAGAGAATGTTACTATTGAAACTTTCAAAACAGCTTTATTATGTGTATGTGGAAATGCAAATTCTTTGCCTGTGGAATTTCGAGCTGCATTTGAATTGCTGAAATTTGCACTTCCGTTTGCGCCACGTGAGCACTTGATGCCTTTTGTCACTCGATATTTTGAAACTGCTCCTGAACTGGTAAATCATTATTTTTCAATGTCTATATATCTGTTATAAAAATCTTTTAATCCAGCTAAACTTTTGATTTCTTGATTTACAATTAACAGTTATAAAATTTAAATAAAATAATAAATATAGAAACAGCCTATTAATTACAGTACCTCGTTTGATTATAGTGATAAATGCTGAAGTGTGTAGTAGTGATTCAAAATTCCTTATATAAGCATAAAGCCTATTTTGTCCCTTAATGTCATATTAGAGTTGTTCCTAATAACTTTGTATGATATTACTTAACACAAAATTCAATCATTTTAACATTTAACTACAAAAATTTAGCAAATATTTGCTGATTTATGAAACAGTGACTGACATGTGCAGTCTTGGCCTTAACTGAGTCATTATAGATGGAAATAAAATTCCCCTATATGATAATCCTCGAACTTCATGTACACTATTATCTGAGTTAGAGGCTAGTTGGTTACACCCAAACCTTCTTCAACAAATATGGCACATAGTGATTGTAATGACCTTTATTATCTATCTTTTAATCCCTGAAGGAAAAGATGGATTAGAAAGTATCGAAACCTGTTTGATTGTGTAAGGTAGCAAATAGAAGTTAAAAGGTGATAATTAGTGCACTTTCAAATTAAAACTTGCAATCAAATTGGTTTTGATATTTTCACCCTTTTTCTCAGTAATGATTTGACAGAATTTGAAAACATTTGAGTCCAGAGTCTGAATATTCTTTCAAATTTTCGCCATATAAAACTGAACTGATAACAATTACTGAACTAGGCAACGCTAAGAACCTTGCTTCTTTTGTACGTTTTGGAATTCTCATTGAGACTACCTCTGAATTTCTTAGAAATATTGTATGCATGCAGCATGTAAACAATGTCTGATAGAATTAAACCCTAAAAGTTGGCTATGAGGTCCAAACATTCAGCAGAGAAAATCAACTGATATTTTAGAGATAAAGCTATAAAGAATAAAAGTTAGATATAAAGTTAGCTATTGGGCAGTAAGAGATAATGGTTTGAATCACTTCTTGGAGACTTTTTTCTATCTATTGATTCATTGCCAATGGAAAAATGTCTGTTCAGAAATCTTCTTGATTTGGAGTGATTTTCTTAGAATTAAAAGCTGTCTGAGTGATCTTCTTGGAATTAGAAAAAAAATTAAACAAAATCTCGGATGTTATATTGAAATGAACAGTTCAATCCAATGTTCTAATTGGTGTTAGAATAGCATTGCCTCTATAGAATAGCAAACAGGATGTCAAGTAATGGTCATTGTAATGGAAAGGCCATAGTAATGGGGATCGTACTAAAAAGCATAGACTTTATTTTTAGATTAATTTTGTTTCAACTGCTCACACACTAGCATGCACATAAGTTTTCTTTAATGTACTAATAAATTTTAAGATTTCTTTATTTGTTAAATTGTTTGAATATTAATGTTAGTTGTTGTGGTATTAGCTTGACTTACGGCAATTTTTTTTCTTCAATGGATCGTCAAAAATAGATTACTCTTTATGTTCCAAAGCTTGAATTTTTATGTGAATTCAATAGCTTAAAGGCTGGAGCATTTGGCTTTGATTTTCCCTTCAGACTGATTGTTAAATTCTTTTGATATTTATCACTATACCCACATGGTTAAAGAAATTGTTATGATTGTGAAGGAAGCCTTGTTTAAGATTCTGCATCTATATTAAATAAAGATTGTTTAAAAAATGCTGCAATCTTTCTGTTTTTCTTGTGGGAAGATTTGCCTATTATGGGATGACTTAGAAATTAGATGTTCTTCAACTGCCATAATTAATGAACATCATAATCACACTCCCATTCCATTCTATCATAATTAATGTTATTCACATTTATGAAATTTCGCAAAATTCGGGGATATTTATTAATGTAGACTTGGATAACTCTAACTCTGGAATCAAAGCAACAAAAGAGCAGACTAGCTTGCTAAATTTACACAAAACCTTACTTATAGACCGTTAACTTATTCTGGTATTAAAAGGTAAACTAATCTTACACTACAATCAGAAAGGCAAAAAATTTGAATGAAGAGACAAATAATAACTTACACAGTCTTAAATAAAAAATAGAACTACTTTTGAGATTATTTCTTTTGAAGGAAATATGAAGTTATACTAAATCGTATGAGCAGTAATCATGCACGTATTACGCACAGGCATCTTCTACTAGGGGGACCTGCACCAGGTTGCTCTATCTGTAATTAATCTTTAACTGTGAGACACATTCTAACCCAGAATGACAAATTTAAATATAAAAGACGACTCTATTATGCTAGCATTAGCTTACTTTTGACTTAATGATTAATGGGTGATAAACTTAATCTTTTCTTTTATCTGGAAGAGATATTTTTTTTCTGAAAGTTATTGGTTTTTTTACCTTAATTTAGTATAAAAATTCTTTTATTTTAAACAAAGAAACCTATTATTTTTACCAACTGGGCACAGTATAGCCATCTCTGGTTCTTGCTCCAAAAAATTTAAGCCAACTATATCAACTGCCGAAAACTGCCCTTGAGGGTGAAGTTTCATAGGAAAAAGTTGTAAAAGCAAGCATAACAAGTAAATAAATGCATTTTGCTTAAAAATAAAAAGCATGCAAATATCGAACAATTATGTGGGTAATTGCAAATTATATGGTTTTCAGTATTTTTGCGCAGTTTATTGTGCTTTAAATATAGGGTTTAAAAATTATAATTGTTAATACTTGTTTTAATGATGTTGACTGGATTTAAATTATCGCTTACAAAGTTGTTCTGAAACTTCCTGTCTTAGTTAAGCATATGTATAAAGTATTGTAAAATTTTATTCTGCTTTTTTTTTGCTCATTCTCCTACTAGTCTTTTTTTATTAATTATTAATTTAACTATTATTATTTTACTCTTTTATTTTCATTTATTCATCCCAAAGCCCTATTAAACTGAATAATTATACATATTTGTTGGCCTTCTAAAAAAAGTTCTATTACAATTTAAATTGAAGAAGTGTTTGAAATTTAAAAGTAAGAAATATTTTTTTTCGAGAAATGAATTTTATTTTCTTATAAATACTGTTTTGTTGTAATTATATATTTTTTGTTCGATACTAAATTTTAAAATCCATTAATCAATTTTTAAAAAAATTTAACTTTTTAACATTTGAATATATATTAAAATGTAATTTAATTAGGACTGCATTACTTAATTTATAGTCNAAATATTTTTTTTCGAGAAATGAATTTTATTTTCTTATAAATACTGTTTTGTTGTAATTATATATTTTTTGTTCGATACTAAATTTTAAAATCCATTAATCAATTTTTAAAAAAATTTTACTTTTTAACATTTGAATAGTCATAGAATTATCTATAGTCATAGAATAAATATGATTCATAGAATTATAGTAAATACTCAAGATGAAATAATTTGCCTTCCATGAAATATTTTTAAATGTATCTTAGTTTGTGTTCAAAATGTGATTATTTTATTTTTAAATTTAAAAAAAGGTATAATTTTTGCAGACGGATATGGATATAGTCCAAGAAGATTCAAGCATGGCTGTAGCTAAGGAAGATTCTGGCTCCGATACCTCTGAAAATTCAATGTTTAATGATTCAGATATAGATTAAATTTCTTAATTCTTTAAATGACTACATTTATCATTTTTTAAAATAATATTCGGGATTCTTAAGCTAGGTAAAATTTAAAGTATAATTTTTGAGAATATTACATAAGTTTGAAATTTTTGGTATATTGCTACTTGATTAAACCCAATATAAATCTTTATTTTTTTATTAATTTATAATCTAGACAAAAAAGTATTTTTTATTAATAGAATATTTTCATATTCTGACAAGGAATCTTATTCTCTTAATTGTCTGTTGTGTATGTTTTTATGAAATGATTTTTCAGTGCAGAATATTTGTAAATCTTACCCAATGGATTTTAATTTTAACACTTTCTTTTTTGTTGTAATCTATTCTTCTGTTCAACCTATTTTTATTAAAAGTTTATGTGAAAGTGTTTTCTTTCTCTCAAAATGTGTTCACAGTAAAAAGTATTTTTGAAAATTCATCGCTAAATTATTTGATTCAACCAATTTGCGTTAATCCGAATTTGAATCAATTTTAAATCCGACTTTATTTTTTATTTATATATGCTTTATGAATGATAAGATTTACTGTGCCATTAAAAGAGAAACATTTTCATGTCAATGTTACATTATTAAGTTTATAGTTGTATTGAAATTTTAATTTTGCCTTTCTGTTGAATTATATGTTTTTTTTAAATTATTGAAATCTCTTTTAAAAAAAACAATTTTTGTTTGTTTTTTTAAATTTTTATAATAAAAGAAATGTGATATTTCATAAACAGTGACTATTAGTATGTATTTTGTAAAATTAAATATTTTTGGCTGATTTACCTAATTGGAAAAAATTTTAATGTGCCTTTTACTGGACAAAACAGTATGATAGTTTCACTTATGCTTTTGAAATTAGATTTTAATAAGGCCTTCAAGTGTAATTCTGTAATTGCACTTGGTAATTACAAAATTTTATAATTAAAATTGTGAATATTAATCCAATACTCTATTGAGCAAAACAGAAATTTTCCTATCTTTCCATTGAATAATATGAAATAAACTGATTTTTCGAGGCAGGAAAGCTGCCAACTAAAAATTTTTAAAAAACTATGACTATTATTCAAAGGTTTAAAATATTTTGTTTGTGCAATATTTTGTTCAGACTTAGACATTTTGTCTCAAACTATTTGAAATTTAGTTTTCATTTAATTAATTTTAAGGAATTTTATTAAAAAATAGCCATGCATAAATGCTCGCGTTTTTTTGCAGTTTATTTAATGAAAATCTTTTACAAAATTAGAAAAGCTACTCATGTGATAGTTTTTTTAAGCATATTTCTATTCCATTTATTTTGTTGAATTTTATTGCATGATTTTGAGTGTTTTTTGCTCATGCTACAAACGTGACAAGTTAGCTGAAATATTATAATTTCACCTAAAATATTGTTTTAAAGATTATTTAACCTTTGCCAGTGCAGTCCAATGGACATATTACTTTCCAAAAAGTTCAAGAAATAAGTGTAATAACATAAATAAGAGTATTTAATTTATGCAGGTATTGTGATGATAAATTTACAAAAAAAAAAGAAGATATTTGATTACAATTTCAGTATGTGACATTAGTACTTAATTTTAATTAAGTTTTTTTGTTTGCTTTAGTTTAGTTGTTTTGAATTTCAGTTCTATGTGAAACAGTAGTAATATTTTGTAATTAATTATTGTATTCAAATGAAAGATTTTATTCAAATATTTGAATTATGTGACACAAAAAAAAAGATGTTTTATAATAATTTATAAAGAAAATAAGTGCCTTCTGTCAATTTGACAAGTTTAATGTTTTTTTCATTTATTTCTACTTAAATATGTTTATCTTTTTCATATCTCCTTGTAATATATATTTTTGATTTTGCTGTACAAACTTTCTACCTTTTTTGGGAAAAATGTTTTTAGTGGTTACTAAGCTTGTGTTTGCATTTTTCTTTTTTGTAAATTTGATTTAAAGCAATTCCCATGTAAATGATTCAAAAGTTCATTTGTAAGGCATCTTTGCTCCAGCTCCTACGTTGTCAGACCTTTAACATGTCAAAAAAATAACCAAAAATTCTCCATGCTTTTATTTTCATTTGTCTATCACTTTGTAAAACGTTTTGCTAAAAGCATAGTCATTGATAGCCTTGTTTTAAATGTTTTTAATAACAATTTGTATTGAATATTTATTCATAAATGGTTACATTATATTTTGTATATCAACAAGCAAAAAAGATTTTTATACTGTTTTTAATTTTCATACCTGATTAAAAATTTTATAATTTTGTTAACAGTAGTTGTTTAATGAAAAAAAATCTCTCTCACATTTGTTACAATTCAAATTTAGGGATCAAATCAAGTTATTCAATTAAATTTTTGAACTGAGTCCAGAACTTCCTATTGCATACTAGTAATGAATTAATTCATTGTTGACTGAAAATAAAAACCTCATTTAAGGAATTATTTTAATTACTATAAAACCTGGCAAATTAACCACCAGCCAGCCTAAGTTGACTCCTATAGTCAAAAACAAAATTTATCCAAATAAGAGAGAACAAAATATTTGTACCACCTGTTTATCTTTTATGTTGAGCACTGAAGCAAACCTAGTTCTATTCCGCACTCTTCTTTTGAATTGACGAAAACAAATTTTTTGATTTCTGGAAATCTTCTTCGCTAAAGAGAACTTTATTAAATTTAATCGTGAAATAGTACTATTAAAAAATAACCTAAACTTTTTTGTAAGTTGACCATATGTGTGCATATTTGTAATAAACCTTTACAAAAAGTAGCTCTAAAAAGTAGTATGAATTAAATTTTAAAATACTGAAATGAATGTTATAAAGTTTTTAAATTGAATATGGTGTTTGATATTTTAAGAAATTATTTAATTAAATAACTGGCATGCATACGTATAAAGTATGCTTATTTGCTTTTTGAACTAATTAGTTTAGTATTAAATTTATGTGACAAATTTCTTAAGATATATGGGGTATTCGCTAAACAAATATTGATCATGTTTAAAAAAATAGAATTTTATTTATCAATATTTTGATTATTATAGTAGAAATATATATAACGCAATATAAAAAACAATGACGTATCCTGCTCTCTATCAATTGAACACTAAAGAAATACACCCCTAGTGGCCAATTTACAAACATTTTCATGGTAAAATTATTGTTATATTTATTTGCCAGAATTTTTAAACTTGTCTAAAAAGTTTCTATAATGTAATTTGGAGTCAAGCGTTTAAGAACTTTCCATTAAAAAAAATGCATTTAGACGTAAAAATTAAAATTTTGTGCAAATTTATCAGTAAATGGTTAACTCAGATTACATGTCTATTTCAATTTTCACTTTGAACCTGCATTGGCCTAAATACAATATATGTGTCAATTTTTGAATAATACCTTTTAGAAATATTTAAAGTATTAAAAACAAAGTCAAAAAGTTTAAAAGGTGACATTAAAATTTTTTTTAAATTCTTGAAAAATTTATATCCGATTTATAAGCCTCATATACTCAGGGCCCGACTTTGCCTGATTGGGGCCTAGGCTTAAAACTTCTTTGCCCCTCCCCCTCTGCTTCACTACTTCAGTAATGAACTTTATGGAGGTATTTAAACTTTTCACCTCTCTATAAATAACGAGAAATTCGACTAGAACCTAAAATAGCTATAAAGTCCCCCCCTCCAATGGCAGACGAAATGCTCTGTCCATTTTATTTATTTTCTGACAATTCTATGTCCATCATGCCTGAATACAGTTTTCTGATGGTTGGTTCTAATGCCACACGGGCAAGCCGGCTTGGTGAAACCGAGCAAATTTAAGGCAGAGTATGCGATTCTTGTTTTTCAGTGGCGCCATCTATGGCCAAGAATTTGACTTCTGCCACATCATACGTCACACCTGTTTTTAAGGCGGACCCAATCATACATCCATTCATTCATCTACAGATCGTAATTTTGACCTGAGTCAGAGAACGATCGATCTCCAATACAGTACCCCCAGAGGTTTTGATTTATTATGGGAACATGGAGGACTTTGGGACTAGACAGAATTTTAACGTGCACTAGTCACCAACTACACGGGGAGTCTTCGACTGGCGGGGTTTGAACTCCCGGACATGGGCCCAGTGCCCTACTGACCAGGCTTTCCCGGCCCAGTTTTCTGATTGTTAACTTTATCATCTAACTGTAAAATACAGCTACTAATGCTTTTTTTCATTTATGTTTAAGTGTAGGAAACTCACAAGTCATATTTTCTATAGGCTTACATTTGCTTTTGATTTTTACACCACTTCACAAACTGTTGCATTATTATAGTACATTATAATTAAAAAATAATGTAAGACACATATTGTAATAAGGAGACACAATTTTTTGTCCTAACAATTCTATAAATAATACATTTTTGCTTTTTTAATATTTAACTTATTATTTTGGAATGAAATGAGAAGTATAAAATTATTTGTGGAAATAAAATTCTTAAGTAATTTAAAAGTTTTTTTTTTTTTTTTTTTTTTGNTTTTTTTTTTTTTTTTTTTGCCTTTGCCTCATTTTAATAATCACAATGCTTTGTAATGACTGTCCTTAATATATAATTTTAAAATCCTTTTGAAAATTAAGTAAAAAAAGTATAGACATTAGGGATCGCAAATTGTTATTTAAATGAAAATAAAAACCTTATTGAAATCTAACTAATCACTATTGAGGAAGGAGGAGGTAAAAACTTTAAAACCTATTTAATTGTGGAATGAAACTGAGAGAAGTTGAAAGGTGATCATTATAAATATCCTAGAGCTTATTTGAGACCCCTTATGTGTATACTTTTTTTGGCTTGGATTATAAAAAATATATATTAAAGGCGGTGATTAAAAAACACCCTGTATTCTATGAGGAGAAAATAATAGTTTCCTTTCACATTTGAAACTATAAGTTAACTCCTCAAGAATAGTGCCAACATCTTAACAACTATTCCTAATGAGTTAAAGAAGTAAATTATAGTGTTTTGTGGTGACTGATGAATAAATATCTAATTAAAAAAAAAAAGTCTGATAAAAATAGAAAAATTTATTTACAAATTTTTTGGTCAACGAAACTTTTATTTTTGCATCATTTTGGCTGTTTTTTCAGTTTGTTACAAGCAAGTTTCTTGATATTTATAAATGCTGCTGAAATCATCATCTTTATAACATTCCTGTATTTCCTGGTAAAGTTGCGATTTTTCTTTCAGCTTTGAATATTCTTCACATAAGCAGGGCCAAAGGACACCTGAAATTTTCAGTATATAACTTTTTAAAAAAAGTTGTGGATCCACACTTTAAAAGATTAAATACAGTACAGCGAATTATTTCCTACAAAGTGATTTTTAATTGGAATATTTTATTGTCAATTATTTCCTGTATAACTAAATGGTTGTCACCGTATAACTAATTCAGACGTTTCTGCTTCATTTCTGTGTATTTTCAGGTGTTCATATTTTTGATTTTCATAATTTTGAGAAATTTAAAGACATTCATATTTTTGATTTTGGTTATTTTTGGATATTTTCAGCCGCGATGGCTCAGGGGATAGAGCGTTCGTCTTCCAATGAAATGACCCGGGTTCGAATACCAGCGATAGCTGGTTGATACGAATTCCGCATCCGGCTTGCAATAAATACAGTACTGACGGGAGATATCCTCAGTGGTAGGCGGATCATGGGTTAGAGTCCCCTTACGTGTACTGTAGGGTTCTCGTAGTTTCCCTCTTTATGTAACGCAAACGCTTGTTAGATCAAAAAAGACCTCCACGTAGGCAAATTACTCCCAATACTTGATCCAGGAGTTCCCTTGTCTTCTGGATTGGGTTCAAAATTACAAGGCTACAGAGTTGAACATTGGTTGTTGTTTAACGACGGTTATAAAATTACAAAAAATTTTTTTCAATTTTCAGCATTTTAAGAAATTTTCAGAATAAAGTAAGCTTTTTGAAGTAAAAATCAAAACTTTTCGAATCAATTTTTTTTCAAAATGTCACATTTGTCACTAATTAGCCACACTGTCAGAACTAGGTTGCAACTAGTTTCTGATAAACAGCAACAGTATTTTATTTGTATAGACCAGAGTCTGGTTTTGTCCAAGTTAGTTAACACTTATAGATAATAACCTATTACATCATCTTTTCTCTATAATAAGGTAGAATCAACATAACATCTCTTATATGCCTGTGAATTTGTACTTAATAATCTTAGTGGTAGTTACACCATATCACACCCTCATCAGAATTTCATCTCTGATAGAATTCGATGAACGAATACCACAAATTGATTAATGGTGTTAATATTTTCGCTCATTATATTATTATTTTATTTATTTGTTGTCCGGAAGAACTGTATTAACTTCACCGGATTTTTGAACGCAATTTTGTAAATCAACTCTTCAATGAGTACAATTCTTCGATGTTGGCGCATTCATAACGCTTTCGGCGATCACCAATGTATGGATACATTATTAACTATGTCAACCTTCAGCTATCAAGCGGTACCAATTAAGAATTATGTTAACATGTTTTAAACACTATAGAATTGGTATATGATAATCTTAGTGGTAGTTATACCACAAACTCTCCTTTATCAATCTGCAATAATTCTAGAACGACTTTATCTCAAGACAAGTATTTTTTTTTTTTAAACTTAGCCGCAAATTTTTCTCCATAAGGTTTCCAATATTCCAACATATTAAAAACGAAAAAAAATTTAAAATTTGGAATAAATGTTATTGAAGAGCTGATTGTTGAATTTTTTCTTAAATATCACATTTTCTTTCATGTAAAATATATACACCGAAGAACCATTATATTATGACCACCCTGCTAATAACATGCAGGACCACCTTTAGCCCTCCAAACTGCTAGTACCAGCCGTGGCATTGATTCCACAAGGTGCTGTTAGGTAGTCTGAGGTATTTGGTACCAAGAGCTCACCAACAGGTCCCGCAATTCCCTCACATTGCGAGGGGGTAGCGTGGCAGCACGAATTTAGTTTTCCAAGTAGGACCACAAATGCTCTTTTGGATTAAGGTCAGGTGAATTTGGGGGCAAGACATGACTTGAAAGTCACTGAAATGTTCCTTGAACCAATCCATGACGATTCGACCCTTATGACATGGTGCATTATCCTGTTGGTAAACACCATCCCCCGCAGGAAAAACTGTTGCCATGAATGGGTGAACCTGGTCTGCAACTATGTTCAAGTAGCTTACAGACTACAGGGATTGTTCTAAGAGGATTATGGGTCCTAATGTACCCCATGAAAACCTGGGTGAGCCCATTGTTATAGATGGAGGGTGGTCATAATGTAATGGCTCTTCGGTGTATAAAGATTCAATCAATAATTAATATGATTTTTTTTTTCGATTTGTTTTAACCAAGTTATCGATCTTAGGATTAATTCTTAAAGCATGTTTACAAATTCTTAGGTGTTTTAGACATATAGCAGTTAATATTGGACGATATAAAAAATAAAGAAAACTGTAAAAGTCGCATATTTAAAATTCGATTTCTCAAAAAATATTCCATCTATTTCGCACAAGTTTAATATTTTACCATATTAAATTACATACTTTAAAAGTATGTAAAAATATTTTTACTTTACAACTAAAAATTTTTTGACTATTATTCAATGAAATAATAAATATTTCCTAGAGTTTATTGTATGCATGGAAATTCTCTTTGGACAAACGAACTTTGTAATTGTGTGCTGAAAGTTTAACAATTGATATGAATTTTACACCCGACTCGCACTGACCACATTGCTGACGAAAAATATCCTCAGTGAGACGAATCATGGGTTAGATTCACTTTGTCTTTAGGCTAACCATAGGAAGTTCCATACTCCATGTAACGCTAATGCGGGTTAGTTCTATCAAAAAGTCCTCCACCGAGCAAATTTCTCCCAATACTTGATTCAGAGCCGAGGAGACTCATGGGGATAGAGTGTTCACCTTCCAAGGAGGTGAATCGGGTTCGAATCCCAGCGATGGCCGATCGATACGAATTACGCACCGGCCACAGAGCTAACGTAAAATATCTTCAGTGGTAGACGGATCATGGGTTAGAATCCTCTTACCGTCAGACTAATCGCGGGAGGTTTACGTGGTTTTCTCCCATGTAACGAAAATGCTTGTTAGTTCCATCAAAAAGTCCTCCTGATCCAGGAATTCCCTTGTCTTCTGGATTGAGTTCAAAATTGCAAGGCTACGGAGATGAAACTTAGTTGCCGTAATCCCAAAATTTTATCGGCTGTTCAACGACGGTTATAAAATACTTGAACCGGGATTTTCCCTGTCTTTTGGATTAGGTTCAAAATTACAAGGCTCTGAAATTGAACATAGGTAGTCGTCTACTCAAAATCGGGTCAGCTGTTGAACTACGGTTATAAAATAAAATATTTTACGGGACATTTGATCGTTGCTGTTGATGAAATTAAAAAAAAAAAAGAATGCTTAGAAATAATTAGTATATTATTCCCAGTTTGTATTAAAATAAATCTGGCATCAACGATTTTTCTAGACTTATTTAAAAGAATTATACTAGTACCGTTATTTACCATTAACTTACCAATTAATGTGGGAAAGCTCCGAGCACTTAAAATGGTTTGTGCTTGTGTTACTGTAATTTTTATGTTGTTCCCATCCAAATATATTTTCCCCATGTTTAAACCATCAACAAATCCCTGTGGAAGTGACGTCAGCTTGTTGTTTCTGAAACAAAGAAAAGGGGCTTAAGTGAAATATTCGATAATGACACATGTATAACGCAATATATTACATAAACTGCTGTTTGTAGAAAATACACATTATATCATGTAGCATAGAAGTAACCAACAATTTTCTTTCTCTCTTGCGTGTGAATTCGTGTCTCTTAATGTGTATTCATACCTTTATTTTTGCCAAGGATTCCAAATGCATACGTTAATGGAACATCCTATATTCTGAGGCAAAATGCCGCAATCTGAGAAATATGGTCTTCTATTGAACGCCTTAATATTATTTACCCTTTTTACGTATTTCGACAAAAAATTAAATTTACCTTTGTTCTTAAATGGGTTATAATTTAAAATTTTTTTTCTCAAGAACTATTTTATCGAGTCCCTTCAAATTTTGGGATTCGTAATCTAAAATTATGTAGATCAAAATAATCTAACAATTTGCATACTATTCAACTAGTAAATTAAAAAAATAATACGAAGAATTATCTTTGGATGAACGAATTTAACAATTGCGTACTTGCAATTAGTCACAATGTCGTGTCTAATCACGAGGTTGTGCATGGCATGTTAACGTTACAACTTTAAGGTTTGGATTTATTATCATACTGAATCAATTTTCGGGTCGAAATTAATTTGATACTTTCAAACGACGTCATTCAAGTGAGTTAAACCTGATAGGATGATTCACTCGTGACGTCGCTTGCAAGTATCCAATTATGTGCTAATAGTTTGTGCTTCCTTTAAAGCGTCCAAGAGATACGGAGAAATACATTAAAAAGGCTTTGTCCTTTACCATTTTGAATTTTAGGTTAAAATTTGAATGTTGTCTTTATTATCTACTTATTTATTTTTTTGTACTTAACAAACTTTTGGTGATATAGTGTTATTCAGCAACACAATATCTTTTTTGAAAAAAAAGTGGAAAACAAATGGGTCACTTTGTTAGATGAGGAGAAATATAGCTAGATAATTTTAAGAACTCTATGAATTTTTCTTCTAAACTGTAAAGTAATAAAATTATGCGATTTGTAGTTTTGAGAAATTAATTTAAAATTTGAATGTTGTCTTTATTATCTATTTATTTATTTTTTTGTACTTAACAAACTTTTGGTGATATAGTGTTATTCAGCAACACAATATCTTTTTTAAAAAAAAAGTGGAAAACAAATGGGTCACTTTGTTAGATGAGGAGAAATATAGCTAGATAATTTTAAGAACTCTATGAATTTTTCTTCTAAACTGTAAAGTAATAAAATTATGCGATTTGTAGTTTTGAGAAATTAATTTAAAATTTGAATGTTGTCTTTATTATCTATTTATTTATTTTTTT